ATGATATCTGCTGGAGGGGAACCCCCCCCCAACCTATACAATATTCCTTCTGCAATATTCCTTCTGTACTTAAAGAAAGCTCAGAATCTGGACTGTGGTGGAGTCCAGGCTTGGTTCCTAGCAAGACTGCAGGAGCCGGTTGCAAGCTTCTCGGGGTCCTTTGGCCTCCAAGTAGCAGAACTGCCTGAGCTGCAGGATCTTCATACTATCTGAGCTGCAGGTGTTTTCCCTTGGAAGCCTCCATAAGACCGGAGGAAGCCCTTCTGGCCTCTGCCAACTTCTGTCCCCCTCCCGCAAAAGAAAACCTCTCTGGGCGGGTGCAAAGGGCGGGGCTGCTCCCCCTTCATCATTTCTAGATGGGGGGCTGAGCTCGGGGCGCTCCGCTTTGCAAGGGTTGCAGGGAACTGAGCTGGACTCCTAGAGAGAAGAGGAAAGGAAGGAGGGGTGGGACCAGGTCCTCCCCCCCCCAGCAAAGGCCCCTCCCTCTCCCTCCCGTCATTTCCTGCAAGCGGGGGAAGCGGGGGGAGGTTTCGCCTCCCGGGATGCGGTGAGCCTCCTCTCCCCCCCCCTTGGGAGAAAGGGGTCCCAGGGCTGCAGCGGGGGGGGGGTGCATGGAGGGGGGTCCGGGAGAGGAGGGTCCTGCCCCCCTCCTTCCTCTGCACAGCCCGGGAGGGGGCGAGCTTGCCAGGGTGGTCTCCCTTGGGATGCTGAGAAAAGGCAGGCAAAGAAGCCCCTTTCAGGTTAGGGAAAGATGGGCAGAGATGGCAGCCAGGGGGAAACATTCTGAGCAGCTCCCCTTCCCAGACTTCTGGGTCCTGGAAACACCTGTCTCTGGGGTCAGAGGCCTTGGGAAAGAGGGGCAGGTGCCAGGGGGGGCCTCTGTGGGGAGGGTATGCCCCAGCCCAGGAACTCCCACCAGGATGCCCTTTCTGGGGCTGCCCTGCCCCCCAAATACAAGAGGACCCCCTCTGCCAGCCTCCCCACGCCAGAGGGTCTGAAGGGAAGGAGGCGCTTCTTCAGATTTGTGGGGGTCTAAGTGAACCCTCATGTGAGCCCCTTCCATTGAATGGACAACCATTGCAGCTGTTTTTAAAACCGGAATACAGTGGTACCTCGGGTTACATACGCTTCAGGTTACAGACTCCACTAACCCAGAAATATTAACTCGGGTTAAGAACTTTTCTTCAGGATCAGAACAGAAATCATGCTCCGGCGGTGCAGCAGCAGGAGGCCCCATTAGCTAAAATGGTGCTTCAGGTTAAGAACAGTTTCAGGAGGTCTGGAACGAATTAAGTACTTAACCCGAGGTACCACTGTATTGGGATGCTGGTGATATACTGTATTATGGTGTTGAAAAGCAGGCATCGTCCGGCCCTAAAAAAGATGCCAGACTCATTAGAAAAGTGTATCTGAAGAAGTGTGCATTCACACGAAAGCTCATACCAAGAACTAACTTAGTTGGTCTTTAAGGTGCTACTGGAAGGAATTTTTTTTGCTTTGTCATTAGAAAAGGTACTTGATGATGCTGTCAATATTATTTTTAAAAAAACACCTTGAACTTTGAATTATAGGATTTTAATATAATAATAATAATAATAATAATAATAATAATAATAATAATAATGATATCAATTTTATACAAGAAAGACGTATTCCTTTGTAGGATTTGCTAGCCTCTTTAATAAGGACAGACAGAACTTAGCAGAAGGCCAAGTGGTTCCTTCCGATATCTTGGAGGCTTCCTGAGAACTCAGATGGATGAGCAAGACTCAGCCGGCCCAGAAGCAGGAAGGGGCCATGCCATCAACACTGGGAGCAGTGAGGGATTCTGGGAAAGCTCCGTGAAGAAGATCCTGGGTGAGGAGGACACCCTCCACTCTGATATGAAGACCCAGCAGTTCAGGCAGTTCTGCTACCAGGAGGCCAAAGGACCCCGAGAAGTTTGCAGCCAACTCCACCACCTTTGCCGTCAATGGCTGAAGCCAGAAAGGCACACGAAAGCTGAGATGCTGGACCTGGTGATCTTGGAGCAGTTCCTGGCTGTCCTTCCGCCACAGATGGAGAGCTGGGTGAGGGAATGTGGAGCGGAGACCAGTTCCCAGGCGGTGGCCCTGGCTGAAGGATTCCTCCTGAGTCAGGCAGAGGAGAGGAAACAGGCAGAGAGAAGCAGGTGAGAGAGACTTTCCTGGATACTCCAAGGGGTCTGAACAGGAGGGAGAGTATCCTGAAATCCTCTACTAAGCTTTTGGAAAGAATCCTGAAATGGTTTTCCCTTTGCCATTCCTTTTTTAATATTTCTCCCCATCCTCTGTTCTGAATCCTTGTTGCTCTTTCAGGGAAAGATTATCTTTGCAGAAATGGGCCTGGATTCCTCTGAGGCAGAGAAGACTCCGTTGGTCAGGAGAGAGAGGCCACTGGGTAAGGAGGAAGGAGCTTTTTCTCCCTTTGGTTGCATTTTATGGATTTAGGAACTAATCTGTGGGTTCCTTTCACCTTTTGCGGGAAGACACTTGGGGCCAAGAGAAGGCCCTCTGCCTGGTTCTCTGTAGCTTTACTCCTCGCAGTGAGGGGACTGTCAGAAGTCCCTTGGAGCTGGACCTCAGTGTCCGGGCTGAACGATTGGTGTGGAGACGCTCCTTCAGGTCTACAGGGCCGGGGCTGTTTAGGGCTTCAAAGGTCAATACCAACATGTTGAATTGTGCTTGGAAACATACCAGGAGCCAGTGTAGGTCTTTCAGGACCAGTGTTATATGGACCCAGCAGCTGCTCCCAGTCACCAGCCTGGTAGTCTCATTCTGGATTAGTTTCTGAGTCCCCTTCAAAGGTAGCCGCACATAGAGCGCACCATCTATAGTTAGAGGTGCATTGCTTCACCTCGAAGAAAAGCATGTGCTAATGGCCACTTCCCTTTGCCTCTCACAGGTGACAGAATGATACCAGGGATACCTCCTCATTCATCTTTGCATGGAGGCAGAGGAGAAGCAGCAGCTCTGGAACCAGATCAGGTAGGGAGAAGGAGCATTGTGGGAAAAGAGGCTCCTGCTCTTGACTTTGTAGGATATGAAACCCAAGAGCAGTCAAGTACAACATTCCTAGAGTGAACATGTTTACACATGGGGAGGGATGTTTGTCCAGCCAGCAGGTAAACTTCCTGTTTCCTTTTGGGCTGGGACAGACTTCCTCTGCATGTGACCAGAGGTGGGTGTGGCCTCACCTGTGCAGGTAACGACAAAAGGACAGGGCAAGGCAGCCATCTCTCTCTCTTTGACTACCTGCATTGAAGAAACAACATCTGCTTAGCCAAAGATGCTCTCTTGACTTCCAGCCAAGAGAGGACAAAGGGACTGTCTTCTTATGAGATAGTTTCCAGGTGCATGTTACTTCATTAAGCTAAGTCTGCCTTCTGGGATCTGAATGTGAGCAAACTCTTCTTTATACTTTTGTAGAAGACTGTGTCATGTCTTATCTTTTATGAGGGAATAAGGGGAAAATACCAGAACAGTTATTATACAGGCTTTAGCGAGCAAAACAGATCCTCTGCAAAGTTTAAAAATAAGGGGAATGTTAACACAAGTTAGATAAGGATATAATCAGACAATATATCCTTTCCTGCATCCCTGAACATTCCCACAGACGTCTGTCAACATCGTCCTTAACAAAGGCTGTAAAGGCCACTCCAGAAGGTTTATGTGCAGAGAATGATTAACAATCACCTCACGTTCACTAGCCTTCTGAATGATGCTAGTATTATCTATCAGTAGCTTCAGTTTTATTTACCAATTCAACATTTAATACTAAGATAGGCTTCTAAACAGCTGACAAGCCATAAAAAAGAGTGACCAGAATTCACCTCACGAGTCCCATCAGTTGCACTATAGGGTTTCCCCCTCCTTCCCCTCCCTGTGACCCCCTGCACCCCTGAAGTTGGCTGTAGAGCATGGCGAAGGTTTCCCCCTCCAGAACAGTAGACGGGGAGAGGAAAGGGGGGAATGTTGAGCAGAGAGAAGGATCTGAAGAACACCAGGTGGAGTTCCATCCATTTACACAAAGATGAATACCCATCATTAAAATACACAATAAAACAATTCCATTAAGAGGTTAAAACGTACATCCATAATTATAATGTACAGCCAAACAATACCATTAAAACCATACGGCAACAAACAGACACAAAACAGCAGCACAGTGTGTAGAAGATGATCTTTCTGCTGTCTGAGAGCAAGACTTTTCTCTTCTTCTTTTAGGGTCTTGTAGGCTTTGAAGATATAGCTGTTCATTTCACAGACGAGGAATGGGCGTTGCTGGATCCTGACCAGAGAGCTCTGCATAAGGAAGTCATGGAGGAGAATGGTGGGATCATGAACTCTCTCAGTAAGGCTCCCTGTTGGATCATATCTCTTTCGGAATTTAAGATCCCTTGGGAAGAATCTGGGAGAGTCAGTTGTGGGAAGGCAGGGCCTTCAGTCCCCACAACTGGATCATAGGGGCCAGACCCAGAGGGAAGTATTGCTGGGCTCACTAGGCCTGACACTTCTGAGCAGCCTGTTGCTTCTCATAAGGAGTTAACTTCACTTACTCGGTGTGATTTATTGCTGCCCCACTCCTGACATTCAGGTTCCCATACATATGTTCATTGATGCCTGTCAACAAAAACAGTGAAGCCTATTGTAAGGCCTTACTTTTAATTCCCTTCAGTTCTTCCTGTGTTCCAAGCATTAATTAGCAAAGTTCAATAACTGAGGGCTGCGTTTCTCCCTGAGGCTGTGATCCGTTTCTTTCTTTGTTGCAGATGGTGATGAATCAGAGATTAAGAACCAGGGAGACCATGACCATGTCTACACCATGGAGAAGCAATGTAAATATTCTGAGTGTAGAGAGAACTTCAGTCAAAGCTCCCATTCCGCTTCCCTCCGAAGAAGTCCATTGGGGAAGAAATCCTATCAATGCCTGGAATGTGGGAAGAGCTTCACCTGGAAAAAAGATCTCACTTCCCATCAAAGAATTCATACAGGGGAGAAACCATATCAGTGCTTGGAATGTGGGAAGAGTTTCACCTGGAAGGAAAGTCTCACTTCCCATCAAATAATTCATACAGGGAAGAAGCCATATCAGTGCATGGAATGTGGGAAGAGTTTTACCTGGAAGAAAAGTCTCACTTCCCATCAAATAATTCATACAGGGGAGAAGCCATATCAGTGCTTGGAATGTGGGAAGAGTTTCACCTGGAAGGAAAGTCTCACTTCCCATCAAATAATTCATACAGGGAAGAAGCCATATCAGTGCTTGGAATGTGGGAAGAGTTTCACCTGGAAGGAAAGTCTCACTTCCCATCAAATAATTCATACAGGGAAGAAGCCATATCAGTGCATGGAATGTGGGAAGAGCTTTACCCAGAAAAAAAGTTTCAAAGCTCATCAAAGAATTCATACAGGGGAGAAACCATATCAGTGTCTGGAATGTGGGAATAGTTTCAGTGGGAAAGATAGTCTCACTTCCCATGAAAGAATTCATACAGGGGAGAAATCATATAACTGCAAGGAATGTGGACAGAGCTTCGCCTGGAAGAAAAGTTTAATAGACCATCAATGGATTCATACAGGGGAGAAGCCATATCAGTGTTTGGAATGTGGGAAGAGGTTTCATAAAAGTGCCTATCTCACGACACATCAAAGAATTCATACAGGGGAGAAGCCATATCAGTGCATGGAATGTGGGAAGAGTTTCAGTCGGAAGTTCAATCTCACAGTCCATGAAAGAATTCATACAGGGGAGAAACCATATCAGTGCTTGGAATGTGGAAAGAGGTTCAACAGGAAGTTCTATCTCATAGTCCATGAAAGAATTCATACAGGAGAGAAACCATATCAGTGCATGGAATGTGGACAGAGCTTCGGTCAGAAGACCAGTCTCATAGGCCATCAAAGATGGCACAGTGGGGAGAAACCAGACAATGGCTGTCTATGAATTTAATTTTCAGAGACTTTGATTAATATGTTCAACCCGGACCCTGAGTTCCACTTCTGAAGGCCTTCTGCCAGTTCCCTGATTGTGGGAAGTGAGGTTACATGGAACAAGGCAAGGGGCCTTTTTGATAAGTGTCACCCGCCTTGTGGAACTCCCTCTTGTTAGATGTTAAGAAAATAAATAACTATCTGACTTTAAGATAGGGATGTTTTTAATGTTTGTTAGTTTTACTGTGGTTTCACGAATTGTTAGAAATAATAATAATAATGGTAATGGCTTTATAGGTCAAAACCAGCACTTTGAATTGGGTGTGGAAGCTAATTGGCAGCCAGTTCAGTTGGGCCAGGATCATTAATGCCCGTCAAAATAGGTCATAAGCACTGTAATAAGTAGAGGTCCGTCTACTCAGGACAGCCAGAACTGGGCAGAAGACTAAAGGGAATCCTTCCTTCTGATATCTTGGAGGCTTCCTGAGAGCCCAGGGGGATGAGCCAGACTCAGCTGGCCCAGAAGCAGGAAGAGGCCATGCCATCCAAACTGGGAGCAGTGGGGGGTTGATTCCAGGCCGTGTCTAGCCCTCCTAGAAGGGAAGTGACCCCGCCAAATGTGATGGCAACCGAAGGGATTTCTGTGAGATGAATCTGCCTGTTTGCTCCTGCCTTTTGGTGCTTTTGGTCAAGGAAGGTATTTAGAACTGTGGTTGACTGAGTACAATTTTCACACCAGGCTGAGGGGGGGGCTCTAACCCTGGGGTCCTCAAGAGCTGCTCTCCCTCCTACCCCAGGAAAGAGCCCCCATCACCTTGGAGTGGCCCCATGTGCCCAGGCCATTAGACCTTTTCAGGTCTCAAGCATTGCCCTGGCAACCTCGCCTTCAGTAAGAGCATCCCCAAATCCTCTTCCTGGGTCTCAGATAGCTTCACGGAGAGCTGATTTACACTCTGCTGCTAAAACATCCTGCCATTTGTTCCACTTTCAGGGTGAGGTAAGGAGAGATGCAATGCAGCGTAAGAGGGGGGAGATTCACAAATGCATAACACTCAGAAACCGTGCCTAATACATTCTAAAAGGTTAATGGCAGTTAAAGTGGAGCATTATTGAGAGAGCAAAGTCTGCTTCCTTGCTTCCCTCTTGGCCACCAGGAAGGCTCCATGAGGAACCCTCACCAGCCTTGGTTGCATTGGACCATAATTTTCCTCCCCTCCAGCCATCTCCCAGCTTGTTTCCTCGCCCTAACCAGGTCTAACTCTGCACTGCAGAAGAAGCCTTTTCTTTTCTCGGCCCTCCATCTTCCTTATTTATTTATTGCGTGAGTCAGGTTTCCGTTTTCACTTTTTGCGTATTTTTATGTCTCTCTACATGTAGCCAGTCCTCAGGGCACCCCCAGGGAGGAGGAATGGGGCCTTGAGGACATGGGGCCAATGGAGCTCGTTCTTTCAGGGCTCACTTGTGGGGCGATGGCTGTGCCGGTGGGCAGGCTGCCCCACTTGGCTCTGTCGGAGTGGGCGCCAATAACTCAGGCTGCACTGCTGTCCTGACCCAGAGGTCCCCCCCCCCAAAGTGGATGAAAGGAAACTTACCTTGAACCTTTCCTGGCTTTGCAGAGAGGAAGGGGGCAAGACCCTCTGCTCCCTGACTTCAGGCTCCCCCCATGCATGGGCAAAACACGTACACTCCAACATCTCACTGATTCAAATAGGGGTCCTGTGCCCTAGCCACTCTAGGCAGCTTCCAACATATATGAAAGCATTATAAAACGTTAAGCAAAAATGCTTCCCTATGCAGGATTGCCTTCAGGCGGTTTGGGGGTTGGATAGCTCCATCTCCCTCCGACACATCTCCAATGAAAATAAAAAGGTAAAGGTACCCCTGCCCGTACGGGCCAGTCTTGACAGACTCTAGGGTTGTGCGCCCATCTCACTCAAGAGGCCGGGGGCCAGCGCTGTCCGCAGACACTTCCGGGTCACGTACCCAACGTGACATTGCTGCTCTGGCGAGCCAGAGCCGCACACGGAACGCCGTTTACCTTCCCGCTGGTAAGCGGTCCCTATTTATCTACTTGCACCCGGGGGTTCTTTCGAACTGCTAGGTTGGCAGGCACTGGGACCGAGCAGCGGGAGCGCACCCCGCCGCGGGGATTCGAACTGCTGACCTTTCGATCGGCAAGCCCTAGGCGCTGAGGCTTTTACCCACAGCGCCACCCGCGTCCCAATCCAATGAAAATAGGGACGTCCTAAAGGAAAATGGCTCCTGCCAGCCTAGCAGTTCGAAAGCACGTCAAAGTGCAAGTAGATCAATAGGTACCGCTCTGGCGGGAAGGTAAACAGCATTTCCGTGCACTGCTCTGGTTCACCAGAAGTGGCTTAGTCCTGCTGGCCACATGACCTGGAAGCTGTACGCCGGCTCCCTCAGCCAATAAAGCGAGATGAGCGCCGAAACCCCAGAGGTGGCCACGACTGGACCTAATGGTCAGAGGTCCCTTTACCTTTAAGGGAAAAGGGGGCATTCCAGGATAAAATCAGAAACCAGGACAGCTTCTCTAAATCAGGGACAGCCCTGGAACATAGGCGCACTTGGAAGGTGTGTGAACAGGCCCTGCATGCATATACCCCTACTGCCCTGGGACTCCCCCTTCTCCCCAATGCAGAAGGAGGAGGAGGAGGAGGAGGAGGAGGAGGAGAAGAAGAAGAAGAAGAAGAAGAAGAAGAAGAAGAAGAAGAAGAAGAAGAAGAAGAAGAAGACCACCTAGGCCACCCATCTCTTCCGCTGGAAAGCAGGAGTTCCGGAGGAGCCCAGTGCATCGCGCACAGCCAGAGATGCTTTATTTTGAGGGACCCTCCTGACTGGCCTCTGAGCTGCTCCCTTCCTTGGTCAGGAACAGGAGGAGGAGCAAGCAGGGGAAAGGCTCTGCAAGAAGTAGGCAACCCCATCCTAGAGGGAGAGGGTTGGAAGAGGAGTGGGGGGGGGTCCTCTTTGGCATTAAGAATAGCCATAGAACAAAAGCTCTGGTGCAGAGCATTAATCTCTTCCATCTCTTCCCAGGCAGAAGGTTCTAGGGGTTGCGCCAACCTTGTGGGGTAGGACTATTGTGGAGCTGGAAAACCTTTGGTGAGCATCTGATACCTGGCTATGAAACCTCACCTGTCTCCTCAGGGGAACCTCCAAGGAAGCAAAATCCACCACCATCTTACCACCAGAAAGTTCTTCCTGGTAAGAAAATTCCTTCCAGTAGCACCTTAGAGAGCAACTACGTTTGTTCTTGGTATGAGCTTTCGTGTCTATCTGAAGAAGTGCATGCACATGAAAGCTCATACCAATAACAAACTTAGTTGCTCTCTAAGGTGCTACTGGAAGGAATTTTAAAATTTTGTTTTGACTACGGCAGACCAACACGGCAGACCAACTTCTTCCTGATATTTAGTCACAATCTCCTTTCTTGTAACTTGAGGCCATGGGTTCGTGTCCTACCCTGCGGAGCAGCAGAAAACAAGCTTGCTCCATCTTCCATGAGGCAGCCCTTGAGATATTGGGAGGTGGCGTTCGCATATTTCATTCTGGCAGATCTCAGTGAGGAGTAAGAAGACAAATAGTTCCTGCTTTTTTGTCAATGAAGATGGGGGACGCTACATCTATCCCAGTAAATATTCATATTGATTTTTAGTTGTATTTTAGTTCCTTCTCTTATCCAGCATATTATATTGCATTGCACTTTGAATTTTGTGGAATATGAAAAACTGCAATGTGTAAGATATAAAAGGAGCAATAAAAAAAATACAATTAAATATCATGCAGCCTCTAGCAGAGAACATTGGCCAGGGCCTGGGGCTGATAACATTGAGGTCGTGGTTTCTGGGACAGCTGCATATTCCTGCATTGCAGGGGGTTGGACTAAATGATCTTCAGAGCCCCTTCCCACTCTACAATTCTGGGATTCTGCCACAAAAGCTACAATAAACTGAATGAAATCATTAAGTGGCCAGAAATTTTCAAGTGGCTTCTGGTGGTGGGAGTTTGGAAAACCCTGCTGTAAGCTGTGCTGAGGACTTGGGCTGAGAAGCAGCATGCGCACCACCTCAAGCTATCCTTACACTTCTGTCCAGTTGTGGGCCAGCGTGGTCCGGGATCGGTATGAGTCCAATGGGCACCTGGAGAGGAGGTCGCTCCAAGGAGACACCTGCCAGGTCCCAGAGGTGAGGGGGGAGACTCCACCAGGCAAGGCCTCCTTCCACCTGCCTTGCTCCACCCTCTGGTTTCTGCTTCTCAATTTGCATTGTATTATTTTATATACTGTGGCTTGCCATTGTTTTATTGATTATAGTTTAGAAATTAGTGTAAGTGTTGAGTGGATTTCTGTTTAACTTTTATATGTTGATATTATTATTATTATTATTATTATTATTATTATTATTATTATTATTTTATACTATTCTAATGATCGTTGAAGGGATGTGGGTGGTGCTGTGGGTTAAACCACAGAGCCTAGGACTTGCCGATCAGAAGGACGGCGGTTCGAATCCCCGTGACGGGGTGATCTCCCGTTGCTCGGTCCCCGCTCCTGCCAACCTAGCAGTTCGAAAGCATGAAGTGCAAGTAGATCAATAGGTACCGCTCTGGCGGGAAGGTAAACAGCATTTCTGTGCGCTGCTCTGGTTTGCCAGAAGCGGCTTAGTCATGCTGGCCATATGACCCGGAAGCTGTACGCCGGCTCCCTTGGCCAATAAAGCGAGATGAGCGCCACAACCCCCGAGTCGGCCACGACTGGACCTAATGGTCAGGGGTCCCTTTACCTTTTAATGATCGTTGAATGTTCTTTTTTGATGTAGGTTGCTTGTTTTAAAGTTTTGTTTTATTATCACCTTTTTACCTTGCATTAGATTGTTATAAGATGTACATTTTTTGTTTCTTCAGGTTGTAAGCCACCTTGAGTACTGTAAGATAGAAAGACAGTATACAAATTAAAGATGAGGATGAGGATGATGCTGAAGGTGCCCTCCTTGCTCAGCAGGTCGATGGTGACAGTTTGCAAACTGGTGTTCCAAATTGCAGAGAGGGCTTCCCTGCTCCTTTTCCTCCACCTCTCTTCTTCTAGGATCCTAGCAAGGGGTTCCCTGCTTCTTGCACAGATTTCCCCCACTGCCAGCTGCTCCTTCTGTTTCTGGCCAAGGGGGGGAGCAGCTCAGAGCCCAGCCAGGAGGGTCCCCCCCCCAAATAAAGCCTTTACTCCGGGTGTGCGCAATGCACAGATCTGCTTCGGAGAGAGGAAGAAGAGGGGTGAGCTTGGTGCCCTCGGCTTGCCAAGGGTTAAACGGAGCCGAGCTGGATTACTAGAGAGGAGAGGAAATAAAGGCGCGGGGGGGGGGCAGGTCCTTCGGAGCAAAAGCACCTCCTTGCAAAGCCCGTCCCTGCAAAGGGAGGCTGGTGCTTTTTGTCTGCGGTGCAAGCGCTGCCTCCGTGGCGCATTCCGGGATCTGGTGAGTCTGGGGGAGAAGCGGGGCCGGGGGGTCCCAGGGCTGCAGGGGAACGAGGCATGGGGGGGGCTGTTCAGCTGAGGCAATGGGGGCCCCCCAAGCCAGGAAGCAGAGGGTCCTCCCCGTTTCCTCTCTGCAAAGATAGGGAGGGGGCGAGGGTGCAGGAGCTCGGCAACTCTGTTCTTTTACGGTGGCAAGACGCTGCCATTTTGGGGAGAACATAATGGAATGCAGATAAGCCCATTTCAGATTTGTGAATCAGTCACACTTGTCTGCGGGGGTTGTAGACTATACAGACGGAAACAGTCGGGCGCAAAACATATGCAGAACAATAACAGTGAGAGCCTGACGTTTGCCATCCAGTGTTGGACGATCGAGGGCAGACAAAAGAAAGAGCTGCGTCATGGGGCAAAGAGTTAAACCGAGGGAACTCCCTCCCACTGGAGGATGGGATGGGCACCAATCCAGACGGCTTTCCAAAGAGGAGGAGGAGGGATGCAGGGAGGAGGAGGAGAGGGAAGTGGGTGGCACTTCTGTGCGTCCCAGAGTGAGCTTTGAAGCATCGTCCGCCAGGATGGAGATTCTCTGCATCTGCTGCTAGTTGCTGCTACCAAAGTGATGGAGGAGGAGATATTAAAATACAGTAATACATCAAACATTAAAAGCTTCCCTAAACAGGGCTGCCTTCAGATGTCTTCTAAAAGCCTGGTAGTTGTTGTTCTCTTTGACATCTGGTGGGAGGGCGTTCCACAGGGCGGGCGCCACCACCGAGAAGGCCCTCTGCCTGGTTCCCTCTAACTTGGCTTCTCGCAGGGAGGGAACCGCCAGAAGACCCTCGGCGCTGGACCTCAGTTCAGATGTTTCTGAACTCCAGTTGCTGGAAAACCACAGGCAGGGAGAAGTTGCTCTTGCACTCGGATCTTGCTGGGGGGCTTCCTGGAAGAGGACCCTGTAAGAACAGGAGGGGGGACTCAATAGGAAGTCCCATTGACCTCATCCCACAGGACTCTCTGATGCTGAGTTCCTCCAGATGCAAGCCAACCCTCCGTTGTTCTTCAGTTAGAAGGAAAGCTTTCCCCACCACCCATTCATCCCACAGGGGTCTTCTCCAGACTTTGACACATGCAGCCTTTCAGGTGTCCCCAGGATCTTTGGGGGCTGAACAGAAAGCCCCGCTGAGAAGCCCTGGAGGTCTCCCCACCCAAGGAATCCAAGGCAGGAGAGGAAAGGAACCTGAGATGGGGGTGAAAGAGGCAGCCTCCCCCCATTGCTGTAGCTACTGAGAGACCCTCTTCCCACCAGCTGTAATTCCCCGAGGTCCCCGGCAAAAAGGACAGATTGTTAAAGCTCACTTGGGGAGTGGCTCCTAGCAGCTCTCAGCATCCTTAAGAAAGCACAGACCCCAGGATTCTTAGTTAGGAGGAAGCCAGTGCTCTCTAAAGTGGGATAATCCTGCTTTGCAGATGCCGCGCATATGGGGACCTGGGGGTGTGTGTTGTCTTTTTCCTTCCTTTTTGGAATACTGGTTTATTGGGTTTTATAAACAAGGATCATAGGAGGAATAAAGGATACAAATAAATAGACGGAGTGTTCTCTTGTCATCTGTGCATCACAAAAATCGCAGAATAAGTTTATGGGAACGTCTACAACACCTGGATCATTATTAGTGTACGAGTTCTTCATTCATGATTGGTTTAATCGAAACCAGAAAAGGGGGAAACAGGAGAGAGCAGAGTTCACAGGTCACAGTCCACATTTCCCGGCCAAACGCCTAGTCAGGAGCCCTTGGAGTTAGTTGTGCTTAGGTCAAGTGTGAGGCAGAGTCGTTTTCCCCCTCTTGCGTTACCAATAAAACCATGTAAGGTGCAGATCAACCACACTGAGCCAAATGGTGTTTCTGAGGCAGACATCCTGGATTTAGAAGGTCATGACTTAAAATTCGGCTGGCCTGCGTGTCTTTGGTATGGGAAGGCAAAGATTTATAAAACTTTTATTAACTATATCCTTAGGAAGAATCGGTATAGAGTTAGGGGGAAATATAAAAATCTGCTGGAAAGGGAAACACCTTTATGGCTCTCTCCTATTGAGGCTATTACAATTAAGAGAGTTAATATGGGCAGACAATGGGCAACTTACAGGGAACTGCTACCCTTTACAGAGGGGGACCTAAACTGAAATCAATGGAAAGTGTAGGGAGCCATGTGACAGATTGGCTAAAATATCATCAGTTACATGAAATGTTTAGAACAGACAGGAAAAAATGTTTTTTGGACCAAAGCTCACACTTTGAAAAATAACTTACAAAATGAAGAAAAACTCTTACCTAAAATGTACAATCTGTTATTAGACTGGGAAACAAAAGACGAGCTTGTTAAAGCTTCCATGACACACTGGGCAGTAGATATAGGAAATAATATAGATTTGAATCTCTGGGAAAAACTGTGGAAGAGCGATTTGAAGTTCACAGCATGTTATTCCTTGAAAGAAAACTACCTGAAAATGATTCACAGATGGTATCTAACTTTGCGTAGACTTGCTAAGATGTACAAGACTGAATCAGCTAAGTGATGGAGATATAATGAGGCTGAGGGTATGTTCCATCATATGTGGTGGTCTTGTAAAAGCGTATTGGGAAATAATTTATAATGAATTGAAAAAATGTTTGTTTGTTTGTTTGTTTGTTTGTTTGTACTTTTAGAGCCCTTTTCATTGGGGATAATTCAGATGGAAATTACCAGGTGTCAAAAAAGGTTATTTATGTATGCTACTTTTGCCACCCGTGTTTTGTTAGCCCCAAAATGGAAAACTAGTGACGTCCCAACCAAAAAAGAATGGCAACTCAAGTTGACGGAATATGCCCAGCTTGCAGACTTATAGAATAAGAGAACAAGAAGAATACTGTATACATTTAGAGAAGACTGGAATATATGGGGGGAAATTGTGTAAACTTGAAAACGCTGGCAGCATTAAGATAAATTCAACAGTGTAAATAAGTTCTGAGGGATGTAATAATGAAATACTGAATGGTTTAGTTTATATATGTGGGGGTTTATGTTTTGCAAATTGAACCATGGAAGGAGAAGAAGGGAAGTCACTGATATTTTAAGGTTGTTCAAATGAATATTCTAAAATGTAAAATAGAAAAACAATAAACATATAATTTCTCTCTCTCTCATGATGCTGTAATGTTTGTGCACTTTGTTCTGCTAAAATCTTGGAGGGAGGACATTTCCACTTCCCACAGGCTCTCCCACTTTCTTGAGATTCTATGCGTATCTTGAGGTCCCCCCCCACTTGAGGCTTTATGTTATTGTTGTAAAGCTTGTTATTATTATTATTATTATAAGCGCACCCCCCCCCTTTGGCCTGCCCCATTCCGCCTCTTTCCATGACATTTTCATTCTGCTTCCTGGTTCTTGACACTGAACATGTTCCTGGTTCTGTGTCCCTGGGAGGTTTGCCTGTTCCTCTGCTCCATTTATTACCCAGGACAAGTTATATCAGTGGTAAAATTCCATCTTAAAAAGAGTTAAAACAAATGACAGCCACAGGAATAGGATGGGTCTGGATTGTCTCAGGTGTCAGAGGCCTTGGTGAAGGGGGGAAGGAGCCAGACTCTTCCCTCTCGGGAGGGAATTTCCCAACCTGGGAACCGCCCCCAGGATGCTCTGTCTTGGGCCACACCACACCCCAAACTCTGAGGGTGTTGAAACGACCAAGAGGGTCGCCTGCCAATCTCAGTTTGACGCCATTCGATCATTGATAACACTGAAAGGAAGGCACAAGTAGGCTGATTAATTTAACAGAAATCCCTTCTGTTACCTGCACATTTTGCATAGTAACATTCCTTCCAAGAGCTAGAAAATTACATCTTCCCTTTTCTTTGTAGGAGAAAGCTCAGAGTCTGGGATGTGGAGTCCAGCCTGTTTCCTAGCAAGACTCCTCCATTCTTCTTCAGGGAACTTTTATTCTTCAGACCTGTGTATGAATTTTATTATAGTACAATGTATTTCCTTTTGTAGAATTTGCTAGCAGCTCTACTTAGGACAGACAGAACTTGGCAGAAGACCAAAGGATTCCTTCCAATCTCTTGAGGGATTCCTGAAAGCACAGATGGATGAGCAAGACTCAGCCGGCCCTGAAGCAGGAAGAGGCCATATCATCCAAACTGGGAGCAGTGGGGGATGCTGGGAAAGCTCTGTGCAGAAGATCCTGGGTGAGGAGGACACCCTCCACTCAGATGTGCAGAGCCAGCAGTTCAGGCAGTTGTGCCACCAGGAGGCTGAAGGACCCCGAGAGTTTTGTGGTCGATTCTCCCACTTTGACCATCAGTGGCTGAAGCCAGAAAGGCACACGAAAGCTCAGATGCTGGACCTGGTGATCTTGGAGCAGTTCCTGGCCGTCCTTCCACCAGAGATGGAGAGCTGGGTGAGGGAATGTGGAGCAGAGACCAGTTCCCAGGCGGTGGCCCTGGCCGAAGGATTCCTCCTGAGTCAGGCAGAGGAGAGGAAGCAGGCAGAGCAGCAGGTGAGAGAGACTTGCCTCTGGATAATCCTAATGGGGTCTGAACTGGAGGGAGAGTACCCCCTATTTTTCTAATAATGGCATATCCTTTTTTTTTGGAAAGCATTCAAGGAAGTTTAGGGTTAGGGTTTACATCTGCCTTTTTTCTAATTCTCCCCATTCTCTGTTTTTAAACCTTCCTCTTTCAGGGAAAGGATCCGTTTGCAGAAATGGCCTTAGATTCTTCTGAGGTAGAGAGGACTCCGTTGGACACCAGAGAGAGGCCTCTGGGTAAGGAGGAATATGTCTGGAGGCGGTTGGAGGATGGATGGTGGCTAACGGATTAAGGTTGAATCCTGACAAGATAGAAGTACTGTTTTGGGGGGACGGGGTGGGCAGGTGTGGTCCTGAATGGGGCAACTGTGCCCCTGAAGGACCAGGTGCACAGCCTGAGAGTCATTTTGGACTCCCAGCTGTCCATGGAGGCGCAGGTCAATTCTGTGTCCAGGGCAGCTGTTTATCAGCTCCATCTGGTACACAGGCTGAGACGCTACCTGCCCACAAACTGTCTCACCAGAGTGGTGCATGCTCTGGTTATCTCTCGCTTGGACTACTGCAATGCACTCTACTTGGGGCTACCTTTGAAGGTGACCTGGAAAGTACAATTAATCCAGAATGCGGCAGCTAGACTGGTGATTGGGAGTGGCTGTCAAGACCACATAACACCGGTCCTGAGAGACCTGCATTGGCTCCCAGTATGTTTCCGAGCACAATTCAAAGTGTTGGTGCTGACCTTTAAAGCCCTAAACGGCCTCTCCACCCCCATCACTTAGCTTGGACACTGAGGTCCTCCTCCGAGGATCTTCTGGTGGTTCCCTCCCTGCAAGAAGTGAAGCAACAGGGAACCAGGGAGGGCCTTCTCAGTAGTGGCACCCTCCCTGTGGAACACCCTCTGTTTAGATGTCAAGGAGATAAGGAACTATACAGCTTTTAGAAGACATCTGAAGGCAGCCTTGTATCAGCAAGTTTTTAATGTTTGATGCTTTACTATGTTTTAAATATACTGTAAGCAACCCAGAGTGGCTGGGGAAACCCAGCCAGATGGGCAGGGCATAAATAATACTACTAATATTGTTATTATTGTTATTATTATTATTATGTATTTTTACACAGCTTAAATACGAAATGGCTACAAACAGCCCCATGCATGCAGCAGGTGAGGCTTTTTCTATGGCCAAGCTGTAGTTAGAGATGCCCTGCTTCACTCATGGCTTCCTACTTGCCTCCGTCAGGTGACACAAGGATGCTGGCAAGACTTCCTCATCCATCTTCTTATGCTGGTGGAGGGGAAGCAGCAGCTCTGGAACCAGACCAGGTAGGGAGAAGGATTGCTTGGGGGAAAGAGGCCGAGAGAGGGGGCAGCAGGGTTCTCTGGGCCTCAACGAATCGCTTTCGCTCATCTCTTGACTTCTGTCGAAACTGCCCTTAACAAAGGCTTAAAATGCCATTCCAGAAGGTGTATGCGCTGAGAGTGATGAACAACCACCTCATGTTCACTAGCCTTCTGAGTGTTGCTAGTACTATTCATCAGTAGCTTCAGTTTTATTTATATCATTTAATGCTAAAAAAGCTTCTAAGCAGTTGACAAACCATGCGAAACAGTGGCCAGGATTCACCTAAGCAGCCCCATCGGTTACACAATGGAGCTTCCCCACTTTCCTTTGTGCCCACATGTGCCCTTTGAAGTTGGTTTTAGGGCATCGGGAAGATTCTCCCCCGCCCAGAAAAGGGCACAGGGAGAGCAAAGAGGAGACCCCTCTATTTGGCAAACTTGCACAGGCAGAATGCTTTGAGGAACACTACGTGGAGTTCTACCGATTTAAGGTAAAGGTAAAGGTACCCCTGCCTGTATGGGCCAGTCTTGACAGACTCTAGGGTTGTGCGCTCATCTCACTCTATAGAGGCTGGGAGCCAGCGCTGTCAGAAGACACTTCTGGGTCACGTGGCCAGCGTGACATCGCTGCTCTGGCGAGCCAGAGCTGCACACGGAACGCCGTTTACCTTCCCGCTAGAAAGCGGTCCCTATTTATCTACTTGCACCCAGGGGTGCTTTCGAACTGCTAGGTTGGCAGGCGCTGGGACCGAACAACGGGAGCGCACCCTGCTGCGGGGATTCGAACCACCGACCTTTCGCTCGGCAAGCCCTAGGCGCTGAGGCTTTTACCCACAGCGCCACCTGTGTCCCCATTTACCCATTTACCACAAGTTAAATCCATCATTAAAATATGCAATAAGAGAATTCCATTGAGACGTTAAAATAAGCATCCACAATTAAAATGTACAGCAAAACAATCTCATTAAAACTACATAGCAGTTAACAGGCAGAAAACAGCAGAACGACATGTGGAAGATAATCTTCATGCTGTCTGACAGCAAGACATTTTTCTTCTTCTTTTAGGGTCTGGTGTGCTTTGAAGATATAGCTGTTTATTTCACGGACGAGGAGTGGGCTTTGCTGGATCCTGACCAGAGAGCTCTGCATAATGAAGTCATGGAGGAGAATCGTGGGATCCTGGACTCTCTCAGTAAGACTGCCCATTTGATCATAATATCTGTTTTGAAATGTGATACAGTCATACCTCGGGTTACAGCCACTTCAGGTTGCATTTTTTTGGGTTACGGACCGCCGAAACGTGGAAGTACCAGAATGGGTTACTTCCGGGTTTTGGAGGTTGCGCATGCGCAGAAGTGCTAAATCGCGCTATACACAGAAGCGCCAAATCTCAACCCGCGCGTGCGCAGACGCGAGTTGCGAACGTGCATTCCGCACGGATCACGTTCACAACCCGAGCCTCCACTGTACATATCTTTATGTGATTCTGACACCCCCACAGCTACCCTTGAATTATCTGTATTCTTGAACTCTAAATAGGCTGGCCTGAACTGCCCTGCCCTGTAAATGTAGCCTTCAGAGTTGTTAGGGAACTTGAATTAGATTCTGTCACATTTTTTATTTTGGTTTATGCTTCCCACATTTTTGGTTGACCAACGAGATTACTGACATTTGAAATGGCACAAATTATATGACTGGGCCAAGCAAAATCAATAAATATGTATTGCCAGTCAACAACAGTGAACCCTGGGGTAAGACCTTCAGTTTTTCCTCTATCACAAGCCTTCATGAGCAGGGTTCAATAATTTGGGGCTGCATTTTTTCCTGAGGATATCTACTCAATTTCTCCCTTTGTTGCAGGTGGTGATGAATTGCTAATTAAGAACGAGGAAGAGCATGACGAAATCCAAATAGTGGAAAATCCATATATATATTCAGATTGCTGGGAGAGCCTCTTTCAGAGCTCCCATTCCACTTCCCTTCAAAACATTCCCATTGGGAATAAGCCATATCAGTGCTTGGAATGTGGAAAATGTTTTGGGCAGCGTGCGCATCTCAAGGGCCACCAGATTCTTCATACTGGGGAGAAACCATATCAGTGCTTAGAATGCGGAAAGCGTTTCAGTCGGAGCACCCATCTCACTTCCCACCAAAGATTTCATACAGGAGAGAAACCGTATCAGTGCTTGCAATGTGGGAAAAGGTTCAGTCAGAGTGCCAATCTAGCTTCCCACCAAAGATTTCATACCGGGGAGAAACCCTTTCAGTGCATAGAGTGTGGAAAGAAGTTCAGTCGGACAGCCAATCTCATTTCCCATCAAAGAATCCATACAGGAGAGAAACCCTATGAGTGCTTGGAATGTGGAAAGAGCTTCAATGCGAGTTCCAGTCTCACGGTACATCAAAGAATTCATACAGGGGAGAAACCATATCAGTGCTTGGAATGTGGAAAGTGCTTCAGTCATAGGCCTGGTCTCACGGTCCATCAAACTATTCATACTGGGGAGAAACCTTATCTCTGCTCAGAATGTGGAAAGAGCTTCAGTAAGAGGGCCCATCTCACATCCCATGAAAGAATTCATACAGGGGAGAAACCGTATCTCTGCTCAGAATGTGGAAAAAGTTTCAGTCAGAGTTCCCATCTCAAGGGCCATCAAAGAATTCATACGGGGGAGAAACTGTATCAGTGCTTGGATTGTGGGAAGAGCTTCAGTCATAGTGCCAAACTCTCTTCCCACAAAATGTTTCACATTGGGGAGAAACCATTTCAGTGCTTGGAATATGGAAAGAGCTTCATTGCGGGTTCTAATCTTAATGGAGACCACAACCAAATCCACACAGTGGAGAAGCCATATCAGTATTTGGAGAGTTCAGAGATGTTCGATCAGAAGGAAAGTCTCTCTTCAAATCAAAGAATTCACAGCAGGGAGAAACCCTATCAGTGCTTGGAATGTGGAAAGAGCTTCACCCAAAAATTAAGCCTCATTTCCCATCAAATTATTCACACAGGGGAGGTACCATATCAGTGTCTGGAATGTGGAAAGAGCTTTAATACAATTACAAACTTCCGTCGACATAAGTATATTCACAGTGAGGTAAAACCGTTTCAGTGTTTGGAATGTGGAAAGGGCTTCGGTCGGAAAGAAAGTCTCACTTCCCATCAAAGAATTCACACAGGGGAGAAACCCTATCAGTGCTTGAAATGTGGGAAAAGATTCAGTCAGAGTGCCCATCTCACTTCCCATGAAAGAACTCATACAGGGGAGAAACCCTATCAGTGCTTGAAATGCGGAAAGAGGTTCAGTCAGAGAACCCATCTCATTTCCCATCAAAGAACTCACATCGGGTAGAATCAAAGGATTGTAGAGTTGGAAGGCACCCAGTGCCGTCTGGTCCAATTCACCTCTTACCATCAGAACGTTTCCCCTCATTTTTAGTTGGAATCTGCTTTCTTGTAACCTGAATCCATTGGTACATGTCCTACCCTCCAGAGCAAGAGAAAACAAGTTTGCTCCATCTTCTATGTGATAGCTTTTTAGATATTTGAGGATGCCTATCATCTCTTCTCTTTTTCAGTACATACCCAAATACCATTACTGTTCCTCATCAGGCTTGGTTTCCAGAACCTTGATGATCTTGGTTGCTCTTCTCAGAACACATTCCAACTTGTCAATATCCTTCTTAAATTGTGGTGCCCAGAACTGAACAAAGGACTCCAGGTGTGGTCTGAGGAAGGCAGAATAGATTGGTACTATTACTTCCCTTGATTGGGACACTAGACTTCTGTTGATGCGGCCTGGAATAGCATTAAGTGAATTTGCTGCTGCATCACTTTGTTGTCTCATGTTCAGCTTGTGGCAAGCCAGGATACCCCACCTTATATTTGTGCAACTGGTTCTTCTTGCCTAACTCCAGAACCTGACATTTGTCCTATTTGAAATCCATTTATTCAGCTTCATGGCCAAATTGGGATTTGAACCCAAGTCTCCCAGGGTTCCTGAAACCCTTATCACTATACCTAATCACTTGCTCTCTAGTAACTCTCTTGGGAAATGTGCATGCTTCTGCATCTCCTTAATGTTTGTGTGCAGTGTTCTGGTGTTTTGTATTTAAAGTTGTATACACCTGTGTCAAAGTAATTAATGTAATAGTGGTAAGTAAGTAGAATGGTGGTTTTAAGGAATTTTTAGCTAGGGAGTGGGAGGGCGGGTTAGGAACGCTAAAGTCAGAGATTATTGGCTCCGAGTTTGAAAGCACCAAACTGAGCAGTTTTCACATAAATCACAACAAGATCTAAGATAAAGATTTGGTCCAGAAACTTCAGCTGGTGCAGAATTCAGCGGCCAGGTTGCTCACCGGAGCAAGACGGTTTGAGCATATTGCACCGATCTTGGTCCAACTGCACTGGCTACAAATTAGTTTCTGGGCCCAATTCAAAGTGTTAGTTTTGACCTATAAAGCCTTAAATGGTTCAGGACCGTAATACCTCAAGGACTGCCTTTTTGCATATGAACCCACCCGGACCCTGAGATCATCTTCTGAGTCCCTCCTTCATGTGCCGCCTCCTTGAGAGGTCCAGAGGGTGGCAACACAAGAACGGGGCCTTCTCTGCAGTGGCTCCCCTGTCTGTGGAATGCTCTCCTCAGGGAAGTTCGCCTGTCACCTTCATTATACACCTTTAGGTGCCAGGCAAAATTGGTCCTTTTTAACCAAGGCCTTTGGTTAACATCCAATACCCTTTTAAAATGTAGCTCTTTGGGGGGGAGTATTATTAGATTATTGCTTTTATTTTTATTTTATATACTGTGATCTTTTTATGTGAACCGCCCTGAGACCTCTGGGTATAGGGCGGTATATAAATTCAATAAATAGTAAAATAATAAAGATAATAAAGATAATAAAGATACAAAAAACTCGACAGTGACAACCCCTCACCCAAAAAGCCCCAGAGACTGTTCAACAGGCTCAGCCATTGCAGCTGGAGTCAGTCCATCAGTCCTCCCAGGCCAGGTGGGAAAAGACCTGCAAGGCAGGGAGCAGCTCTCCTGAGATGGTCTATAGTCGGTTCAGTAGAGACAGGTGGAGAGTGAAAGTAGTGGTTGTTTTGAAGCAGTGTTGCATTGGGTAAATTAGCAGTAAAGGAACAGCCTTATAATACCCCTTGTTAGGGACGTGGGTGGCGCTGTGGGTTAAACCACTGAGCCTAGGACTTGCCAATCAGAAGGTCGGCAGTTCGAATCCCCGCGACGGGGTGAGCTCCCGTTGCTCGGTCCCAGCTCCTGCCAACCTAGCAGTTCAAAAGCACGTCAAAGTTCAAGTAGATAAATAGGTACCACTCCGGTGGGAAGGTAAACGGTGTTTCTGTGCGCTGCTCTGGTTTGCCAGAAGCGGCTTAGTCCTGCTGGCCACATGACCTGGAAGCTGTCTGTGGACAAACGCCGGCTCCCTCAGCCTATAGAGCAAGATGAGCATGCGACCCCAGAGTCGTCCGCGACTGTCAGGGGTCCCTTTACCTTTACCCCTTGTTACAGTTGGGGGAAGAGGTGGGGTGTTCGTAATTTGTTTCCTGTTCTTGTTTTTATCATCATGCACTTGGTGTTTTTATATTGTATATTTATGTTGTGTATCGCCCTGAGATCTGCGGGGGAAGGGTGGTGTACAAATATAATAAAATAAATAAATAAACTATTAAAAAAAGAAACGAACATTTGAAAGCATGCAATTATGTACACAAAGTTACCTGGGAACCCTAGTTAGTTAGTTAGTTATCTATCTTATCTATATCTATCTTATCTATCTATCTGTCTGCCTCTCTAAATGAGTTACATTCCGCTGCACACCTCCTTCTTTGCTATCTTAGGGGTGAAGTGTTCAGATAAGAGTTCTCTGTGATGACAGACAGAATAAAGGGGGTGTTTGGTGAAAAACCCAGTAAAGACTCAGGTCAAAGCTGTGCACCTTGGCTCAGGTGGGAAGGGGGCGCAGGCATGGGGGGCAGTGCCAGAGCAAATCTGAACAGGGAGAATCACCAATTCATGGAACAAACCCCATGAATTACTGTTTTGGACACACCAAGTGGAATGGAAGAAGCGAAAATCGAAGGAATGGTATTTCTAAGTTAGTATGACGCGGGTGGCGCTGTGGGTAAAAGCCTCAGCACCTAGGGCTTGCCGATTGAAAGGTTGGCGGTTCGAATCCCCGCGGCAGGGTGCGCTCCCGTCGTTCGGTCCCAGCGCCTGCCAACCTAGCAGTTCGAAAGCACCCCCGGGTGCAAGTAGATAAATAGGGACCGCTTACTAGCGGGAAGGTAAATGGCGTTTCCGTGTGCTGCGCTGGCTCGCCAGATGCAGCTTCGTCACGGTGGCCACGTGACCCGGAAATGTCTGCGGACAGCGCTGGCCCCCGGCCTTTGAGTGAGATGGGCGCACAACCCTAGAGTCTGGCAAGACTGGTCCGTACGGGCAGGGGTACCTTTACCTTTACCTTTATGATACATCTTGGCCTACAGGAATGGGTTTGGAAGATATGGAACTGGATACGAATTAATGAATATTCAACAAAAAATAAATGGGCTAAAACTATTTTGAAGTATGAAGATATGTTACTCTTAATGTTAAGGGGCTTCGAGTATCGAAGAAATCACATTGTGGACTCATGTTCAGCTTGTGGTCTGCTAAGACCCCTAGATCCTTTTCACATGTGCTGTTGCCAAGGCAGGTTTCCCCAGTCTTATATTGGTGCAACTGGTTCTTCCTGCCTATGTGCAGAATCTGATATTTGTCCCTATTGAAATTCATTTATTGCATTTATGTACCACTTTTTTCTCCAAGGAGCTTGAGGTGGGGCTACATGGCTCTCCCCCTCCTCATTTAATCTGACACTAACCCTGTGAGGTAGCTTAGGCTGTGAAGCCCAGGTACATAAAAACATTCGAAGGATGCTTTGTCGCAACAGACATTGGTCTTTTGCACTCACTATTGGAAGAAAAAGAACGTGCAAATATTGACACTAAAATACATCACTTAACAGTGAAGCGAAACTGGAGCCGTGGTGGTGAGGATTGTGGTAGGTGAGGCTTTTATGGACTGGACCAATTAGGACAGCACTTTGCCATTCGTCCATGTTGACAGCTGCCCAGTGATGCTACTATAAAAAAGCAGATCCAATGGTTCATGACACAAGCCAAAATAAAACTAGACCTCATTAATAACTCAAATACAGTATTGGTAGTAAAATAAACGTAACATTTCAGTTGTATATTCTACTGTATTTGTATTGACCCTTAGCTGTAGTGCATTGTTTCTCAAACTTGGGTCTCCAGCTGTTTTCAGACTACAGCTCCCATCATCCCCAGTGGATGATGGGAATTGTAGTACAAAAACAGCTGGGAAACCCTGCTCCAGGGCTTGATATATGGATAATGCCCCTTTCATTGGGACAGAAGTAGCTATTAGTTCAGTAGAAACAGCCTCCATGAACTGCAAAACAGACTCTGAGAGTGTACAGAGGGAGTACAAACAGGGGAGCCAACTCTGCCCCACAATTGGAGATCTCTGTGATAAAAGGGGGCAAACCTGCCTGCTCTAATAACAGAGACAGATCTCATCCAAGACAGGCCTCTATTTTGGCATGGTTGGCTCAGACCCCATCCAGGTATATTTAGAGCAGTTTAAGGCTGTAATCCAAAACTGTTATTTTACACTTGGTCGCATTGCTCAAAGGAATTTGCTTTTGGGTATAAATGCTTAGGACTGTGATGTAAACTCAACCATTGATCAAGATGCCTATCATCATCATGGCAAGGTACGGCTTTTGCATATTGTGTGAACACCTTTGTCCTGTCTTCTTCAAGAATGACAAATCTCTTGCCCCAAAGGACGGCTTTCCACTCTTGAAAAGCCCACTGCTGTTCTGCAAGGTGCTTTAGGTTGCAATCCCATCAACACTTAAGACCTGTTGCCCTTAGTGGGGCTTACTTCCAGGGAGACATGAATTGTACAACTAGTCTTAAGAGCAGGGCTGGATTTAGGTTTGATGAGACACTAAGCTACTGAAGGTAATGGGGCTCTTTCTATGTCCAGCTGACCTTTGTCAACAGCAAATTGTTGCTGTTTTTGTGTTGATCTGCTATATGGTCTCCACAGTCACTTATGGACTCATGTTAAAACCATGTTTACGATCTTACTCGGCTACGAGTGATCGCTGAAGAAGAAGGAGGAGGAGGTATCTGAAGCCATTTGCACGTAACAAATAGAATCCTAGAGTTCGAAGAGACCCCAAGGGCCATCGAGTCCAACCCCCTGCCAAGCAGGAAACACCATCAGAGCACTCCTGACATATGGTTGTCAAGCCTCTGCTTAAAGACCTCCAAAGTAGGAGACTCCACCACACTCCTTGGCAGCAAATTCCACTGTCGAACAGCTCTTACTGTCAGGAAGTTCTTCCTAATGTTTAGGTGGAATCTTCTTTCTTGTAGTTTGCATCCATTGCTCCGTGTCCGCTTCTCTGGAGCAGCAGAAAACAACCTTTCTCCCTCCTCTATGTGACATCCTTTTATATATTTGAACATGGCTATCATATCACCCCTTAACCTCCTCTTCTCCAGGCTAAACATGCCCAGCTCCCTTAGCCGTTCCTCATAAGGCATCGTTTCCAGGCCTTTGACCATTTTGGTTGCCCTCCTCTGAACACGTTCCAGTTTGTCAGTGTCCTTCTTGAACTGTGGTGCCCAGAACTGGACACAGTACTCCAGGTGAGGTCTGACCAGAGCAGAATATAGTGGCACTATTACTTCCCTTGATCTAGATGCTATACTCCTATTGATGCAGCCCAGAATTGCATTGGCTTTTTTAGCTGCCGCGTCACATTGTTGGCTCATGTCAAGTTTGTGGTCAACCAAGACTCCTAGATCCTTTTCACATGTACTGCTCTCAAGCCAGGTGTCACCTACACAACACAAAACACACAATACAAAACACTGGTGCTGTATGTAGGTTTTATTTTATTTGTTTTTTATCTTATATCTTGGAAGTGTACATTCAGGTTATTTTTTCCTTTAAATTTTTTTGAAAAAAGAGAGTGGGGCCCTAAGCTCTTAACTTAGAAGGCTTAACAAACCGCTTCTGCTATAGAGCCCCTCCTTGAAGCTGCTCTATTCTCCCCGCATCCCCAGTGTTTTACACTGAAGGGCCGCCGCCATGACACGAGAGGCAGAGCGAGGCGGAAGGCGCTCCGCGTCCCTCAGGAAAGGCGTCCCCCTGGGCGGCAGGGCCCGCGCGCGAAGGTTCCGCCACCGGCGCTTGAGAAACAGAGGGGGGCGGGGGAGCGAGCGAGGGCCGGGCCCGGCCGGGGGCTGGACTAGATGGCCTTGCGGGGTCCCGGCTCTACTATTTCTCTGAGTCTGGCGGTGGTGGGCTCTCCTCCCCTGTAAGTTAGTAAGCAGAGGCGCGGGGGGGGGGGGGCGTCTGCAGGGGATGCTCCTTGCACGAGGGGGTTGGACTAGATGACCCCTGGGGGTCCCTTCCCGAGAAGAGGTTTCGCAGCCAGGTGTCTCTGGCATTTTGGATTCTAGGAAGGCGACTCCTGCTTCTTGCAGAGCCTTTTCCCTGCCAGCTGCTCCTCCCGTTCGTGGCCAAGGGAGGGGGCAGCTCAGAGCCCAGCTTTTTGGTTCCCCCCAAAAATGAAGCCTCTCCTCCGGGTGTGCGCAATGCACAGATCTGCTTTGCAGAGAGGAAGCGCAGAGAAGGGCGAGCGTGATGCGCTCGGCTTTGCAAGGGTTAAAAGGAGCAGAGCTGGATTCCTAGAGAGGAGAGGAAATAAAGGAGGGGGCAGGTCCCCCTCCAGCTAAACCCTCTCCCTCCAGCCCCCCCCCCCCGCTTGCATAGGGAGATCTCTCTCTGCAAATGCCGCCTCGGGGGCCCCTCCTGGGATCTGGTGAGTCTCCCCTCTCTTCCCCCTGTGCGTGCATTGGGGAGAAGGGGGTCCCGGGGCTGCAGGGGGAGGGGGCATGGGGGGGCTGTTCGGCTCATGCATGGAGGACCCACCAGATCAGGGAGCAGAGGGTCCCCCTCCACGCCTTCCTCTCTGCAAAGCCAAGGAGAGCTCCTCGTCTGCAACTCTGCTCCTCCGGATTCAGGGGCTGCCTCCCAATTGGGGGGGGGAAGGGGGGCTGGTCTTTGGGTCAGGGGAAAAGTCATGCAAATAAACCCAATTCACATTGATGCACAAGTCACATTTGTTACCAGAGGTGGTAGCCAGACGGAAACATTCGGACATTAAATACACAATTAAAATGAAAACCTGAACTGTGCAGTGAATAAATAAGGAATGTTGGAAGGTGGGAGGGCAGAGAAATATCGTGCTTATTCCTGCGTAGCAGAATTAAACCTTGGGAACTCCCTCCTGCAGGAGGCAGGCAAAGTCACCAACCTGGATGACTTTAAAAGGAGGAGGTTGTTGTTGTTTTGTCAGTGGTCTTCGTGACCCCCTGGACCAGAGCACGCCAAGCCCTCCTGTCCTCCACTGCCTCCTGCAGTTTGGTCAAACTCATGCTAGTCCCTTCAAGAACACTGTCCAACCATCTTGTTCTCTGTCGCCCCCTTCTCCTTGTGCCCTCCATCTTTCCCAACATCAGGGTCTTTTCCAGGGAGTCTTCTCTTCTCATGAGGTGGCCAAACTCTTGGAGCCTCAGCTTCAGGATCTGTCCTTCCAGTGAGCACTCAGGGCTGATTTCCTTCAGAATGGAGAGGTTTGATCTTCTTGCAGTCCATGGGACTCTCAAGAGTCTCCTCCAGCACCATAATTCAAAAGCATCCATTCTTCGGCGATCAGCCTTCTTTATGGTCCAGCTCTCACTTCCATACATCACTACTGGGAAAACCATAGCTTGAACTATACGGACCTTTGTTTTTGTTTTGTTTTTTAATAAAATTTTTATTTGGTTTTCTGGTTTTATAAAAACAAAACATACACAAAGAAAAGAAAAAGACAAAAACATGTATAAAATCAACCAATCCCCGTTTCATAAACTTGTTCCCTGACTTCCCCCCACCTCCCCTCGTGCATCCCAGTTTCAAGATTATATCAGCAAGTTGGTATTTCTCCTCTTAACAATGTTATTCATCTTATTACCTTATTTTATAATAAAAATTAATTTTCCTAAGTTGGACTTAAGTTCTCTTCCATCGATTTTCATTTTATCTTAATTAAGAGTCATATTAACCAAACCTAAAAGTCTTAAGAGTTTTTAAAAGTCTCTTCTTCCCTCCCTCCCATCCCCGGTTTTTGTCCCTTCCCAGTAAAAATCCAAATTCGAATTTCTCAGCCTGGATTCCTCACGTCCGAGGCTTTCAAATCCCTTTCAGTCCCTCTCCGCCTGTCCCGTTGGTAGTCCTTTATGTCAGTCATCAAGTCTGGGAAAAGTTCTTTCACCATCAAAGTGTTTCCTCTTCCCACAAGGGGGTTCAAAAGTAACTGCTGAAGAATTTCCACAAAACCTATCTCTTCAAGATCAAAGTCCAAACGGAGGCCCCAAGCATATTTCTTTATTTTAAATTTCTGTATTCCATTTTGTCCCGGGACCTCCTCCTTCTTCTTCTGTATCTTTCGCAGACTTGTAGTAGATATGTTCCCAGCGTTTCCTTGCTTATGTTCCGCAGATGTCAGCTTTTGGTTGTTGCTTCCCAGGATTACTTCTTCTTTTTCTTGTTGTTTAGTCTCTTCCAACTCTATAGGTATTGTTTCCCATTCAGCTGTGAATTCTTTCTCGTTGAGGTCCTCAATACAAAGAGCAGAGTTGCCTGTTCCCAAGGTCATAGTCTCAAGTTGTTTATACGGACCTTTGTTGGCAAGGTGATGTCTCTGCTTTTTAAGATGCTGTCTAGGTTTGTTAAGAGGAGGAGGAGGAGGCAAATTCATGGAGGAGGAGAGGGGAGCCAGGGTGGGTCTACTCTGCTCCCCACAGTGGGCCCTTTGGCCTGATCCTGTGGAACTCATCTTCTGTTCTGATGCCGAGTTCCTCCTGATGCAATCCAGACTCCTGGCTAACCCATGTGCGCCCATTCAGACATGCAGCCAGTGCTCAGATGCCCTGATAATCTTTGGAGACTTAACAGAAAGCCCCACTGAGAACCCCTGGGGGTCTCACCATCCAAGGAAAGGAAGCAAAGCTCAGCTGGGGGTGAAACAGGCAGCACCCCCCTCTTCCACCCCCACCCCCTTTGCCCAAGGGACAATTATCTGAGTTCCCTGGCAAGGAGGATGGATTGTTAAACCACTCTGGGGAGGGGGGGTGTCTCCTAGCAACTGCCAGCATCCATAACTATGTTTCCCAGGTTACAGGTAGGTAGCCGTGTTGGTCTGTCATAGTCGAAACAAAATAATATTAAGAAAATTCCTTCCAGTAGCACCTTAGAGACCAACTCAGTTTGTTCTTGGCATGAGCTTTCGTCTGCATGCACACTTCTTCAGAGACACTGAAACAGAAGTCACCAGACCCTTATATACAGTGAGAGGGTGGGGAGGGGTATTACAGTATCCCAGGGATACTGTGGAGGAAGCCATAGAATCAGTTGGAAGGGGGTCCTGAGGATCATCTAGTCCAACCCTCTGCAATGTCAGGAGCCCTTGTGGTTAATTAAGAGTAATAGTCATATTTCTCCCTATGTTACCAATGAAATTTTAAAAAATGTTGGTCTTTGGTTGAATGTGGGAGCGGCATTCAAAGTGAAGATAATTTCAATTTAGATCAACCCCACTGAGCCAATTGCTTATGGGGTGAGTGGGTGTTTTCTTGCACTTTTATTTTCCTCCCCCTACACTTTATTTTTTTTATTGTTCTGGTTGTTGTTTTTGTTACTCTTATTACTAAAACTACATTTACAACCCAGGGCTGGTTGCATCCATATTCAGTATTAAAAACACACTTCTCAGCAGTCGGATATTGTGGTAAAGAGGGGAAGGTGCCTGGCTGGCCTCTGTTGGGAGGGAATTCCCTCACTGCCACCAAGATGCCCACTCTTGGGTCACCCCCAGTGAAAACTCTGGGGGGTGTGTGTGATGAAACTACCAGGAGGACCCCCTCTGCCAACCTGAACATCCAAGATGGTCTGTAGAGAAGGAGAGAGTTAGTCAGATATTTGGGGGCCTAAGTGAATCCCTCATGTGAGCACCTTGATGTGAGCCTCATACAGCCCATACACATTACTCATTTGTCAATCACAGTTCTGACTTTCAGTCTTTGACTGAAACTATTGAAAGGCAGGAGCAACCAGGCTTACTCGTATCACAGAAATCCCTTCAGTTGCCTCCACATTTTGCATGGTAACTTTCCTTCTAGGAGGGCTAGAGGCTTACTTCTCCTTCTTGCCTGCTTGTTTGCTTGTTTCTTGAATAAAGCTAAGAATCTGAGCTGTGAGGGGTACAGGCCTTGTTCCTAGCAAGACTCAACCATGCTTGCTCAAGGAATATCTTGTCTTCTCCTGGCAGTGTATGAATTTTATAACAGAACAATGTATTTGCTTTGTAGGATTTGGTAGCACCTCTCATGAGGACAGACAGAACTTGGCAGAAGACCAAGGGTTCCTTCTGATCTCTTGGAGACTTCCTGAGAGCCCAGATGGATGAGCAAGACTCAGCTGGCCCTGAAGCAGGAAGAGGCCATGCCATCAACATTGAGAACAGTGGGAGATTCTGGGAAAACTCTGTGCAGAAGATCGTGAGTGAGAAGGATACCCTCTGCACAGATGTGCGGAACCAGCAGTTCAGGCAGTTCTGCTACCAGGAGGCCAATGGACCCCGAGAAGTTTGCAGCCGACTCTACCACCTTTGCCATCAGTGGCTGAAGCCAGAAAGGCACACGAAAGCTGAGATGCTGGACCTGGTGATCTTGGAGCAGTTCCTGGCTGTCCTTCCCCTGGAGATGGAGAGCTGGGTGAGGGAATGTGGAGCGGAGACCAGTTCCCAGGCAGTGGCCCTGGCCGAAGGATTCCTCCTGAGTCAGGCAGAGGAGAAGAAGCAGGCAGAGAGAAAGCAGGTGAGAGAGGCTTCCCCCTGGATACTCCCAAGCACGTCTGAACAGGAGGGAGAGTATCCCCCAACACTGTAATAGTTTGCCCATCCTTTTTTGGAAAGCTTCCAAGGAATGATGTCTGACGCCATTGGAGTGTTTACATCTGCCATTCTTTTTCTAATTCCTCTCAAATCCTTCTTGCTCTTTCAGGGAAAGAATCCATTTGCAGAGATGGGCTCGGATTCCTCTGAGGCAAAGAGGACTCTGTTGGACACCAGAGAGAGGCCCCCAGGTAGGAAGCAATGAGGTTTTTCTCTTTCTTTGCTCACGTTCTGTGGATTTTGAAACTAATCTGACAGTTCTTCACATCTTTTTGGAGAAAACATTTGTGACCTAGAATCCTAAGGAGGGGAGTTGTCTTTTTACACAGCTAAACGACGAAATGGGTACAAACGTCCAAATGAAAGCAGCAAGTGAGGCTTTTTCTAAGGCCCACCTGTAGCTAGAGATGCACAACTTCACCTCTGAGAGAAGCATGCCCTCATGGCTTCCCATTTAACTTTGGCAGGTGACAGAAGGATGCTGACAAGACCTCCGCACCTGCCTTTCCATGGAGGTGCAGCAGAAGCAGTGGCTGAGGAACCGGATCAGGTAGCGGGAAGGAGCCTTGTGGGGAAGAGGCAGAGGGGTGGGGCAGCCAGACTGCTTTTTGGCCCAAAGGAATCTCCTCTCCTCCGCTTGACTTCTGTCAAAGCTGCCCTGAACAAAGTCTGAGCATGTCAATCAAGGTTTATGTGTTGAGAATAAGGATCTTCACCTAGACTGGCCTTCAGAAGGTTGCTAGCATTATGTATCAGTTTTGTTGTTGTTGTTTAGTTGTTTAGTCGTGTCCGACTCTTCGTGACCCCCTGGACCAGAGCACGCCAGGCATACTCCTGTCTTCTACTGCTTCCTGCAGTTTGGTCAAACTCATGTTCATAGCTTCGAGAACACTGTCCAACCATCTCGTCCTCTGTCGTCCCCTTCTCCTTGAGCCCTCCATCTTTCCCAACATCAGGGTCTTTTCCAGGGAGTCTTCTCTTCTCATGAGGTGGCCAAAGTCTTGGAGCCTCAGCTTCACGATCTGTCCTTCCAGTGAGCACTCAGGGCTGATTTCCTTCAGAATTGATTGGTTTGATCTTCTTGCAGTCCATGGGACTCTCAAGAGTCTCCTCTAGCACCATAATTCGAAAGCATCCATTCTTCGGCGATCAGCCTTCTTTATGGTCCAGCTCTCACTTCCATACATCAGTACTGGGAAAACCATGGCTTTAACTAGACGGACCTTTGTTGGCAAGGTGATGTCTCTGCTTTTTAAGATGCTGTCTAGGTATTTACATCTTTATCTCTTAATGCTAAAATCGGCTTATCAGCTGTCGGAAAACCATACAACAGATTGGTGAGGATTCACCTAACTGCCCTACCAGCTGCACAACGAGGCTATTTTCCCTCTCACCCCCTTCCCTGTGTCCCCAGGTGCCCCTTGAAGTTGGCTTTAAGGTACAAGGAAGGTTCTGCCCCAGAACAGCAGACAGGGGGTCCTTCCATGGGGCAAACGGGAAGGCTTGCGCAGATAAAATGATTGGAAGACTACCTTGTGGAGTTCCACTCTTTTCCAAAAGATTAATACCCGTCATTCAAAGGCACAATTAAATACATTAAAAGAATCTCACGTGTAATTAAAATATGCAGGAAAACAATCCCATTAAAACAACACAGCCACTGACAGGCAGAAAACAACAGAGCAGCGTGCAATAGATAATCTTTATGTTGTCTAAGAGGAACATACTTTTTCATTTTAGGGTCCTGTGTGCTTTGAAGATGTAGCTCTCCATTTCACAGATGAGGAATGGGCATTGCTGGATCCTGACCAGAGAGCTCTGCATAAGGAAGTCATGGAGGAGAATCGTGGGATCATGGACTCGCTTGGTAAGGCTCCCTGTTGGATCATAATATCAGTTTTGGAATCATAATATCAGTTTTGGAATTCAGTACATACAGTATCTCTATGTAACGAACCTCCAATTTTTTGATGACGCTCAGCAGGACCACGTACAACATTTGGGATTCTAACACACACCCCCCCCCCAAAGCACACTGTGAATGGAGAGCTATCTAATGTTGTCTGTGAATGTTCTTCCTCCAGTTACGCCTTTTTAAATAATGACCAGGCTGCTGTGAAATGACCGGACTGTTAAAATGTAGGCTTTGGAGTGCTAAGGGAACCTGAAGTAGCTTCTGCCAGGATGTTTATTTATTTTATTGCTTCTGTCAGGTTTTTTATTACCAAAAAAGGCAGGCTTCCATGATAGGGCCAAACAAGAAAGAGCCGTGCTTTTCCAAACTCAGGTTACCAAAGATACGTCTCTTAATGCCAGTTAACAAAGGTAGCAAACCCTGTAGGAAGACCTCACAACTAATTCCGTTCAGTTCTTCCTCTATCACAAGCATTCATTAGCATCATTCAGTAATTTGGGGCTCCATTTCTTCCTAATTTGTTTCTCTCTTCATTGCAGGTGGTGATGAATTGGAAATTAGGAACAAGAGAGAACAGGACAAAATCCACACAGTGAAAAAACCATATCAATATTTGGAGAGCAGAGAGAGTTTCAGGCAGAGCTCCCATTCCTCTTCCCATCAGAGAAATCCCATTGGACAGAAACCCTATCAGTGCTTGGAATGTGGGAGGAGCTTCAGCCGGAACTCCAATCTCACCTCCCATCAAATAATTCATACAGGGGAGAAAGCATATCAGTGCTTGGAATGTGGAAAGAGATTCACCCATAAGAAAAATCTCACTTGCCATCAAAGAATTCATACTGGGGAGAATCCATACCAGTGCTTGGAATGTGGGAAGAGCTTCATTCGGAGAGAAAGTCTGACATCCCATCAAAGAAATCATACAGGAGATAAACCATATCAGTGCTTGGAATGTGGGAAGAGCTTCAACCAGAAGAAAAATCTCATTTCCCATCAAATAATTCATACAAGGGAGAAACCATATCAGTGTTTGGAATGTGGAAAGAGATTCCGTAAGAGCTGCCATCTCACACCCCATCAAAGAATTCATACTGGAGAAAAACCCTATCAGTGCTTGGAATGTGGAAAGAGCTTCAGTCGGAAAGATAGTCTCAATTCCCACAGAAGAATTCATAGTGGGGAGGAGCCATATCAGTGCATGGAATGTGGAAAAAGCTTCACCTGGAAGGAAAGTCTCAATTCCCACCAAAGACTTCATAGTGGGGAGGAACCATTTAAATGCTTGGAATGTGGAAACAGCTTCAGTTGTAAGAGAAATCTCACTTTCCATCAAACAATTCATACAGGAGAGAAACCATATCAGTGCTTGGAATGTGGGAACACCTTCACCCAGAAGTTAAGTCTCATTTCCCACCATCTAATTCATACAGGGGAGAGACCGTATCAGTGCTTGGAGTGTGGGAAAAGTTTCAATAAGAGGGGCAATCTCACAGCTCATCAAAGAATTCATACAAGGGGGAAACCATAGCAGTGCTTGGAATATGGCAAGAGCTTCAGTAAGCCCCAGTCTCACTGCCCATCAAAGAACTCATAGTGCAGAGAAACCATCTGTCAGGAGACTTCAGTATGTGGATGAGGATTGCAATGGAGTAGACCCCCAGTGCCCAATATTTCTTCATGGTGCAAGTCGCTGTACGAGGTGTTGAATACCTTTTCCACGTCACATATGGGGAGACAGTTTGGAGCAATTTGGCAACACTGACGAGGTAGCCATCAATGCTGATCTCTGAAGACATTGATCTCCAATGTTGCAAATTTGTGCTGCTGCTGACTGCAACTGTCGTCCTTTGCATGTCCAGGATGGTGTCATCATGAAACTCTTCCTGGTATCTGCTGAGCACACACAGAAAATAAGGACGCAGTCCAGGAGGAAGACGCAGAACCATTGCATAACAGTTCCTCCAGCTCCCGTCCCTCCTAGACAGGGGTCTGCAACCCGTGGCTCCGGAGCCGCATGTGGCTCTTTTACACCTTTGCCGCGGCTCCGGGGCGGATACTAGCGAGGGAGAGGCGCATTGTGCGCCCTGACACTCCCCACTGTGGCGGGCGCTATACTGGCTGTGACGTCGCATGGGGGGCGGTGCGTGCGTTAGTCACGCACTGTCCCGACCTCACCTTCCCGGTTTTGCGGCTCCCAGTTTTTTCCCTTTCGGAAACGGTCCAAGTGGCTCTTTTTGTCTTAAAGGTTGCAGACCCCTGTCCTAGACGGTTGCTGAGAGATCCAGCAGAACCAGGAAACAGCTTTCACATCTGTCCATAGTCCGCCGGAAATCATGCAACCTTCGCGACCAAGGCTGTTTCAGTCCCATGATGGGGCCTGAAGCCCAGTTGGAAAGGGATCCAAATGGTTTCTCTCGCACCATGAAAAACCCCTCTTGAATGAGGAAGGGATAACACACTTGAGGAGTGTTAGCCACATGTCACACATTCATGTATTTGGGTATTACCTATGTCTGTTACCCAAGGGAAGCAGGCACAAGTTAGATTCCAGGGCAGAAGAGACTATGGCGATTGGCTGTGTTTTGGGAAGCAAAAAATATAGGGAAAGGCAGCACCAAGGCATGAGGTTCATTTTGCTCATGAGTAGGCATACTAAGGCCTGGTGGGCCGGATCTGGCTCAATCGCCTTCTAAATCCACCCCTCTATCTGGGAATCAGCGTGTTTTTACATGAGTAGAATGTGTCCTTTTATTTAAAATGCATCTCTGGGTTATTTGTGGGGCACAGGAATTCATTATTATTTCTTTCTTCAAAATATAGCCTGGCCCCCCACAAGGTCTGAGGGACAGTAGACCGGCCCCCTGCTGAAAAAGGTTGCTAACCCGATTTTGATGAACACAGGAAGACTGATGAGAAGAACTTTGATAGATTTTTACAAGGAGTCAGGGATTAGGGTTAGGGGTGTAGGATTAGAGGGTTAGGGTTGGAATAGGGTTGAGGGGTAGGGGTTGCAGTTAGTGTTACATTAGGGTAAGGGGTTAAAGCAGGGGTTGTCAACCTGGTCCCTACCGCCCACCAGTGGGCGTTTCAGGATCCTAGGTGGACAGTAGGGGGGTTCTACGGCACAAGCTGAATCCTCCTTCCATCGAGCACTGGGGGCGGTAAGGAAATTTTACCATCAAGAAAGATGCATTTATGGGCAGTAGGTATAAAAAGGTTGACTACCCCTGGATTAAAGTCACCATTAGAGTTAGGGTTAGGGGTTTGTGTTGGGGTTTTGGTTAGAGGGGTTGAGTTCAGGGGTTAGGGATGTGGGGTTAGAGGGTTGTTAGCTTTAGGGTCGGGATAATTGTACAGGATTCGGCGTCAAGTTTAGGATTAGAGCTTGAGGGTTGGGTTACGGTTAGGGGTTAATGTTCAGGTTTTGGCTTATGGTTAGGGATTTAGGGTTAGATTTGAGTTGGGTTGTGAGGGTGGGTGGGGTTAGGGGTAGGGGAAGCTGGAAGCAAGGCATTGGGCTGGACAGAGAAATGTTTGATTTGCTTGAATACAAGACTATGGGGCAAGAAAGAACTTCTTGGGGTATTGATGGTGTGATCTCCTCCATCGCAGGGTCAGGTTGTAGATATGTGTAAATAAACCATATATCCTAAAGACACCACAGTCGTCCCTCATTCTAGGAAACATAAACCCTGGGTTTGTGAAGAGTGAGATATAGAGCTATGGATTCAACCCCCAACATCTTCAGATGGGGCTGGGAATGTCCTTTGAGACCTTGGAGAACATCTGCAGTCTGTGGAGACAAATTAGAGTTAGCTGAAGCAAAGGTCTGACGTGGGATAAAGGAGCCCCCATGATCCCATGTCTTTGTCATCGTAAAAAACATGGTAGCCTCAGTGCAAGAGGATGCTAAACCCAGCAAAGGAGTCCCCAGCAGGCCATATGACCTTGGTGAGAAATCTCTGAGAAGCAGGAATCCCACTGACACATTCCCCCAGAGAGAGAAGGGGCTAGTCTGGTGTGGGTCGCCATGCATAAGAGAGCCACTGTGGTGTAATGTGTAGAGCAGCCTTTCTCCACCTTGGGTCCCCAGATGTTGGACTACAAGTCCCATCATCCCTAAGGTGGTCAGGGAGTGGAGAGTGTTGGATGGACTAGGACCTGGAAGACCAAGTTTCGAATCCCCACTCCATCACTGTCTCTTAGCTTGACCTGCTTCCCTATGTTGCTGGGAGAAGACCATGTATGGCGCCTTGAGCTCCATAGAAGGTGGGATGTCAATATAAATAGCTAATAAATGAAAATAAATAGCACACGTACATCAGAATAACACATAAGAATCTATTATCCCCATTCCAACCAAAGGTGACAGAATTCATGAGCTGCAATCCAGCAGTTTCACGCTGCAATCTCCTTTTGAAATTATTCTCTTGGGAGAACAAAAGGTTTTGGGAAAGAGTTATGTTCTCCCCCACTTTATACTTTCAGATGCTCAAATGATCAGTGAAGGGCACAATCTGCCTTCCTGTAGCTGCAGGTACAAAGCAAGCATGCCCAAATGTTCTCAGGGCACAGCCGATCTCAATGCCAGTGACACAGCATCAGAGGAAAAACTGAGTTGAGCAGCTCTGTGACTGTAGTGCTAAGTATCCCCATTTGTTTGCTGAATCCACTGAAATTCTAACCAGGGCATGGTGAAAACAGTGTTAGGAGCTAAATCCTGTGTGTGTGTGTGTGTGTGTGTGTGTGTGTGTGTAGCCTCAGAACTCAATCCTAGGGGCAGTAACGCTTTAGAAACTTAAGTTTTCAGCTCTGCCCCAGCAGGAATATCTTGAGGAGTCAGAAGCTTAGATGAGATCCCCATTTTAGAGAGTTGGGTATCAAAAAAGCGAAACCCATTGATCTATGGTTTCATGTGGCAGAGACTTAAGTTCGCAGGAGAGCCATCTTAGAACCAACAACGTAGGTGTATCTCAATGCAAGCGTCAGTTTTTTGGTAGGGGAAGGAAGAATGGCGTATAAACTATGGATTCAGCTGTAAGTTTCATTCTTCAGTTTAAAACCAGTTAGAACTAGTTCAGTTTTTCAAAACCAGAATGTAAATTAATCACCACTTAACCAAGACCCACATTCCTCTCTGCTCTCTGCTCAAAATGTAGGACTAGGAGCAAGCTATCATTCCCCTGACCAAAATGCCCACAGTGATACTGAGTTGGAGAATGAAATCAAGGAAACGGCCAAAAGAGGAAGGGATGCCAGAATCAACAGCAACACTTTATTACAGTCGTAGACCAGCAGAATATCAGAATCAGCGACTTCTGATTACCAGCACATATACTGGCTACATGTGTGTTGTTGTTTTTAAATGTATTGTTATTGAATTATTTTTTACACAAAATAAAAATCAGACTAGTCTACAGAAGAAGAATAAAAAACAAACAGGAACATGTACAGAGGAGGGCAAGCGTATGGAAACCAAGTCTTACGACGAATGGTTGAGGGAACTGGATATCTCTAGCCTGGAAAGGAGGAGAGTGAGAGGAGATAGAATAGCTATCTAAAAATGGCTTACCACTGTGTGGTAAGAATTCACTTCTACACCATCTTGTTTGCTACCCAAGTGAAGAGCAACCACCTCTTGAATAAACCACAGAACCAGGGAAACTATTTTTCACGTCCACCATCTGGATTTAGGGACCCAGCATTTATTATAGCTATTGCATTAGGACAGAGCTCACTCAACTCAACGTGCCAGTTGAGAAGGTCTGCCCCAAGGAAATTCAGAATAAAAGTAGAGGGTCACCTCCACAGGCACATACCTCCACATGTGGTTGGAGTGCCCCCAAATCCAACTATTCTGGACAACAACCATACAAGAAATAAGTAAAATAACCAAGCAAGTATTAGAAATCATCCCAGAATTGGTCCTACTAAACATCTTCCAAGACAATAATGCCCATTTACACCAGAAAGAACTCATAACCCACCTACTTTCAGCAGCCAGAATCATAATAGCCAGACACTGGAGAGACCTGTCAGGAATAAGCATGGACCAAGGTACCAAATAGTATGGGAAACAGCCTTACTAGAAAAATTAACCAATAAACTGAAACTGACACGGGGACAAATAGAAGAAGACGCCTTCACCCCGGTATGGCTCCCCTTTATCACATACACAGCCCAACAAAACAACAAGAATCCACCAATAGCATACAAATCAATATGGCTAACCTGATCCAAAACACCCACCCCAGTCACACATGAAACAAAGATCACCACAGCAAACCACAAATGAATAACCACACCCTAGGCCAACCCCAACCTCTCTCAGGAACATAAGTTAACAGCAGAGAACCTGCACAAGCAACGCTGACACCAAACCCCACATATATTAAGTAAAATAGAAACATCGCCACCCGACCCCACCCCCACGCATCTTTCCCCCCTCCACCTCTTTCCCCCTATTCTTCTGAATGTCTCAACAAATGAAACTGATTTGTAAAAATGTTACGGGGGGGGGGGGATACGAGAGAGAGATTGCAAACACTTTTGTAAATCATTAAGATCTTTAATAAAACAAATAAAAATAAGGCAATCTTAAACATAAAACATCTCCTTTACATGTGTCAAGAAAGGTCACAGGTCATTGGACAGAAAACACGCATGGCTCCATCCTGGTATCTTCACCCCTGCAGTCACCTTGAAGTGGCCCCGATGTGCCCAGGCCATTTGACCATTTCTGGCACTGGATGTCCCTCGCTGCCCTGGCAACCAAGCCTATGGTAAGTCTTTCTTGACATTTCTCCATCTATCAAGAAGCTTCCAAGGATTTCTTCCCTGGTGCTACCTCATGACTGACCTAGGAAAACATCCTGTCATTTGTGCCACTTTCTGGGTCAGATAAGGAGAGATGGAATGTAGCGTAAAAGGGGGGAGATTCACAAATGCACAACACACACAAAAACAAGCCTAATACATTCTAAAAGGTTAAATGCAATTCAAGTGAAACACTGAAATATTATTAAAACAATAAAAATATACACCTGGGGTCACTAATTCTTATATCATTCCCCCGCTGTGATCATAACCTTTTCAAGGATTATGACCACACTTTATCAGAGTTATCAATCGACCTATTGGCCTTAGGTACAAAACAACACACTTTTACAAGCATTGAATACCACAACATAGCAATATAAAACACAGAATGACTGAGAGGAAAACGAATAACTCTCCTTCCAAGGCTTCCTTGATCTCACTAATCTGAGGAGATCAGCCTTTCAGGAACCTTGGGGAAGTATTCTCCCTTGCTTTAAACATGATAGTCTAGGTTTTATACACAGTAGGAAGGTCTATTAATAAAGAAACATGAATTTTATTGCTTCAGCTTTTTTTTATTCCCGGTGTCAAATTAGTCTTCTGGACCCAATATCTTTGCTATTCCACAACAATTCCCCTTTAATGAATCCCTGGTAAGGGCTTTCATCAATCATCAGCAATCTCCTGATTTGGCACACGTCCTGAGAGAAATTATATTCAACATTGCCATCCATTCTGGCAGGTTTCATCCCATAGCAGGTGAAGCAAACCTGTTTTCCCCTACTCTGGAGGAGAGAACCCGCACCAATGGATGCAAGTTGCAAGAATTTAAGTTGCAAGTTGTAAGCATTTTATTTTCAATTTATATTATTGTGCTCCAACATAATTGCACCCCAGATTTAAGTGTATTTGCATATTTGGGGGGGCTATTGGGTGGTTGTTTTTATTCTTATTATGAATTTTGTGATTTTATATCTTGATTTTACTCTGTGAACCGCCCTGAGACCCCGGGGTATAGGGCGGTATATAAATTAAACTAGTAATAATAATAAGAAGAAAAGAGATGCAGACTAAACATCAGGAAGAATCTTCTGCAGGTAAAAGCTATTTCAAAGTGGAACCGGCTGCCTCAGAAGGTGGTGGTTTCTCTCTCTTGGTGGGTTTTAAGCAGAGGGTGAAGATTGCTGCATTGTGGAGGGATGGACTAGATGACCTGCAGAGTCCCTGCTCTGATACAATTATATGTCTCTATGATTCCCCCTGCCATGAGTTATTTCATAGAGAGTGAGATTGGAGCTATGTCTGAAGCTCTTTTCACATTCCAAGCACTGCTACGGTTTCTCCACCATATGGATTCTTTGATGGGAAGTGAGACTCCTCTTAGAATTGAAGCTGTTTCCACATTCCAAGCATATAAATGGTTTATCCCCAGTGTGAATTCTTTGATGGGAAGTAAGGCTATCCTTCCGACTAAAGCTCTTCCCACATTCGAAGCACTGATATGGTTTCTCCCCTGTATGAATTCTTTGATGGATTATGAGACTGGTCCTCTGACTGAAGCTCTTTCCACATTCAACACACAGATATGGTTTCTCCCCTTTATGGATTCTTTGATGGGACATGAGACTTTTCTTCCAACGAAAGCTCTTTCCACATTCTGTGCACAGATATAATTTTTCCCCGCTGTGAGTTATCTGATGGGAAGTGAGAGAGGCCATATTAATGAAGTTCTTCTCACATTTTGTGCACTGATATTGTTTCTCCCCTGTATGGATTCTCTGATGGTACATGAGACTGGCGCTCTGAGGGAAGCTTTTTCCACATTCCAAGCACTGATATGGTTTCTCCCCTGTGTGAATTCTTTCATGACAACTGAGAACATTCTTTCGACTGAAGCTCTTTCCACACTCTAAGCACTGATATGGCTTCTTCCCTGTGTGAATTATTTGATGGGAAGTGAGACTATCCTTCCGACCGAAACTCTTTCCGCATTCCATGCACTGATATGGTTTCTCCCCGCTGTGAGTTATTTGGTGGGAAGCCAGAGCAGCCCTTTGACGGAAGCTCTTTCCACACTCCAAGCACTCATATGGTTTCTCACCAGTATGGATTCTCTGATGGACTGTGAGGGTGATGCTATGACTGAAGCTCTTTCCGCATTCAAAGCACGGATATAGTTTCTTCCCCGTATGTATTATTTCATGGGAAGTGAGACTTTTCTTCCAGGCGAAGCTCTTTCCACATTCCGTGCACAGGTATGGTTTCTCCCCTGTATGAATTCTTTGATGGGAAGTGAGATTGGCCCTCTGAATGAAGCTCTTTCCACATTCCAAGCAGGAATATGGTTTCTCCCCGCTGTGATTTCTTTCATTGGAAGAGAGGTTGGATTTTCGACAGAGGTTCTTTTCACATTCCGAATACTGATAGAGTTTCTTCCCCAAGAGATTTATTAGATGGGGAGTGGAGTGGGAGCTCTGACTGAAATTCCCATGTCCCGGATATTTAAATGGCTTCTCCTCCATGTGGATTTTGTCATGCTCTCCCTTATTCTTATTTTCCAATTCACCTGCAACAAAGAGAGAAACTGATTAGAGCTTCAAGAAGAAATGCAGGTCTTAAATATTGGAACAACCAGCTTCGTGTTTCTTGCCGAGGAAAATGGCTGCCTCTCATAAGATTGGGCCACCGGTCGTGCCAGAAAATCAGGGCTAAAAGGAGGGTAATTAGTCCTGCCGACCCCTCCAGGGTAGGGGGGGCTATCTCACCCACAGATTTCCATTATCAGCCACCTGCACCAAGATGTGGGGGCTGGGACACTGGGTGCCGAGCCTGGCATGAAACTGGGCACTCTCCGGAGCCACTCCCACGAGCGGGAGATACCTGTTTTCTAAAAATTAATAAGGTAAAGGTAAAGGTACCCCTGCCCATACGGGCCAGTCTTGACAGACTCTGGGGTTGTGCGCCCATCTCACTCAAGAGGCCGGGTGCCAGCGCTGTCCGGAGACACTTCCGGGTCACGTGGCCAGCATGACAAAGCTGCATCTGGCGAGCCAGCGCAGCACACGGAAACGCCGTTTACTTTCCCGCCAGTAAGCAGTCCCTATTTATCTACTTGCACCCGAAGGTGCTTTCGAACTGCTAGGTTGGCAGGCGCTGGGACCGAGCAGCAGGAGCACACCCCGCCGCGGGGATTCGAACCGCGACCTTTCAATCGGCAAGCCCTAGGCGCTGAGGCTTTTACCCACAGCGCCACCCGCGTCCCCCCCAAAAAATATTAATAAGATGCAGACTAAAAACAGGTGTGTTCTGGATGGAAGGAGATTTTAAAAAAAAACAATCTGCCAAACTATACAATTGTTGGACACCAAGCTTTGGACTTCAAAGAGACTTTTCTTTTGGCATTTGGATTAATGAGGTGAGCAGCTGCCGTTCTTTTGTTTACGTTATATTTGCTACTTCATGATTTTAAAAGTCCTGAGCAGTTCAGTGCAGCAAAATTGGAGAAAGAATATTCACTGACAAAACAGTAGATAGCCCTCCAATCAAGGTGAGCTGTGGGGTGTTAAAATATCAGATGCTGTATGCAGCACTGTCAAACCCCATCATAATATATTTCTAAGCAGATAATATGATCCAACAGGGAGCCTTACCGAGAGAGTCCATGATCCCACGATTCTCCCCCATGACTTCCTTATGCAGAGCTCTCTGGTCAGGATCCAGCAACGCCCATTCCTCGTCTGTGAAATGAACAGCTACATCTTCAAAGCACACTGGACCCTAAAAGAAAAAGGGGAAAGTCTTCTTCTTAGAAAACATTATCTACTACACATTGCTTTGTAGTTTTTTGCCTGTTAATTGCTGTGTTCCTTTAATGGGATTGTTTTGTTGTACATTTTAATCATGGATGCTTCTTTTACATGTCTTTCATTGTGTCTTTTATTAATGGGTATTAATCTATGTGTAAGTGGGTGGAGCTCCACATGGCATTCTTCAAATCAGTCTGCGCAAGCGTCCGTTTCCCAGATGGAAGGATCCCCTTTCCTCTCCCCGTCTGATGTTCTGGAGGAGAAAACTTCCCCAATGCCCTAAGACCAACTTCAAGGGGGTGCAGGGGGTCACAGGAGGGGAAGGAGGGAGAAAGCGCAACTGATGGGGCTCATTTGGTGAATCCTGGTCACTATTATTTTTATGGTTAGAAGCCTATTTTAATATTAAATGGGAAATCAATAAATAAAACTACAAATACAGATAAATAATACCAGCAATATTCATACGGCCAGTTAAGGTGAGATGGCTGTTTATTAACCTTCTGGAATTGCATGTTAAGCCTTTGTTAAGGACAGGCATGACAGAAACCAAGATGAGGAGAGGGATTCATCCTGACCCAGAGGCACCTGGCTGCCCCGTCCCTCAGCCTCCTTCCCACAATGCTCCTTCCTCCTACCTGAATTCCTTCCACAGCCACTTCTTCCCCTCCACCAGGAAAAGATGGATGAGGAGCTCTTGCCATCGTCCTTCTGTCAGCTGCAGGACAAAAAGGTAAGTGGGAAGTCTAAGTGCCTGCTTCTCAGAGGTTTAAGCAGCGCAGCACTAAACACAGAAGAGCCTTTCTAAAAGCCTCACCTGCTGAGTGAATGTTGATGTTTGTACCCATTTCATATGTTAGTTGTGCAAAAACACATCTCCCCTCCTTTGGGGTCTTGGCCCCAAATGATTAAAAGAACCTGCAGATTAGTTCTAAAACAAACAGAATGTGACCAAACAGAGAAAAAACTCCTTCCTCCTTACCCAGTGGCCTCTCTCTGGCGTCCAACGGAGTTTTCTCTGCCTCAGAGGAATCCAGGCCCAATTCTGCAAACAGATCCTTTCCCTGAAAGAGATACAGGGATTCAAAACAGAGAACGGGAAGAAGGATTGGAAAAGGAATGGCTGAGGGGAAAACTTTAGGGGTATCTAATATGATTCAATTAATGCTTTCCAAAAATGGATGGGCCATTAGAAGAGAGTTTGGGGGAACTCTCCCTCCTGTTTGGAGCCCCTTTGGAATACCCAGAGGAAAGTATCTCTCACCTGCTGCTCTGCCTGCTTCCTCTCCTCTCCCTGACTCAGGAGGAATCCTTCGGCCAGGGCCACCGCCTGGGAACTGGTCTCTGCTCCACATTCCCTCACCCAGCTCTCCATCTCCTCTGGAAGGACAGCCAGAAACTGCTCCAAGATCAGCAGGTCCAGCATCTCAGCTTTTGTATGCCTTTCTGGCTTCAGCCACTGATGGTCAAGGTGGTAGAATCGACCACAAACCTCTCGGGGTCCATCAGTCTCCTGGTAGCAGAACTGCCTGAACTGCTGGCTCTGCACATCTGAGTGGAGAGTTTCCTCCTCACTCACGATCTTCTTCATGGAGCTTTCCCAGCATCCCTCACTGCTCTCAGTGTTGATGGCATGGCCTCTTCCTGCTTCTGGGCCAGCTGAGTCTTGCTCATCCATCTGGGCTCTCAGGAAGCCTCCAAGAGATCACATGTAAGCCCTTGGTCTTCTGCCAAGTTCCATCTGTCCTAAGTAGAGGTAAATCCTGCAAAGTAAATACATATGAAATTGATACACGGCCAGGAGAAAAAAGAGGGTCCCTGACCAAGCATGGGTGAGTTTTGCTGGGAACTAGGGATAGACTACACTGCAGCCCAAACTCTGACCTTTCTTTACAGAAAGAAGACACAGAAGAAGATGGAAAAGCAGTGAGCATCTTGTCCTCCTGGAAGTTACTATGCAAAATGTGCAGGAAACAGAAATGGAATTGCTGACAGATGGATCATCCTAGTTGCTCCTGACTTTCAGCGTTTTCAGTCAATGAACGAAGTCAGAACTGTGAATGACAAGTGAGGTATTTGTACCAAGTGTAATTTTCAGCAATTGCAATTCAGAAGCCTCCCTATCTCCAACTGAGGAGGACAGAGCAGAGCCATCCTGGCTAAACGCTTCTAAAAAGCTTTAAAGAGCTCCTCTTGTTTTTAAAGCCCTGTAGCTTGGCGGTCTCTTGTGGGAGGGAGTTCCATAGGTTCTGCACCATATGAAAAATCCCTTTCTTTTTTCTGCCCTCTGTTGTATATGTATAGGTTGGGGGGGGTGTTGCCCCTCCAGCAGATATCATGCATGTGCAGCCCACTACCAAAATCAGTGCAATCACCTTTGTGACTTTTGTGATTTGTCCCCACAAAACATTTCATCACAGTTTCTTCCTATCTATTCAAAGGGCCTCTGCTGCACGATACCAAATGTAAGAATTCACTGTGATAATCCCTGGCATCCTGATACCTGAGTGCCAGACAGGTAGCCATTCCCGAAATAAAAAACCCTGATGAAGACAAAAGGGTGGGATTAATTTGGCTGGGAAACAGGGAAATGCGAATATCTCTTTTATTACACTTGATGGGTGTTTGGTGGAGGGCAAGGGGAACCATGGGGCAGGGTCCAGGATGCTCAGATTACTGCCACCAGATCTCCCCTTTCATGATGTAACCGTGATGTATGAGTGATGTAGTTTGGGGGGATGTAACATGGGGGTTAGCAGCTAATAAAAGTTTGGGTTCTCTTTTGTTTGGGGCTTCCATCTTGTTCCACCTGGTGGCAGGTGGGAGTCTTCAATAAAGACGAAGCCAACTAGCTGCTGTTTTGCTCTGGGATTCCTGGCTGGTGTCCTTGTTTTTTGTCCTAGGGAGCCCTCATATTTCTCCGTTAACACCTCCATCTTCCAACAGTCATTTATTTGCTGCTGTTAAGGGGAAAATATTCTGGGGTGAAAGGCTACTCAACAGCCCAGCTCGTCAGGGTACAAGTCCCCTGCAAATCCATGCAGTCAGTAAAGGAAGGAAGTTCCAGCCAAGTAATTTGGAGCAAAACAGTGTCAGTAGACCATAATCTTTATTGTTGTGCAACAGGTCTCCACAGGAGTAAGAACCCAGAGCATGGGGTGACATTGACTTCTAAACCTTCCCTCTTTCCCCCAGAGTACACTTTGAGAGGCATCACTGATACATCATCACTACATCACTAGCATGTCACGAATGGGGAGGGGTACACAAGGACGCGGGTGGCGCTGTGGTCTAAGCCACAGAGCCTAGGGCTTGGCGATTGGAAAGTCGGTGGTTTGAATCCCGCAATGGGGTGAGCTCCCGTTGCTCGGTCCCAGCTCCTGCCAACCTAGCAGTTCGAAAGCACGTCAAAGTGTAAGTAGCTAAATAGGTACCGCTCTGGCACGAAGGTAAATGGCGTTTCCGTGTGCTGCTCTGGTTTGCCAGAAGCGGCTTAGTCATGCTGGCCACATGACCCAGAAGCTGTACTCTGGCTCCCTTGGCCAATAAAGCGAGATGAGCGCCGCAACCCCAGAGTTGGCCACGACTAGACCTAATGGTCAGGGGTCCCTTTACCTTTATACAAGGGTTACACAAGTTCAAAATTAGGTCACTTTATCAGACACCTTTCCCAACACCTCTTAAGTACTGTAATAAAAAAAATTAAAGTCATATATATGTGTGTGTGTGTGTGTGTGTGTGTGTGTGTGTAATAAATGTTCTTAAATGTACCAACCAAGCACGTACATAGATATTTGGACCACATGTCTGGAATGGCACAGGAAGACAGCCCTGAAACCATTTTGACTCCCAAACTAACCAAATGTTTTCTCTGCAAGGAGGGAGGGGGTGAGGGAACCTTCCCATTGTCTCAGGATTTAAGAAATCACCATTTAAAGGGAATGGCCAGACTACCAGGAAAGGCAATCAGATAAGGTCTTATCAGATAACTTGACAGACAGGAAAAACAACATTCAAATTTCTGTTGTAGACCGCCTTTTCTGTGATGTAGGTATGATGTTTGTGGGTGGTGGTCTTCTGTGATGTATGTATGATGTATGGAGGGGTGGTCTTGAGCTCCAGGGCAGGGAATTTAAAATGTCTATATAAGTACAGGCACACCTTGGATCAGTGGCGTAGCGTGGGTTGTCAGCACCCGGGGCAAGGCAAGTAATTTGCGCCCCCTAACCCGTGGTCAAAACAAAAAAAATTCCTTCCAGTAGCACCTTAAAGACCAACTAAGTTAGTTCTTGGTATGAGCTTTCGTGTGCATGCACACTTCTTCAGATTACCCTAACCCGTGGATTTGCGCCCCCTAACCTGTGGATTTGCCCTAACCCCAGATGTTGCACCCGGTGCGGCCGGCCCCCCCTACACCCCCCACGCTACGCCACTGCCTTGGATCTGGATCCTCCATTTGAGAGGAGCACCCTGTTGCAACAGATCAATCAAGATCAGGCTTACTAGCTGCTTTGCTTCTCAATATTCTCTGGTTGGCCTCTGTTATTTTCTCCGACCGATGGAGAACCCACTTAAGGACTCTATATGGGCTCTTGGAGACCCCATAAGGGAAGAAGTGCAGATTTTGTTTACAACAGTCCCCACGACCGAAAGAACAATAAAACGCTTTCCATCTCCTTGCCCCCAGAGCTTGTTTGGAGATGGGCTTTCAGAATACCCAGCTTGCTAAACTGCCTCTGGATGTCTCGTGTTGCCCCCCTGGTCACTCCCTGGGTGGGGGGCCGTGAATGCGCTCTCACGCTTGGGGGATTATGGTGGGATGCCCTGTTCCTGCTGCCTACGTGACTTCCCGCTTCTCGGTCCATGGAGGGAGGGGGAGCCCAAATTCACCTTTCTTTAAGGGTTGAAATGGCGTGGGAATGAGGAGAGTCGGTTAAAGTATGGATTTTCCTGCGAATTTATAAAGCTAGGTATCTTCCCTGACCTGTCAAGTCGAAAGGCATAAATGTGAGATTAATTTGCACGCCTTTATCCTGATCCAAAGAACTACACACCCACCCACTCCGTGGCAAACAGAGTTGGGATCCAAAGTAAGAACAGAGTTGCAGACTTCTTGCAAACTCGCCCCCCCCCTGGCTTTCGTTTTTCAGGAAGGGGGAGAAACCTCTGCTCCCCGATTTTATTTGGGGGGGCTCCACGCATCTGAACAGGCACCCTCCCCCTGTAGCCCTGGGACCCCCCCCCTTCTCCCCAATGTACCCGAAGGGGAAAGAGAGAGGAGACTCACCAGATCCCAGGAGACGCCGCAGAGGCAGCGCTTGCACCGGAGGAAGACAAAATATGCACATTCCTCCCCGGGCAGCAAGGGACTCTGCTCTGGAAAACCTGCCTTTCTTCCTTCCCCCTTTAGTAATCCGGCTCCGCTCCTTTTAACCCTTGCAAAGCCGAGCGGAGCAAGATCACCCCTCGCCCCGTCCCTCTGGAAAGCAGGAATCCGGGAGGAGCCCCGGGCATCGCGCGCAGCCAGAGGAGACGCTTCATTTTTTGGGGGGGAGCTGTCCTGGCTGGGCTCTGAGCTGCTCCACGAACGGGAGGAGCAGCTGGCAGTGGGGGAAAGCTGTGCAAGGAGCAGGAGTCGCCTTCCTAGGAGAGGAGGAGGAGGGGTCACCCCGTGGGTCAACCGATAGTGGGGCTTTCATGCACCTTCGTGTATTTCCCCTTGTACTGCCCTGGAGCTCAAGACCACCCTTCCATACATCATACATACACCACAGAAGGGGTGTAGCCCAAGACCACCACCCATAAACATCATACCTACATCACAGAAAAGGTGGTCTACAACAGAAATTTGAATGTTGTTTTTCCTGTCTGCCAGGTTATCTGATAATGCCTTATCTGATTGCCTTTCCTGGTTGTCTGCCCATTCCTTTGAAATGGTGATTACTAAATTCCTGTAACAAGGAAGGTTTTTTTCACTTGCCCCTGAAGTTTGATCTGCCCTCGGTTTGAGAGGGACTTGGCTGTGGTGGAAGGGGCTTCCCCTCTCCCTTTCCAGCAGATGACTATTTATAAACTCCCCCCAGTTTCCCCATGAGGACTGCAGGAAGAGCCTTCACTCCTACCTTCAGCCGTCTCCTCCACCAGGGTGGCAGTTTGCACATTTATTTTGTCTTCTTTGGTTTTGTTATTGTATAATTTTTATGTGGTGGACGTGGTACGAGAGAGTGGGTAGGGAATATTAAGAATAGTAAGCTTTTCTCATAGAGTTCATTGTTTTTTTCTGCCTATAGCCTTCGTCTTTAGCTATTTCACACGCTAATCGCTTTATACATGTTCCTCTTCTCTTTGATTCTCTCCTATCACACAAACATTCCTTTTGATGCTCTGCTTTCCCCATTCTCACGCGTTTTCTTTCTGAGTTTATAAACAGTCACCATTTGTATGCTGCGATTTCAACACACATCTCAAATCCACTTTGCTTGTGATCTTGGTTCTCCTGCTCGTTTCTGGTTCCACACGTCTTGACTTCCAGGATCAAATCCATAAGTGAGTCTTGAAGAACATCAGGGCTGGGAACTCCCCCGCCTGAAATGGTGGAGACACGGCCAGTTCCGATGCAGTGCAAGGGACCTGGGGCCCAACTTGGTCGAAGGCATGTTTTTACTTGAATCAACCCTTTGTTCAGGACCAGGAGCAGGGGAATATTACTTTGTTTTTAACAAAGCGTAAGAACATTGAATGGGATGCGGGTGGCGTTGTGGGTAAAACCTCAGTGCCTAGGACTTGCCGATCGTATGGTCGGCGGTTCGAATCCCCGCAGCGGGGTGAGCTCCCGTCTTGCAGTCCTAGCTCCTGCCCACCTAGCAGTTCGAAAGCACCCCTAAGTGCAAGTAGATAAATAGGGACCGCTTACTAGCGGGAAGGTAAACGGCGTTTCCGTGTGCTGCGCTGGCTCGCCAGAGCAGCTTCGTCACGCTGGCCATGTGACCCGGAAGTGTCTTCGGACAGCGCTGGCTCCCGGCCTCTTAAGTGAGATGAGCGCACAACCCTAGAGTTGGACACGACTGGCCTGTACGGGCAGGGGTAGCTTTTTAAGAACATTGGAGCCCACTTCCTGGGGAGTGGGGGTGGTGGTGGAGGACTCTATTGCCCTGGAGGTTTTTAAGCAGAGGTTGGAAAATGCACAGAAAAGCTCAAGATACACGTTGATCTACCCACATGTAGTTGTTATCCCTGAGAAACGTAGAAATAAAAATTAGCTGATGAAGGTGAATACATCGAAACAGGGCCCTGTCCTGGTTTCTGATCCATAATTGACTTCTGACTTCTGCTCTGGGATTGAAACTGAGTCTCCATCTGCAAGCTGATAAATTATAAGGATCAACATTATTGTCGAGTGAAAAAGAGAAAATCTTTGTAATGAAATATTGTGTTATACATATCTTTATGAGTTTTTGAGTTTGTAATCTCTGTTAGAGTTTGTAATCTCTACTTGAGTTTGTAATTCTTGTCAGAATACATACTTTTGAACGGATTAGTTTTTGTTACTATTGACTATTGACTTGTGAGTAGGGACCACTCCCACTATTGAAACTTAGATTGGCCTGAGTTCTTGGTGTGCTTTTTTCTCAGCTGAGATTCCTGCATTGCAGGGGTTGGACTGGATGACCCTTGGGGTCCCTTCCTGAGGAGACTGATGAGCTTTCCCAACCAGAAGTCAGAGGCTCCTCCACACCAAAGGAAGGTATTGTCCGTCCTCGCAAGGACATGCATAGGAATAGATTGATGCTCTACAGCAGAGCTTTTGTTTCATTGTTATTCTAATCGCAGAGAGGATGATCCCCTCCTCCTCCTCTTCCCCTCTCCCATTCCAGGGTTCTAGCAAGGGGCTTCCTGCTTCTTGCAAAGCCTTTCCCCTGTTCCTGGCCAAGGGAGGAAGCAGCTCTGAACTTAACCCGGCCAGGAGGGTCCCCCCAAAATAAAGCCTCTCCTACGGGTGCGCAATGCGCGGGGCTCCCTCCGCCTGGACTCCTGCTTCGGAGAGGGAGCGAGGCGGGAGGTTGGTGCGCTCGGCTGAGCAGGATTCCCGGAGAGACCAGGAATAAGGGCGGGAGGAGGGCAGAGCAAAAGCCCCTCCTGCAAAGGGAGCCCGGCTTTCGTCTCTCTCTGCAAGTGCTGCCTTGGAGGCGCCTCCCGGGATTTGGTGAGTCTCCTCTCTCTTCCCGCTTTGGGTTCAATGGGGAGAAAGGGGCCCAGGACTGCAGGGGAGGGTGCATTGGGGGGCTGTTCAGATCATGCATGGGGGGACCCCCAAGTCAATGAGACATTGCACATATCAAGAGATATAGTGAGAGGGAGAGCAACTCTTGAGGCCTCCAGGGTTAGGACCCGCAATCCGGCCTAGTGCTCAAATTGCACTCAGTAAGAATGATTCGCTTGCCAATAACAGTTCTGATTCATTCCTTGACTGAAAATACTGAAAAGAGCAGCTAGGCAGATTCATCATCCTGCCTGGACAACTTTCCTTCTAGGAGGGCTGGAGGCTTACTTCTCCTTCCGTTTGTTTGTTTGTTTGTTTGTTTGCTCGGTTCTTGAAGAAGGATCAGAGTCTGGCCTGTGATGAATTCCAGCCCTGGTTCTTAGCAAGACTCATCCATGCTTGCTCAGGGAACTTTGTTCTTCCTGTGGCCATGTATCTGTTTCATAACAGATTGGTCCCTTACCTTTTCCGCCCCGACCTGGCCACAGTGATCCATGCGACGGTCATCTCCAGGCTTGACTACTGTAATTCGCTCTACGCGGGGCTGCCCTTGAAGCTGTCCCAGAAACTCCAGCGGGTGCAGAATGCTGCAGCGAGGCTCCTCATGGGGTCTCTGCCATGGGAGCATATTCACCCAGTGCTTTTCCAGCTGCACTGGCTCCCGGTGGAGTACAGGGTCAGATTTAAGGTGCTGCTTTTGACCTTTCAAGCCCTTCACGGCCTAGGACCCTCGTACCTACGGGACCGCCTCGCCTGGTATGCCCCACGGAGAGCCTCAAGGTCCATAAATAACAACACCCTAGTGGTCCTGGGCCCTAAGGAAGTTAGATTAGCTTCAACCACAGCCAGGGCCTTTTCAACACTGGCTCCGGTCTGGTGGAACGCTCTGCCTCATGAGACCAGGGCCCTGCAGGATCTGATTTCTTTCCGCAGGGTCTGTAAGACAGAGTTGTTCCGCCTGGCCTTTGGCTTGGAGCCAATTTGATTCCCTCCCTCTCTTTCTTTTTTCTTTTCCTTCTCCTCCCGCGATGAGGCTACATTTTAATGTTCCATTATTTTAATGTTGTATTTTATTTTTGTTTTTAAGTTGTAATCATTCATCTTGTTTTTATTATTGCTTGTAAGCCGCTCTGAGCCCGGCCTTGGCTGGGGAGGGCGGGGTATAAATAAATATTATTATTATTATTATTATAGAACAATGTATTTGCTTTGTAGGATTTGCATACGCCTCTGGTTAGGACAGACGAACAAGGGATTCCTTCTGACCTCTTGGAAGCTTCCTGAGAACACAGATGGATGAGCAAGACTCAGCCGGCCCTGAAGCAGGAAGGGGCCATGTCATCAACACTGGGAGCAGTGAGGGATTCTGGGAAAGCTCTGTGCAGAAGATCCTGGGTGAGGAGGACACCCTCCACTCAGATGTGCAGAGCCAGCAGTTCAGGCAGTTGTGCCACCAGGAGACTGATGGACCCCGAGATGTTTGTGGTCGTTTCTACCACTTTGACCATCAGTGGCTGAAGCCAGAAAGGCTTACGAAAGCTCAGATGCTGGACCTGATGATCTTGGAGCAGTTCCTGGCCATCCTTCCACCAGAGATGGAGAGCTGGGTGAGGGAATGTGGAGCGGAGACCAGTTCCCAGGCAGTGGCCCTGGCCGAAGGATTCCTCCTGAGTCAGGCAGAGGAGAGGAAGCAGGCAGAGCAGCAGGTGAGAGAGACTTGCCTCTGGATACTCCCAAGGGGCTCCAAACAGGAGGGAGAGTATCTCCAAAATGCTCTCCTAATGGTCTCCTTTTTGGGGGGAAGCATCCTAGGAATTATATCAGATACCCCAAATTTTTCCTGTCATTCCTTTTGTAATCCTGCTCTCCATTCTTTGTTTTGAATCTTTGTTCTATCAGGGAAAGGATCTTTTTGCAGAAAGGAGCCTGGATTCCCCTGAGACAGAGAAGACTCCGTTGGACACCAGAGAGAGGCCACTGGGTAAGGAGGAAGGAGCTTTTTCTCTGTTTGGTCACATTCTGTGGATTTTGAACCTAATCGGTGGGTTCCTTTCCTTTTTTTGGGGGGGGGGAGACATTTGGGGCCAAGAGCCCAGAAAAGGAGAGATGTATTTTTGCACAACTAAATTATGGGTACAAACACTGGAATGCATTCCGCAGGGGAGACTTTTTCTGAGGCCCATCTTAAGTGAGAGAGGCACCGTTTCTCCTTGCAGAGAAGCATGAACTCGTGACTTCCCTTTGTCTCTCGCAGGTGGCACAATGACACTGGCAAGATCTCCTCATGGTGGTGAAGGAGAAGCAGGGGCTGTGGAATCAGACCAGGTAGGAAGAAGGAGCCTTGTGGGCAAAGAGGGGAAGCCAGGCTGCCTTTCAGCCTGAAGAAATCTCTCTCCTCCTCCCTTGGGCTTTTGCCAAAGCTGCTGTCAAGAAGGGCTGAAACTGCCATTCTGAGAATAATGCACAGCAGCCGCACCTCACCTCGCCTTCTGAATAGCGCTAGCATTATTTATCAATCACTATATTTTATTCTAATTGTCGAATGCTGATATGGGCTTTGAAGCCGTCAAGAAACCATACAAAACCGTTGTCAGGATCCAGCTAAGTGGCTCCATCAGTTGCACAATGGCTTCCCTGCTTTCCTCCCAGGGACCCCTTGAAGTTGGCTTTAGGGCATCAGGAAAGTCTCTCCTCCGCCCAGAACAGCGCATGGGAGAGTAGAGGCAGAGAGGAATCCTTGTGCAGATGGAATGGTTTGAAGACCACCATGTGGAGTTCCACCTGTTCACACCTAGATTAAGACCCATCGTTAAAAGGCAATGAAGAATTCCATGAAGGCCTTAAAAGAAGCATCCATAACTCAACTGTGCAGCTAAACATTCCCTTTAAAACAACACAATAATTGATAGGCAGGAAACAAGAGAGCAATAGGGATGTAGACTTGGAGAGTTGGAAGGGATCCCAAGGGTCATCTAGTCCAACCTTCTGCAATGCAATCATTTCAACAAAATGAAATAACATGACAGATGTCCATCCAAGCTCTGCTTAACAACCTCCAAGGAAGGACAACCCATCACCTTCTGAGGGAGTCGGTTCCTCTACTGAATAGTTCTTACCTGCAGGAAGTTCTTCCTCATGTTTAGCATAATAATAAGAATAAGAATAACAATAATAATAATAATAATTTATTATTTGTACCCTGCCCATCTGGCTGGGTTTCTCCAGCCACTCTAGGTGGCTTCCAACAAAGATTAAAAATTCATTAAAATGTCACACATTAAAAACTTCCCTGAACATGTAGCTTTTTTCTTGTAACTTGGATCCATTGGTTTGGTCCTAATGTGCAGAACAGCAGAAAAGGGGCTTCCTCCATCTTGTTCCCTCTTCCCTCTTGTTCCTCGATCCACCTTCCACGTGACAGACATTTACATATTTGCAGATGGTTATCATATCTCCTCTCAGTCTCCTTTTTCCCTGGCTAAACAAATAAAGCTCCTTCAAGAATGCCTCATAAGGCTTGGTTTTCAGACACCCCCCCCCGCACACATTCCAATTCCATCTTGTCAATCTCGTTCTTAAATTATGGTACCCTTAACTGCACAAAGGATTCCAGGTGTGGTCTGACCAGGGCAGAACGGAGCAGGACTGTTACTTTCCTTGATCTGGACACTAGATTTCCGTTGGATGCAGCCTAGAATGCTATTAGCTTTTTTTCCTCCTGCATCACACAGTCATCTCATGTTAAGCTCGTGGTCTACTAAGACCAGTGCTTTTTTCTTGGGGGACGCAGGGGTACGCATACCCCTAAACATTTTGTGAATCTAAGTTTGGCCTCATTGAGGGGCAGTATTTCAACATGAGTAGGAAAATGAGAGTACCCCTAAACATTTTTTAAGAAAAAAGCACTGACTAAGACCCCCTAGATCCTTTTCATAGGTACTACTGGTAAGCCAGATTTCCCCCATCTTATATTTCACAGAATCATAGAATTGTAGAGCTACTAATCCACAAGTTACCTTATCCAGCCCGCATGTTACCAGCTTCACCACAAAAGTATCAGGGAGGACACTGTCAAAAGTCTTATTGAAATCAAGATATACCATATCCACAGCATTCCCCTGATCCACCAAGATTGTAATTATGTCAAAAAAAGAAATGAGATTTGTCTGGCAAGTCTTGTTTTTGAGAAACCCATGCTATAGCTTAGTAATCACAACATCCTTTTCTAAGTGCTCCCAGACTGTTTAATCATCTGCTCTAGACTTTTCCCTGTGTGGAAGATAATCTTTATTGTGTCTAAAAGGAAGATACTTTTCTTTTTCCTTTTAGGGTTCAGTTTGCTTTGAAGATGTAGCTGTTCGTTTCACAGATGAGGAGTGGGCGTTGCTGGATCCTGACCAGAGAGCTCTGCATAAGGAAGTCATGGAGGAGAATTGTGGGATCGTGGACTCTCTAAGTAAGGCCTCCTGTTGGAACACAAGATCTGTTTTGAAATTCTTTACATATCTGTACATGATGAACCTCCAATATTTTGATGTACTTCCTACAGCATCTGGGATTCTAACACCCTCCCCCACAGCTCAGCTTGAATGGAGTGCTATCTACTCTTTCCTACTTTGAATATTCTTCCTCCATTGATGCCTTTTTAAACCATGATCAGGCTGGTGTGAACTGGCAAGGCTTTTTAAAATATGGTTTTGAGTTTGAGTAGCCTCTGTCAGGTTATTTGATTTTGCTTGTTTCCATTTTTGTTTGACCAAAGAGATGAATGACATTGGAGGTGGTGCGGATTCCATGATTGTGCTAAACAAAATCCATTGGAGGAAAGAGTCTGGCTTTTCAAATCTCAGGTTCCCATATTTTGAATTTGCATTTCTTCTTGAAACTAGAATCAGTTTCTCTCTTTGTTGCAGGTGGTGATGAATTGGAAAATAAGAATAAGGGAGAGCACGACAAAATCCACATAGAGGAGAAGTCATTTAAATATCCGGGACATGGGAATTTCAGCCAGAGCTCACACTCCACTTCCAATCTAAGAAATCTCTTGGGGAAGAAACTCTATCAGTATTCAGAATGTGGAAAGAACTTCTGTCGGGAATCCAACCTCACTTCTCATCAAATAACTCACAAAAGGGAGAAACCATTTCGGTGCCAAGAATGTGGAAAGAGCTTCAGTCAGACGAAAAGTCTCACTTCCCATCAAAGAATTCATACAGGAGAGAAACCATATCACTGCTTAGAATGTGGAAAGAGTTTCATTTGGAAGAAAAGACTCACTTCCCATCAAAGAATTCATACCGGGGAGAAACCATATCAGTGCCTGGCATGTGGAAAGAGCTTCAGAAACAGGGCCCATTTCACAGTCCATCAAAGAATTCATACAGGGGAGAAACCATTCCAGTGTTTGGAATGTGGAAAGAGCTTCAGTCGAAAAGATAGTCTCACTTCCCATCAAAAAATTCATACCAGGGAGAAACCATCTCAGTGCTTGGAATGTGGAAAAAGCTTCAGTCGGAAGGATGGTCTCAGGTCCCATCAAAGAATTCATACAGGAGAGAAACCATTTCAATGCTTGAAATGTGGAAAGAGCTTCAGTCAAAGGTCTGCTCTCACTTCCCATCAAATAACTCACAGTGGGGAGAAACCTTATCAGTGCACGGAATGTGGAAGAAGCTTCAGTCGGAAGGATGGTCTCATTTCCCATCAAAGAATTCATACAGGAGAGAAACCATATCAATGCTGGGAGTGTGGAAAGAGGTTCAATTGGAAAAAAATGCTAACTTCCCACCAAAGAATTCATACAGGAGAAAATCCATATCCATGCTTAGAATGTGGAAAAAGCTTCAGCCGGAAGGATAGTCTCACTTCACATCAAAGGATTCATACAGGGGAGAAACCGTATCAGTGCGTGGAATGTGGAAAGAGCTTCATTCAGAGTTCCAATCTCACTTCCCATCAAATTACTCACACTGGCGAGAAACCATTTAAATGCTTAGAATGTGGGAAAAGCTTCAATTCCAAGAGACGTCTCGCTTCCCATCAAAGAATCCATATGGGGGAGAAACCATATCCGTGCTTGGAATGTGGAAAGGGCTTCAGCCGTCATGCCAATCTAATGTTCCATCAAAGAACTCACAGTGGAGAGAATCAAAGGATTGTAGAGTTGAAGGGACTCTGCGGATCATCTAGTCCCTCCCCCTTGAATGCTGGAATCTCCACTATGACAGATAGTTATTCAACCTCTGCTTCAAAAACTCAAAGGAAGGAGAACCCACCACCTTCTGAATACATAGCTGAATACATCTTACCTGCAGAAAGGCCTTTCTGATATTTAGTATTCTATTTTCTTGTACCTTGAATCCATTGGTTTGGGTCCTACCATCCAGAGCAGGAGAAAACAGGCTTGTTCCATGTGACAGCCTATTAGATATTTGAAGATGGACATCATATCTCTTCTCAGTCTCCTTTTGTAGGCCAAGCATATCCAGATCCCTCAACTGTGCCTCACAAGGCTTGGTTTCCAGACTCTTGATCACCTTGGTTACTCTCCTCTGCACATGTTCCAGATTGTCCATATCTTCTCAAATCGTGGGTGCCCCGAACTGGATACAGGATTCTAGGTGTCCTGTGAAGGCAGTTTTGAGAATCTTTGAGTCTAGTTGGGATTCTGGGTGGTTTGTTCTATTGTGTATCTAGTTTCTGTATTTACCTGAGGAGTTTCTGAAAAAGATTCAGCCAAATATCACAGGCAAACTTCAGGCAAGTTATTGCATGAAGGGAGAGGAGAGGGAGATTATATTCTGTGGCACAAGGGAGAAATCGCTGTGATTAGGCAGGTGCTGCCAACCTTGTGGACCAGTGAGCACATTTCCAGATGCTTAGATAGTGGATGTGAATTTTAATTTTTTCAGTATTTTATCTTTTTGTATGTTCTAAAGCATGGTTGTAGATTTTTCTTGATTTTCTTGTTTTATCTTTTTGTAAATCACCTTGAGATTGTTGTGTTTTTTTACAAGCAGGCAGGGTATACATTTCATGAAATAAATAAAAGTAAAATATATATATATATTTGAATTTTGAGAGAGTGCTGGGGGTTGACAGGAAAGAGACTTATAGCAGCAACATAAATAATGGGACTATATAAGGAGGATGTGAAAATGAGAAGAGTATAATTCTAACTAAGTTAAAGATTTTAATATTAAAATATATTAGAGGAAGCAGGAGAAGTTAAGATGTAAAAAAACCCATAAGAGGAAGTTGAGGGAAATAACAGGGTGGGGGGGGGTTGGGAATTGTATTTTTTATATATAGTTGATATGAAATTTTGATGTTTAAAATGCAAAATCTAATACAAAATATTTTTTTGAAAAGGAAAGAGGGCTTATAGCTCTGTTGTGGAGCAGAAAACCTACATCTGATGTGAAAAAGAGCCTTAGCAGGAGCAGCAAACACTTTAAATTGGGGGGGCCCAGACTTTTTTCAAAGAAGGCCAGATTTCATGATGTGAACATGCGTGAGGGCCAACCAAAGTTATTGAGCTTTCTTTAGGGTTGAAGTTAGGGTTTTACCCCGGGATATATACTGCCACAGGGACCGGATTAAATTGACAGGTGGATCGGATATCCTGGTACCCACAGAGAATATTTCCTAGGTGAGCCTGTGCTTGTGCCCACACTCTGAGCATTCTCCATCCCACCCCGTCCTCCTCTACTCTTCTTTATTTCAGATTCAGTCAAGTAAAAAAGACATCGATCAACTCATAGGATTGCAACAGGTTGAAAGCAGCCTAAGGATGTGGACTATATGGAACTGGCAGAAATGACCGGCAGAATCCGAGACCAGGGAGAAGAGTCGGTGGAAGAAGATTGGAAGAAATTTAAAGACTATCTACAGAAATATTGTAAAATTAATGAATGTTAGAATGATGTTGGATAAAAAGTTAAGTGGTTTTTAGCTCTAACGCTATAATGAATATGAAAGAATGGATTATAAACAGGTAAAAATTTAATGGTATAATATTTTAAGATTAAAGACTAGGATAAACAAAGAGGGAAAGGATTTGCTGAACTAATAAATTGAATTGGAATACAAAAAAGGGAGGTGTGAGGAGGTCTGGGAAACAAGCAAATGAAAAATAAGTGATGGAAAGATGGAATTGTTTTGTAATTATTTTTATTTTGTATTTTTCTTTTTTCTTTTTTCACTCTGTAAAATCTTAATAAATATCTTTTTTTTAAAAAAAGAAAGAAAGCAGCCTAAGGATGAACATGATCATTAAACGAATTATTCCAAAAAATACCCATCTGTCCATGAACCTGTTACTGTACTTAGATTTATATTGTTGGGTTTTCTCCTTTGGCGATCGGTCCTAGCCGAGTAAGATTGTCTTCCATGAACACGGTCTCAACAGTGAATCTCAACTGTGAGACCATTGGTGAGGGGAGAAACACCCCTAAACCTGGGAATTAATATATGGTCTGGTTTTGATTATTTGGGATGTGAAAGGAGAAATGCCAGCTGCAGATTCTAGCAAGGGGTTCCCTGCTTCTCGCAGAGCCCTTTTCCCTTCCAGCTGCTGCTCCTCCTGTTTCTGGCCAAGGGAGGGAGCAGCTCAGAGCCCAGCCAGGAGGCCCCCCCCCAAAAAAAATGAAGCCTCTCCTCTGGCTGTGCGCAATGCACAGATCTGCTTGGGAGAGAGGAAGCGCAGAGGAGGGTGAGCTTGATGCGCTCGGCTTTGCAAGGGTTAAAAGGAGCAGAGCTGGATTCCTAGAGAGGAGAGGAAATTAGGTTCCGGGTGGGGGGGCCCAGTCCTCCAGTGCACCAGTCCCTCCCCCCAAAGTCCTCCCTGAAGGGGAGCAGGCGGCGGGGTCTTGGCTTTTCCTCCTGTGCAAGCGCTTCCTTGGTGGCGCCTCCGGTGAGTCCCTTCTCTCTTCCCCCTTTGGGTGCATTGGGGAGAAAGGGGGTCCGAGGGATGCATGGGGGGGGGGCTGTTCAGGTCATGCATGGGGGGCATCCAAGTCAAGAAGCAGAGGGTCCTGCCCCCCCCTTTCCTCTCTGCAGATCCAGGCTGGGAGGAGTCTGCGGCTCTGCCCTTCCTTTGTATCGCTGCGCTGCTTGCCACTTTGCAGGGGGGTCGCTTTGGATTCGGAGAAAAGGCGTGCAATATTTATGAATCAGTCACGTTGGTTGACAGAGGATGGAGACAGTCAGAAGTAAAATATAAGCAAGAAATAAAGGCGGAAATCTGACCTAGGCGGTCAGATGGAAGGTGGAGGGCAGAGAAAAGAAAGTGCTTTTTCATGCGCGCAGAGTTTAACCTGTGGAACTCCCTCCCGCAGGAGCCAGAGATGGCCACTAGCCTAGACGGCTTTAAAAGGAGGAGAGGGCGGTGGAGGGTTCCTAGCCCCCTCCTCAGTCGGGGGCAGGGATGCTTCTGAATCCCAGTTGCCAGATGCTCTTGGGCACGGATCCTGCTGGTGGGCTTCCTAGAAGAAGACTCCTGGGCCCCTGTAAGAACAGGAGGGGGAACTCAGTAGGGGCCCCTTTGGCCTGATCCTGCAGGTCTCGTCTTCAATTCTGATGCTGAGTTCCTTTAGATGCAAGCAAATCCTCTGTTTTCCTTCAGTCAGAAGTATAGGCCCCCCGCAAAATTCACCAGAAGGGGTGTGATCCAGACTCTTGGATGATACATGTGTCCCTGTTCAGACATGTGGCCTCTCAGGTGCCCTGAGGATCTTCTGAGATGGAACAGGAAGCCCTGCTGAGAAGCCCTGGAGGTCTCACCACTCAATGACTCCAAGGTAGCAGGAGAGGCCCTGTGGGGAAGGAAGCAAAGTGGGGTGGGGTTGGGGGTGAAAGAGGCAGCCCCCCTAAGAGTTACTGGGACACCCTCTCCCACCAGCTTCTTCTGCCTGGTCTATAATTCCCAGAGTCCCCAGGCAAAAAGAATGAAGTCTTTAAAAACTCTTAATGGGGTATCTCCTAGGAATTCTCAGCATCCTTAACTACAGTTCCCAGGATGCTTTGGAGGAAGCCAGGGCTCTTTAAAGGGGTCTGATCCTGCAGTGCAGATGGAGTGTAGGTGTCTCTGTTGTATTTCCCCTTCCTTTATGGAATAACCTTTTTATTCGCTTTTATAACAAGGATCATAGGAGTAATAAATGATACAAATAGACGGAGTCTTTTGGCTTCATTTGTAGATTACAAAAATACAACAATAAATTTGCAGGCCAATCCACAACATCTGGTGCATTATTGGTGGTCAGTGCATGAGTTCCTGGGTCGTGAATGGGTTTAAACAAAGCCAGAAAAAAGGGAAACAAGAGAGAGCAGAGTTAACAGTCATCAACACATGGACTAGTCAGGAGCCCTTGTTGAATGAGGAAGAGTAATTTCCCCCTTATGTTAACAATAAAACAGTATAAAGTGTTGGTCTGTGCATGAACATGGGAGGAGCGTTCAAAGTGAAGATAATGATTTGTGTTTAAATTTAGACCATACTCCTCTCTCTGTCTCCTCTTTTCCCTCAACCCTTCCTCATAAGGCTTGGTTTCCAGACCCTTGATCACATTGGTCACCCTCCTCTGCACACGTTAGTCCCAGTACTTCCCTGCTGGTGAGGACCAGATCCAAGATAGATGATCCCCTTGTTGCTTCTTCCACCTTCTGGGAAATGAAATCTTGTGAATGTTGGAGATTCCAAGGGGTGGTGGGAGGGAGAGCAGCTCTTGAGGACCCCAGAGTTGGAACCCCCCTTCTAGCCTAGGGTCCAAATTACACTCTGTACAAATGACTCACTTGTCAGTTACCATTCTGACTGGATTCATAGACTGAAAATACTGAAAGGCAGGAGCAACAAGACTCATTCTTGGCACAGAAATCCCTTCAGTTGCCTCCACATTTTGCATGGTAACTTTCCTTCTAGGTGGGATAGAGGCTTGCTTTTCCTACTTCTTCCTTTGTTTGCTTGGTAAAGGAAGCTCAGAGTCTGGGCTGTGTGGAGTAGAGGCCTGGTTCTTAGGAAGACTCAACCATGCTTGCTCTCCTGACAGTGTATGAATTTTATAACAGAATAATGTATTTGCTTTGTAGGATTTGGTAGCACCTCTCATGAGGACAGACAGAACTTGGCAGAAGACCAAGGATTCCTTCCGATCTCTTGGAGACTTCCTGAGAGCCCAGATGGATGAGCAAGACTCAGCTGGCCCTGAAGCAGGAAGAGACCATGCCATCAAAACCGAGAGCAGTGGGGCATTTTGGGAAAACTCTGTACAGAAGATCCTGGGGGAGGAGGACACCGTTTGCTCAGATATGAAGAGCAAGCAGTTCAGGCAGTTGTGCTACCAGGAGACCAAAGGACCTCGAGAGGTTTGCAGCCGACTCTACAACCTTGACTGTCGGTGGCTGAAGCCAGAAAAGCACACAAAAGCTGAGATGCTGGACCTGGTGATCTTGGAGCAGTTCCTGGCTATCCTTCCACCGGAGATGGAGAGGTGGGTGCGGGAATGCGGAGCGGAGACCAGTTCCCAGGCGGTGGCCCTGGCTGAAGGATTCCTCCTGAGTCAGGCAGAGGAGAGGAAGCAGGCAGAGCAGCAGGTGAGAGAGACTGTCCTCTGGATACTCCCAAGGGGCTCCAAACAGGAGGGAGAGTATCCCCAAATTGTCTCCTAATGGTCCATATTTTTTTGGGGGGGAACAGCCTCGGAATGATCTCTTATACCATAAAGTATTTGCCGCTGTCAATCCTTTCTGAATCCTTCTCCCCATTCTGTTTTGAATCCTTGTTGCTCTTTCAGGAAAAGGATCTGTTTGCAGAAATGGACATTGATTCCTTTGAGACAGAGAGGATTCCATTCGACACCAAAGAGAGGCCAATGGGTAAGGAGGAAGGGTTTTTTTCTCCATTTGGTCACATTCTGTGGATTTTGAAACTAATCTGCGGGTTCTTTTAATCTTCTTAGATTAAAATATAAAATATAAATATAAAATATAAATATATAAAATGGGTACAAACATCGTGCATGTACTCAGCAGGTGGCGCTGTGGTCTAAACCACTGAGCCTCCTCTTGGACTTGCCAACAGCAAGGTCAGCAGTTCAAATCCTCGTGACAGAGTGAGCTCCCATTGTTCTGTCCCAACTTCTGCCAACATAGAAGTTCAAAAGCACACCAGTGGACGTGGATACAGTGGTACCTTGGGTTGCAGATGCTTCAGGTTACAGACTCTGCTAACCCAGAAATAGTACCTTGGGTTAAGAACTTTGCTTCAGGATGAGAACAGAAATCATGCTCCGGCGGCGCAGCTGCGGCGGGAGGCCCCATTAGCTAAAGTGGTGCTTCAGGTTAAGAACTGTTTCATGTTAAGAATGACGCACGGCGTAAATTAATAATGCAGAATTTTAAAGTGAAAGAATAAGAGCTTTACTGAGTTAAAATAAACTTCTTCATCAACAACTTGGTTCCAAACAGTTTGACTGAGATTACATACTGACTCTGCTCACAACTGACTCTGACTGAAATCTTACTGGGAACACAGAGAGAAAATGGCTGCTACTTCTAAGGCGAATGAGTCACATGACAGAGTGACTCAGCATTTAGCAGTGAGGCCTGAATAACTTGACTAGGCCCAAATGATTGTGCAGTCCCAGCCCTTCCCAGCCTGCTTTGCTGCTTCTGCTCTCGTGTGTCTTTGTCACATGACAAAGAACGGACCTCCAGAAAGAATTAAGTTCTTAACCCGAGGTACCACTGCAAATAGGTGCCGCTGCGGCAGGAAGGCAAACGGTGTTTCCGTGCGCTCTGGCTTCTGTCACGGTGTCTTGTTGTGCCAGAAGCAGTTTAGTCCTGCTGGCCACATGACCCGGAAAGCTGTCTGAGGACAAATGCCGGCTCCCTCAGCCTGCAGTGAGATGAGCGCTTCACCCCATAGTCCCCTCTGACTGGACTTAACCATCCAGGGGTCCTTTGCCTTTACCTTTTACTACTAAAAGCACCCAGTGCTTTTCCAGCTGCACTGGCTCCCGGTGGAGTCCAGGGTCAGATTTAAGGTGCTGCTTTTGACCTTTAAAGCCCTTCACGGCCTAGGACCCTCGTACCTACGGGACCGCCTCGCCAGTATACCCCACGGAGAGCCTCAAGGTCCGTAAATAGCAACACCCTAGTGGTCCCGGGCCCTAAGGAAGTCAGATTGGCTTCAACCAGAGCCAGGGCCTTCTCAACACTGGCTCCTGCCTGGTGGAACGCTCTGCCTCATGAGACCAGGGCCCTGCAGGATCTGATTTCTTTCCGCAGGGCCTGTAAGACAGAGTTGTTCCGCCTGGCCTTTGGCTTGGAGCCAATTTGATTCCCTCCCTCCCTCTCTTTCTTTTTTCTTTTCCTTCTCCTCCTGCGATGAGGCTACATTTTAATATTTTAATGTTTCAATATTTTAATGTTGTATTTTAATCTTGTTTTCAAGTTGTATTCATTCAACTTGTTTTTATTATTGCTTGTTAGCCGCCCTGAGCCCGGCCTTGGCTGGGGAGAGCGCAGTATAAATAAAAATTATTATTATTACTACTACTACTACTATTTCTTTGGTCCGTCTGTGGTTAGAGATGCACTAATTCGCCTCTAAGGAAAGCATGCACTCGTAGTTTCCCACCTCCCTTTATTTCTCACAGGTGACAGAGGGATGCCAGCAAGACCTCCTCATCCTTCTTTCCAAGGTAGCGGAGAGGAAGCAGTGGCTGTAGAACCAGATGAGGTAACCCTAACCCACCAGTCTGTTTTTCCTACTCAGGAGTAAGCCGCCTTAAGTTCAGCAGGGCTTAACTCCCAGGTCAGTAAGCGTATAAAGACGGCAACCTAAGAAGGGGCTGCTGGGTTTACATGTTCGATAGGCTTTTCCTTGGAAGCCAACAGAGAAATAATAATATATTATTTATACCCTGCCCATCTGGCTGGGTTTATTTATTTATTTATTTATATTTGTATATGTGCATGCAGATAATCATTATTATCTCATATTAAAAATTGGGAGAGGGTGGCTCTTAGTACAGCCCTCCAGTGTACACTAGTGGCCAAAATTGTGGAACCTACTGGGGAAAATGTGTTTCCAAGGTTTGATGGCTTAGAACACCACTTTGTTTTGGAGTAATACCGGCGCTTTTTTTCTATGGGGACGCAGGGGGACGCATCTCCCTAAACATTTTGTGAATTTAACCGGAGAAGAAATTCACTCTATTTATTTTTCCAGGTTTGAACTGTATTCATTTCCCCCCTGTGATGATTTTCTTGAGTCAAAATGAGAGTACCCCTAAACATTTTTAAAGAAAAAAAGCACTGAGTTATACCATAAAATTATATATCAACAGAAATATAATTTAATGAAGAATGTAATGCAATAACTTTTATGAAGGATTATTTATTACAACAGCAGTCGTAAAGAAGAAACGTGAAACACACAGAAAAAATGAGATATACAGGTTAATTGCCATGTTGTCACTTTGTGATAAATAAGTGGGTTTTGGGTTGCAGTTTGGGCACTCGGTCTCTAAAAGGTCACTGCCCTAGGTCAGTGGTTCAAGTAGGTAGCCATGGTGGTCTGCCATAGTCGAAATAAATTAAAACAATTATTTTAGAAGATATTTTAAAAGACTCTTCTTTTTAATGGGTTTCTCTTAATTTATTTTAATCTGCCTTTTTTAAGAGCTCACAGACCGACAGTTTCATTCTCTGTTCTAGGACCTTTCTTGGTGTTGATGACACTCTCACTGGTCAGTCATTACCTGTGTGGTAGATGATCTTTAAGCTAAGAGGAAGATACTTTTCTTTTCCTTTTAGGGTCCAGTGTGCTTTGAAGATGTAGCTGTTCATTTCACAGACGAGGAATGGGCGTTGCTGGATCCTGACCAGAGAGCTCTGCATAAGGAAGTCATGGAGGAGAATCGTGGGATCATGGACTCGCTTGGTAAGGCTCCCTGTTGGATTGTGATATCTGTTTTGAAATTCTATGTAACAAACCTATATCTTGATGTATTTCAACAATGCTACTTCTAGCATCTGCGATTCTAAGACTCTCGCAGCTCATGTTGGATGTGGGGCTATCTGCTGTTTGGTCTGCAAATATTCTTCCTTTTGCCTTTTTAAACCATGATCTGGCTGGACTGAACTGCCCAAGCATTTTAAAATGTAGGCTTTAAAGTTGTTTGGGAAGTTGAAGAAACTTCAGTCAGGTTTTTTGTTTTTGCTGTTTCCATTTTTGTTTGACAAATGACATAAGATTGGAGATGTTTCGGCTCAACAAAAGACGTAAAAGAAAAGATCCTGGCTTTTTTATCTTTGTTGTTCCAATATTAAAGAGCTGCATTTCTTCCTGAAGCTCTAATGAATTTCTCTCTTGGTTGCAGGTGCTGAAGAATTGCAAATGAAGAATGAGGGAGACCCTGACAGAATCCACACACAGGAGAAGCCGCTTAAATATTCAGGGTCTGGAAAGAGATTGAGTCAGAACTCCCACTCCACTTCCAATCTAACAAATCTCTTGGGGAAGAAACTCTATCAGTGTTTGGAATGTGGAAAGAACTTCTGTCGGAAATCCAACCTCACTTCTCATCAAATAACTCACAGCACAGAGAAACCATATCAGTGCAAAGAATGTGGAAAGAGTTTCAGTTGGAAGAGAAGTTTCACTTCCCACCAAAAAATTCATACAGGAGAAAAACCCTATCAGTGTTTGGAATGTGGAAAGAGCTTCAGTCGTAAGGATGCTTTCACTTTCCATCAAAGAATTCATACAGGGGAGAAACCATATCAGTGCATGGTATGTGGAAAGAGCTTCAGTCGGAAGCAAAGTCTAACTTTCCATCAAAGAATTCATACAGGGGAGAAACCCTATACTTGCTTGGAATGTGGAAAGAGCTTCCGTCAGAAGGATAGTCTCACTTCCCATCAAAGGATTCATACAGGGGAGAAACCATATCAGTGCTTAAAATGTGGGAAGGGGTTCTATGGGAAGAATATGCTCACTTCTCATGAAAAAATTCATACAGCGGATAAACCCTATCAGTGCTTGGAATGTGGAAAGAGTTTCCGTCAGAAGAGCGAGCTCACTTCCCATCAAAGAACTCATACAGGGGAGAAACCATATGAGTGCATGGAATGTGGAAAGAGCTTCACTCACAGAGCTGGCCTTGTGTACCATCAAAGATTCCATACAGGGGAGAAACCATATGAGTGCTTGGAGTGTGGAAAAAAGTTCAGTTGGAAGACAATGCTCACTTCCCACCAAATAATTCACACAGGGGAAAATCCCTATCCATGCTTGGAATGTGGGAAGAGCTTCAGTCGCAAGGATAGTCTCACTCTCCATCAAAGGATTCATACAGGGGATAAACCATATCACTGCTTAGAATGTGGAAAGAGCTTCACCCAGAGGGCTGCTCTCATGTCCCATAAAAGAATACATACAGGGGAGAAACCATATAAGTGCTTGGAATGTGGAAAGAACTTCGCTCACAAAGCTGGTCTCATGTCCCATCAAAGAATTCATACAGGGGAGAAACCATATGAGTGCTTGGAATGTGGAAAGAGGTTCAGCTGGAAGAATATGCTCACTTCCCACAAGATAATTCACACAGGGGAGAACACCTATCCGTGCTTAGAATGCGGAAAGAGCTTCAGTCGGAAAGATAGTCTTACTTCCCATCAAAGAATTCATACAGGAGAGAAACCTTATCAGTGCTTGCAATGTGGGAAGGGGTTCTATGGGAAGAATATTCTCACTTCTCATCAAAAAGTTCATACAGGGGAAAAACCCTATCGTTGCCTGGAATGTGGAAAGAGTTTCCGTCAGAAGAGTGAGCTCACTTCCCATTACAGAATTCATACAGGGGAGAAGCCATATCAGTGCTTGGAGTGTGGAAAGAGGTTCACTCACAGAGCTGGTCTCATGTACCATGAAAGAATACATACAGGAGAGAAACCATATGAGTGCTTGGAGTGTGGAAAGAGGTTCAGCTGGAAGAATATGCTCACTTCCCACCAAATAATACACACTGGGGAGAGTCCCTATCCTTGTTTGGAATGTGGAAAGAACTTCAGTCGGAAAGATAGTCTGACTTCCCATCAAAGAATTCATACAGGGGAGAAACCATATCAGTGCCTGGAATGTGGAAAGAGCTTCACTCAGAGAGCCAGTCTTATGTACCATCAAAGAATTCATATGAGAAGGAACCATATCGGTCCTTGGAATGTGGAAGAGCTTCAATCAGAGGGCCAGTCTCACTTCTCATCAATTAACTTACCGTGGGGAGAAACCATATAAGTTTTGGAATGTAGAAAGAGCTTTACCCACTCACCGTCAAAGAATTCATATGTTGGAAACCATAGAAATGTTTGTAATGTGAAATGAGCTTCAGCCATAGCTCCAGTTTCACTTTCCATCAAGAAACTCACATTGAGGAGAACCATAGAGTCTCAGAATTACGGAGCTGTAGCATTTGAGAGGACTCTGTGTGTTGTCTAGTTCACCCACTTGGAATGCAGGAATCTACACTATGGCAGATGAGCATGCAACCTCTGCTTAAAAACCTCCATGGAAGGAGAACCCACCTCCTTCTGAGGCAGCCTGTTCCACCGTTGAATAGCTCTTACCCGTAGGAGGTTCTTCCTGATGTTTAGTCTGATTCTCTTTTCTTGCAACTTGCACCCATTGCTTCAGGTTCTATCTTCCAGAGCAGCACAAAACAGGCTTTCTTCACCTTGTCTCCTCTTCCATGAGACAGCCCTTGAGATATTTGAAGATGGCTATTATATCTCTTCTCAGTGTCTTCTTTCCTAGGCTGACCATTCCTCATAAGGCTTGGTTTCCAGACCTTTGAACGTCTTGGTCACCCTCCTCTGCACCCATTCTGGTTGGCTTGTTTTTTGTTCCTGTTCCATGGTGTTAGGGACTGGGCAGAGGAGGAATGGTGGAGACCACCTCCCCAGCCTGACCTTTCCAGAGAAGAAGACAGTTCAGAATTACAACAGGGGTTTGAGGGAGGTCACAGCTCAGAGGCAGATGAGGGGGAAAGCTGGGAAATAAGGGGACATGAGATGGAGGAAGAGGAATCACCAGGAGGGCAATAGCTGACAGACACAGTGTCTTTAGAAAGCATTCTAGACCCCCCTCTCCCAGAACCCGGCAAGCCTTGAAAGTACAGTGGTACATCGGGTTACATACGCTTCAGGTTACAGACTCTGCTAACCCAGAAATATTACTTTGGGTTAAGAACTTTGCTTCAGGATGAGAACAGAAATCGTGCTCTGGCGGTGCAGCAGCAGGAGGAGACCCCATTAGCTAAAGTGGTGCTTCAGGTTAAGAACAGTTTCAGGTTAAGAACAGACCTCCAGAATGAATTAAATTCTAAACCTGAGGTACCACTGTAGAGCAAAGGGCCCTCAGCGCCACCCGTAGGGGAGAAGGTGACAAATGAGGGAGACCAGCTGCACGTGGAGGAGCGGCGACGCGAACCCGGTTCACCAGATTACGAGACTACCACTCTTAACCACTATACCACACTGGCTCCCAGGGAGTGGAGAGTCACCCAGGACAACACCATTAGTCCCAGAGGCTGCGTTCCAAGCCTCTGTCTGTAAATATTGAATAAAAAGCAGATGGTAAGGACTTTTCATTGTCTGTTCCTGGCAACCTGCTGTAGGGGCTGTTTCCTCTGTTGCCTGACATGTAGACTAGTCTGCCTTTTATTGTATGTCAAAAAATTCATTAAATTTCCTTCCGCCCTCACTCTTTTGGATGCTTCCTTGATTTCATTCTCCAACGCAGGATCACTCTGGGCATTTAAGTGGTGATTAATTTACACTCTTGTTTTGAAAAAGTGAACTAGTTCTAACTGAAGAACGAAACAGCTGAATCCATAGCGTATATGCCATTCTTCCTTCCCCTATGAAAAAACTGCAGCTTGCATTGAGATACACCTACGTTGTTGTCAGGGGTTCAGGAGCAGAGGCAAGGGCAAGGGAGGAAACAGAGAGTGAGGGGGAGGAGGCAGAAGAAAAGATGAGTGATGACGACGACCCGAGATCTCCGAGTCTTTCCAGTGAATCAGAAGATTCACAGAAAGGAGCGCCAGTGGCCAGAGCAAAGGGGGAGCCTAGGGGGACACCCCAGGAAGAAGGGGCCAGCGGGGGTTCAGAGGGCAGCAGTTGGAAACCGGGACCAGCGTCACCCACAGAGAGCAGGGGAGAGGAAGGGCGCCAGGTATCAAGCGCTGGAAGCTCACAACAGGAGGGAGGGCACGAGTCAGGAGTGGCCACACCTCCATCGGGGAGCGAAGAAACGGTCAGACGGAAAGTGGAAGGTTGGGCGCGCGCGCCAAGTTCAAATGCACAGGAAGGTGGCGCAGTGAGCAGCCCGGAAAGGGAGCCAGGTCCTAAAGCCCGGCGCAAGGAGACAGAAGGGTCCGGGGGGTCAGCGTCAGAAGAATCCCGGAGGGAAGAGACCCCGGGGGGCAGAGGGACCCAGAGAAGAACAGTCAGGCGGAAAAGGTGGAGTAAAGCTAGGGTATTAAGTTGGTGTACAGGGGGCGGAGATTCAGACGGAGCTTCGCCGGTCTAGCCATAAGACGTAGAGTTGCACGCAGCAGCTTGAGAATGGAAACTGTAACTCAATAAAGACTTTTATTTAATGATCGCTGGCTAGCGTGATCCTCTGTGAGCTAGGATCTGGAAGCAGCTCTGACAGTTGTTGATTCTAAGATGGCTCTCCTGCGAACTTACTCTCAGCCACCTGAAACCATAGATCAATGGGTTTTGCTTTTTTGATACCCACCTCTCTAAAATTGGGGTCTCATCTAAGTTTCTGGCTCCTCAAGATATTCCTGCTGGGGCAGAGCTGAAAACTTAAGTTTCTAAAGTGTTATTGTCCCTAGGACTGAGTTCTGAGGCTTAATTTTTTTTTTACTGGATTTAGCTCCTTGCACACAGTGCTTTCACCATGCCCTTGTTAGAATTTCAGTGGATGCAACAAACAAATGGGGATACTTAGCCCTGCAGTCACAGAGCTGCTCAACTCAGTTTTTCCTCTGATGCTGTGTCACTGGCATTGAGATCGGCTGTGCCCTGAGAACATGTGTGCATGCTTGCTTTGTACCTGCAGCTGCAGGAAGGCGGATTGTGCCCTTCATTTGAGCATCTGCAAGCCAAAGCTTATTAAAGTATAAAGTAGGGGCGAACATAACTCTTTCCGAAAACCTTTTCTCCCAGGACCTTTTGTTCTCCAAGAGAAGAATTTCAAAAAGAGATTGCAGCGTGAAACTGCTGGATTGCAGCTGATGAATTCTGTCACCTTTGGCTGGCTACAAAACGACGGAGGAAGCGTGGCTTAACACCCAATGGCTGCACTCAATTAGAGAGACAACTGCCCCTGACAACCTTACGCATCCCCTAGGGCTGGTCCTGATTGTAGAAAGCGCCCCCCTCTCTCACACACACACACACACACACACACACGTGTCGTCCCTGTTTAACAACATGGAGTGTTCCTCAGTACAAGGGGAAATACACGAAGGTGCATGAAAGCCCCACTATCGGTTGACCCACTGGGATGACCCCTCCTCCTCCTCTCCTAGGAAGGCGACTCCTGCTCCTTGCACAGCTTTCCCCCACTGCCAGCTGCTCCTCCCGTTCGTGGCCAAGGGAGGGGGCAGCTCAGAGCCCGGCCAGGACGCCCCCCCCCCAATGAAGCCCCTCCTCCGGCTGTGCGCAATGCACAGATCTGCTTCGGAGAGAAAGCGCAGAGAGGGGGGTGCTTGGTGCGCTCATGTTTGCCAGGGTTAAAAGGAGCTGAGCCGGATTACTGGAGGGGGAAGGAGATCGCGGAGGGGGTGGGGCCAGTTCCTGCCGAGCAAAGCTCCCTTCCTCGCGTCACTTCCTGCAAGTTTTGTCTGTCTCTTGCGCAAGGGCTGCCTTGGTGCCCCCCTCGGGGGATCAGGTGAGTCTCCTCTCTCTTCCCCCTTTGGGTGCAGGGGAGAGAAAGGGGGTCCCAGGGCTGCCGGGGGGGATGTATTCGAGAGGGTCCTGTGCATGTCATGCATGGGGAGGGAAGGGGCGAGTTTTCGGGAGGAGGTTTGCAACGGTGCTCTTTGTAGGGATGCGATGCTCGCCGCTTTGGCGAGGAAACAATGGGCTGCAAACAGCCCCCTTCAGATCTAGGAATCAGCCGCATCTGTTAGAAGAGGTTGCAGCCAGACGGAAACATTCCGACATAAAATCCACCCAAACAATAAACGCAGCTTGACCTATTCAGTAAATAAATAAGGAATGTTGGAAGATGGAGGGCAGAAAAGGTGCGTCTTCATGCGCCAAAGAGTTAAACCTACGGAACTCCCTCGGCAGGAGGCAGGGATGCCCACCAAGCTAAATAACAATTATTATTATTATTATTATTATTATTATTATTATTATTAATTATTATATTTATACCCCTCCCATCTGGTTAGTTTGCCCCAGCCATACTGGTCAGCTTCCAACACGTATAAAAACACAACAAAACAATAAATAATAAAAATCCAAAACAATATAAAAAGTCACAGTAAGATTAAAATAAACAACTTATATAAAATAAAACAATATTCAATAATGCATTATAAGCTAATAGTAAAATTAAACATCAACAAATAACAATTAAACAATATACACTTATCAGTTACAGTGGTACCTCAGGTTAAGAACTTAATTTGTTCTGGAGGTCCGTTCTTAACCTGAAACTGATCATAACCTGAAGCACCACTTTAGCTAATGGGGCCTCCTGCTGCCGCCGCGCCACCACTGCACAATTTCTGTTCTGAAGCAAAGTTCTTAACCCGAGGTAATATTTCTGGGTTAGCGGAGTCTGTAACCTGAAGCGTCTGTAACCTGAAGTGTATGTAACCCGAGGTACCACTGTACAATAAAGAATTACTAATCCATAATCTATAAGAATAAAGGAAAGTCTCAATGCATATAATATGACAAAACATACAAAACCATGTAGATGGTTTTAAAAGAGCAATGAGGCCGATTCATGGTTCCCATGATTCTGTGGAGGAAGCCAGGGCTCTTCGAAATGCTCTGATCATGCTTTGCAAACACAGTGCAGATGGGGCCTGAGTCTCTGCGTGTTGTCTTTGCCCTTTCCTTAAGGAATAACTTTTTATTGGGTTTTATAAGCAAGGATCATAGGAGTAATAAATGATACAAATAGATAGATGGAGTTTTTTCGTGTCATCTCTAGATCACAAAAATACAACAATAAATTTGCAGGCAAATCCACAACATCTGGCGCATTATTGGTGGTCAGTGCATAAATTCCTGGTTCGTGAATTGGTTTAAACAAAGCCAGAAAAAAGGGAAACAAGAGAGAGCAGAGTTAACAGTCATCAACACATGGCCAGATTCCTAGTCAGGAGCCCTTGTTTAATGAGGAAGAGTAATTTCCCCCTTATGCTAACAATATAACAGTATAAAGTGTTGATCTATGGATGAACATGGGAGGAGCGTTCAAAGTGAAGATAATGATTTGTGTTTAAATTTAGACCATACTCCTCTCTCTGTCTCCTCTTTTCCCAGGCTAAACATACTCAGCTCCCTCAACCCTTCCTCATAAGGCTTGGTTTCCAGACCCTGGATCCTCTCAGTCACCCTCCTCTGCACACGTTCCAGCTTGTCCACATCCTCCTTAAATTGTGGCGCCCAGAACTGGACACAGTATTCCAGGTGTGGTTTGACCAGGGCAGGATAGAGTGAGACGGTTATTTCCCTTGTTCCGGCCAGGTCCTATGTTTCCCAGTACTTCCCTGCTGGTGAGGACCAGATCCAAGATAGATGATCCCCTTGTTGCTTCTTCCACCTTCTGGGAAATGAAATCTTGTGAATGTTGGAGATTCCAAGGGGTGGTGGGAGGGAGAGCAGCTCTTGAGGACCCCAGGGTTGGAACCCCCTTTCTAGCCTAGGGTCCAAATTACACTCTGTACAAATGAATCACTTGTCAGTTACTGTTCTGACTTGATTCATAGACTGAAAATACTGAAAGGCAGGAGCAACCAGACTTATTCATAGCACAGAAATCTCTTCAGTTGCCTGCACATTTTGCATGGTAACTTTCCTTCTAGGTGGGCTAGAGGCTTGCTTCTCCTCCTTGCCTGCTTGTTTCTTGAATAAAGCTAAGAATCTGAGCTGTGAGGGGGTACAGGCCTTGTTCCTAGCAAGTCTCAACCATGCTTTCTTTTTTCTTCTCCTGACAGTGTATGAATTTTATAACAGAACAATGTATTTGCTTCGTAGGATTTGGTAGCACCTCTCATGAGGACAGACAGAACTTGGCAGAAGACCAAGGGTTCCTTCTGATCTCTTGGAGACTTCCTGAGAGCCCAGATGGATGAGCAAGACTCAGCTGGCCCTGAAGCAGGAAGAGACCATGCCATCAAAACCGAGAGCAGTGAAGGATTCAGGGAAAGCTCCATGCAGAAGATCCTGGGTGAGGAGGACACCCTCCACTCTGATATGAAGAGCCAGCAGTTCAGGCAGTTCTGCTACCAGGAGGCCAAAGGACCCCGAGAGGTTTGCAGCCGACTCCATCACCTTTGCCATCAGTGGCTGAAGCCAGAAAGGCACACAAAAGCTGAGATGCTGGACCTGGTGATCTTGGAGCAGTTCCTGGCTGTCCTTCCACCAGAGATGGAGAGCTGGGTGAGGGAATGTGGAGCAGAGACCAGTTCTCAGGCGGTGGCCTTGGCCGAAGGATTCCTCCTGAGTCAGGCAGAGGAGAGGAAGCAGGCAGAGAGAAAGCAGGTGAGAGAGACTTTCCTCTGGATACTCCCAAGGGGCTCTGAACATGAGGGAAAGTATCCCAAAATTCTCTCCTAATGGCCCATCTTTTTTTGAAAAGCATCCAAAGAATGATATCAGATACCACCAAATTTTCCCCCTCAGACATTTCTTTTCTAATCCATCTCCCCATTCTCTGCTTTAATCTTTGTTGCTTCTTCAGGGAAAGGATCTGTTTGCAGAAGTGGGCTTAGATTCCTTTGAGACAGAGAGGACTCCGTTGGACACCAGAGAGAGGCCCCTGGGTAAGGAGGAATGGGTTTTTTCTGTTTGGTCACATTCTGTGGATTTTGAAACTAATCTGCGGGTTCTTTTAATCATCTTGGAGAAGACACTGAATTGTGTATTTTTGCACAACTAAAATATGAAATGGATACCAATGTCTCACATGCACTCAGCAGGTGACACTATTTCTTTGGTCCATCTGTGGTTAGAGAAAGCAAGCACTCATGGTCTCCCACCTCCCTTTATTTTTTGCAGGTGACAGAAGGATGCCAGCAAGACCTCCTCATCCATCTTTCCATGGTAGCAGAGACGAAGCACTGGCTGTAGAACCAGATGAGGTAAGGGAAGGAGCTTTGTGGGGAAAGGAGCAGTCAGGGTTCCTCTGAGGCTGAGGAAATCTCTCTCTTCCTGCTCTGTCTTACTGCTGTATTGATGGTGGAATGCTGGTATATGTTGGGAAGCTGGTAAGAAACCATAGGAAAAAGTTGCCAGGATTCACCTAATCAGCCTTATCCGTTGCACAATGGGCTTCTCCCCCCTTTCCTCCTACTCTTCTTGCCCCCATGCGCCCCCTGAACTTTGCTTTTGCGCATCAGGAGAGTTCCACCCCAGAACTGCGCACAGGGAGAGTAAAGGGGGGATCCTTCCCTCTGGCAACAGGAATGCTTTTGTGGACAGAATGATTTGAAGACCACCATGTGGATTTCCACCTGTTCATACAAAGATGAATACACATCGTTTAAAGACAATAAAAAAATACATCAAGATGTTAAAGGAAGCACCCAGACTTAAAATGTGCAGCACAACATTCCCATTAAAACAACATAGCAATTAACAGGCAGAAAACAACAGAGCAATGTCATAGAATTCTAGAATTGCAGAATTGGTAGGGACCTAGCTACTTTGAATGATTTGAAATCTCCAGGGCCTGATGAGCTGCATCCAATAGTACTAAAGAAGCTTGTGGATTTAATTTCAGAGCCTTTGTCTATTATATTTGAGAAATCTTGGAGAACAGATGAGGTCCCTACAAACTGGAGGAGGGCAAATGTCCCCAGCTTTAAAAAGAGGGGGAAAGGAAGAACCAGTTAACTACAGACCGGTGAGCTTGACATTGATACCAGAGAAGGTACCAGAACAGATCATTCAACATTTGGTCTGTGAGCATTTAGAAAAGGATTCTGTGATTAGTAAGCATGGTTTTCTCCAAAATAAGTCATGCCAGACCATTCTAATTTCTTTTTTTGATGGAATTACAAACCTGGTGGATCAGGGGAATGCTGTGGACATAGTGTATCTTGATTTCAGAAAGGCTTTTGACAAAGTCCCCCGTGATATTCTCGCAAGGAATCTGGTGAAATGTGGGTTGAACGAGGTGACTGTTAGGTGGGTTTGTACTGTAGCTGGTTGACTGACTGAACCCAAAGAGTACTCGTTAATGGTTCCTTGTCATCCTAGAAAATAGTGACAAGTGGGGTGCCACAGGGATCTGTCCCAGGCCCGATGTTGTTCAACACTTTATAAATGACTTGGCGGAAGGAACTGAGTAGATATTCATCAAATTTGCAGATGACACCAAACTGGGAGGGGTAGCTAATGCCACAGAAGACAAAATCAAAATTCAAAATGACCGTAACAGATTGGAGAACTGAGTGCAAGCTAACAATGTGAATTTCAGTAGGGACAAAGGTCAGGTTCTGCACTTAGGCAGGAAGAACCAGATGCACAAATATAGGATGGGGGACACCTGGCTTACTAGCAGTACATGTGAAAAGGATCTCAGGGTCTTGGTGGACCACAATCTTAACATGAGTCAACAATGTGATTCAGGAGCAAAAAAAGTGAATGCTATTCTAGGCTGTATCAACAGAAGTCTAGTATCCAGATCAAGGGAAGTAATAGTCCCACTCTATTCTGCCTTGGTCACACATCACCTGAAATACTGTGTCCAGTTTTGGGAGCCACAACGTAAGAAGGATGTTGACAAGTTGGAACATGTGCAGGGCGACTAGGATGATCAAGGCTCAGGAAGCCAAGTCTTATGAGGAACGGTTGAGAGAGTATGTTTAGCCTGGAAAAGAGGAGCTATGATAGCCATCTTCAGATATCTGAAGGGTTGTCACATGGAGGATGGAGCAAGCTTCTTTTCTCCCGCTCTAAAAGGTAGGACTCGAATAAAAGGCTTCAAATTGCAGGAAAGGAGATTCTGACTAGACATACGTAAAACCTTCTGACACAGCTGTTCAACAGTGGAACAGTCTCACTCCGGAGGGTGTGGACTCTCCTTCCTTGGAGGTTTTTAAGCAGAGGTTGGATGGCCATCGGTCAGGGATACTTTAGCTGAAATTCCTGCATCGCAAGGGGTTGGACTAGATGGCCCACAGGGTAATAGAATCCTAGAGTTGGAAAGTACCCAAAGGTCATCTAGTCCAACCACCAACGAAGGAGAGTCTACAGTTTCGCAAGGGAGTAGCAATTATATTTCATTCTGTTAGTTGGGCTGGATAGGGGAATTTGTAGCTGGTTGCCTGACAGAATTTCAAGAAGATGAACATAGATGGTCTGTGGTGCATGAAACCCTAGATCAATGGGTTTCTTTTTCTTTTTTTTAATCTGCCTTTTCTAAGTGCTCACAGACCGAATGTTTGATTATCTGTTCTAGGACCTTCCCTGGTATTGATGACAATGTCACTGGCCAGTTAGCCTAGTAGATCATCTTTATGCTGTCTTAGAGGAAGATACTTTTCTTTTTCATTTTAGGGTCCGGTGTGCTTTGAAGATGTAGCTGTTCATTTCACAGACGAGGAGTGGGCATTGCTGGATCCTGGCCAGAGAGCTCTGCATAAAGAACTAATGGAGGAGAATCATAGGATCATGGACTCTCTTGGTAAGGCTCCCTGTTGGATCACGATATCTGTTTTGAAATTCCATACGTATATCTATGTGACAAATCTCCAATAATTTGTTGGAGCTCAGCAGGGCAATCTATAGCAGCTGGGATTTTAACACACCCACATCTCTAAAAGATTTGCCTGCAAATATTCTTCCTCCAGTTATGTCTTTTTAAACAGTGATCAGGCTGGACTGAACTGCCAAGGCCTTTTAAAATGTAGGCTTAAGTTGTAAGCGAAGTTGAAGGAATTTCAGTTGGGTTATTCGTTTTTGGTTGACAAAAGAGATGACTTGACATTGGAGATGGAGCAGACTCCATATTGGACTCAACATAATCCATCAAAGAAAAGAGCCTGGTTTTTTTATCCTTGTTTTTCTGACTTAGAAGAGCTGCATTTCTTTTCTTCCTGAAGCTCTAATGAATTTCTCTCTTGGTTGCAGGTGCTGAAGAATTGCAAATGAATGAGGAAGACCTTGACAAAATCCACACACAGGAGAAGCCGCTTAAATATTCGGGGCCTGGAAAGAGATTCAGTCAGAGCTCCCACTCAACTTCCAATCTAACAAATCTACTGGGGAAAAAACTCTATCAGTGTTTGGAATGTGGAAAGAACTTCTGTCGGAAATCCCGCCTCACTTACCATCAAGTAACTCACAGCGGGGAGAAACCGTATCAGTGCTTACAATGTGGAAAGCGTTTTAGTTGGAAGAGAAGTTTCGCTTCCCATCAAAAAATTCATACAGGGGAGAAGCCCTATCAGTGCTTGGAATGTGGGAAGAGCTTCAAACGGAAGGATGCTTTAACTTTCCATCAAAGAATTCATACAGGGGAGAAACCCTATCAGTGCATGGAATGTGGAAAGAGCTTCAGCCGGAAACATAGTCTGACTTTCCATCAAAGAAGTCATACAGGGGAGAAACCCTATACCTGCTTGGAATGTGGAAAGAGCTTCAGTCAGAGGGCCAGTCTCACAGTCCATCAGAGAATTCATACAGGGGAGAAACCATATAGGTGCTTGGAATGTGGAAAGGGTTTCTATGGGAAGAATATGCTCACTTCTCATCAAAAAGTTCATACAGGGGAGAAACCCTATCAGTGCTTGGAATGTGGAAAGAGTTTCCGTCACAAGGGCGAGCTCACTGTCCATCAAAGAATTCATACAGGTGAGAAACCGTATCAGTGCATGGAATGTGAAAAGAGCTTCACTCAGAAATCCAGTCTCACGTCCCATCAAAGATTCCATACAGGGGAGAAACCATATGAGTGCTTGGAGTGTGGAAAGAGGTTCAGTTGGAAGACAATGCTCACTTCGCACCAAATGATTCACACAGGGGAGAATCCGTATACATGCTTGGAATGTGGAAAGAGTTTCAATCGGAAGGATAGTCTTACCCTCCATCAAAGAACTCATACAGGGGAAAAACCATATCAGTGCTTGGAATGTGGAAAAAGCTTCACTCAGAGAGCAGGTCTCATGTACCATAAAAGAATTCATACAGGGGAGAAACCGTATCAATGTGTGGAATGCGGAAAGAGCTTCACTCACAGAGCTGGACTCGTGTCCCATGAAAGATTCCATACAGGGGAGAAACCATATGAGTGCTTGGAGTGTGGAAAGAGGTTCAGCTGGAAGACAATGCTCACTTCCCACCAAATGATTCACACAGGGGAGAATCCCTATCCATGCTTGGAATGTGGGAAGAGCTTCAATCGGAAGGATAGTCTCACTTCCCATCAAAGAATTCATACAGGGGAGAAACCATATCAGTGCTTGGAATGTGGAAAAAGCTTCACTCAGAGAGCAGGTCTTATGTACCATCGAAGAATTCATATGAGAAGGAACCATATCAGTGCATGGAATGTGGAAAGTGTTGCATTCAAAGAACCAGTCTCACTTCTCATTGAGTAACTCACAGTGGGAAGTAACTACCTCAGTGCATGGAATGGGGAAAGAGCCTCAGTCGGAAGAATAGTCTTACTTCCCATCAAAGAATGCATAAAGAGTAGAAACCTTATAGTTGCATGGAATGTGGAAGGAACTTCAATCAGAGGGCAAGTCTCACTTCCCAACAAAGAACTCACAGTGGGCAAAAACCGTATCACTGTGTGGAATGTGCTTCACCTGGAAGGAAAGTCTCAGTTCCCATGAAATAATTCATACAGGGAAGAAACCACATCAGTGCATGGAATGTAGAAAGGGCTTCACCCAGGATTAAAGTCTCACCATCAAAGAATTCATATGTTGGAAACCATAGAAATGCTTGTAATGTGAAAGGAGTTTCAGCCGTAGCTCCAATTTCACTTTCCATCAAGAAACTCACAATGAGCAGAATCATAGTCTCTGAATTATAGTGTTGTAGCATTTGAGAGGACTCTGTGTGTTGTCTAGTCCAGTGTTTCCCAACCGGTGTTCCGCGGCACACTAGTGTGCCGCGAGACGTTGCCTGGTGTGCCGTGGGAGGGAGGCGGGCGAGTCGGGTGGCGAGAGGCGGGGCGGCGGTGGCGAGGAGAGGCCGCCCAGCGCGGGGCTCTCACCGTCTGCCTGCCTGGCTGCCTGCGTGGCGCTGACGTCACGGGGCTGTAACGTGCCCCACATAGGCACACGCGGGGCGGCGAGCGAGCTCCCTCCCACATCCCATCGCCGGCTCTGCACCAGGCGGTAGAGCTCGGCGAAGTCGCCGCGCTGGAAGGCCAGCAGCGCGCGCGCCTTGGCCAGGCTCTCGCCCGCCTGCGCCTCCAGGCACGGCGCCTCGGCGTCGGGCGGCAGCGAGCCCAGGAAGCGGCTCAGCCGGCCGGGGTTGCCCGCCTGCAGCAGCGCCTCGCACACGCACGAGACCTGCTCCGCCGAGAAGCGCGACGAGCACGGAGGATCGGGCGCGGCGGAGGCCAGCCCCGCGCTTGGAGAGGACGCAGCAGCCGTCGCCAAACCCGATCCTCCTCCTCCTGCTCCGCCGCCGTCCTCTGGCTCTCGGCCGGGAGGAGCCTGCGGTGACGGGGCGGGCGCCGAAGTTGGCAGAAGTTGGCGCGCCTCCTCGGCAGCGCCTTCGGCCTCCTCCTCCTGCCTCTGCTCTCCTCCGGCTGCGGGGGCGCGCCGCCCTCCCCGGCTGGGGGCTCGGCGGGGCCCGCGGGGAAGGAGGCCATGTTCGCGGCGCGCGGGATCGCGGCCCCCCCTCGCCCGCCTCCGGCCTGCTCCCCTCCCCCTGCATGCTGCCCTAGCCGTGCGGGTCTCCTCCCCCTGCGCCGCCGTCCCCTTTCCACATCCTAGGAGCCGCGGTCCGCCTACCGCCCCCGGGCCGCGGCGCGGCTCCCAGCCCGGGCTGGCCTCCGCCTCCTGGGACGCGCGCCCACCCCCGCGGCCCCCCAAACTTCAGAGCAACTCTCCAGACGCTTCTCCCCCGCCTCGGTCTCCCTCCTTTCCACTTCTCTTCCCCCCTTCCTTCCCTCTTTCTTTCTCTTTCTCTCCCACCCGCCTTTCCTTCTATTAACTTTCCTTTCCCCTCCCTTCGTCCTTCCTACTTTTACTCCTGGGCTCCTCCCCCCTTTGCGCAGCCACAAATCAATCTCTCTCTCTTTCCCCCCCTCTCTCTCTTCTTTGCTCAGACGCAAAAAAGCGCCGCTTTTTGGAAATCCGGACTGCTGTCCCCGCTGAAACGATACTTTAAAAAAGGAAGAACCCACTGGCTCTTATTTCTGTTTAAAGCAGTAGATCCCGAACTCTTTTGGCCCACTGCCCCCTTGGTTCCACATCCCCCAGTGTCTCCTATGCTTACTCTATAGAAAGCATTACAGGGGTTAACGCGGCTCGCTAAGGAAGATATTAATAGAATTCTGCATTTGGGGGGAGACCCTAACAGTCATCTACCATTACCTTCTATGCTGTTACTACCGTATTTTTCGGACTATTGGACGCACCGGTCCATAGGACGCACCTAGATTTGGGGGGGGGGGGGAAATAAAGGCAAAAAAAATTTATTCCCCCCCCCCCCGCCAGGCGCGGGGCTGGGGCGGGGAAGCCCGAGCTTCCCCCTCCCCCAGAACGGGACCCAGAGCCATGCCGAAGCTGTGCACAGCTTTGGCATCGCTCTGGGAGCTTGCGGGGCTGGGGGAGGAGGAAGCCTTCCGCCAGCCTCCAAACCATGTCGGGAGACAGCGGGATGGCGCGCTGCGCCTCTCCCGCTGTCCCCCGAGTTTGCGGGGCTGGGCCAGCCTTCTAACCAAGTCGGGGGACAGCGGGAAGGGCGCGCTGCGCCCCTGCCGCTGTCTCCCGAGTTTGCGGGGCTGGCGACGGGGAGGAGCAGGCTTCTCCCCCCGCCAGCCTTCTAGACAAGTCGGGGGTCAGCGGGAAAGGCGCGCTGCGCCTCTCCCGCTGTCCCCCGAGTTTGCGGGGCTGGCGACGGGGAGGAGCAGGCTTCTCCCCCCGCCAGCCTTCTAGACAAGTCGGGGGACAGCGGGAAAGGTGCGCTGCGCCTCTCCCGCTGTCCCCCGAGTTTGCGGGGCTGGCGACGGGGAGGAGCAGGCTTCTCCCCCCGCCAGCCTTCTAGCCAAGTCGGGGGACAGCGGGAAGGGCGCGCTGCGCCTCTCCCGCTGTCCCCCGAGCTTGTGGGGCTGGTGGTGGGGCTCTCCTGAAGCCTGGAGGTTGTGGGGCTGGTGGGGGGGAGAAGCAGGCTTGCTTCTCCCACCCCCAGCCTCCAGATCAGGTCGGGGAATAGCGGGATGGCGGAGCACCGCCATCCCGCTATTCCACGACCTGATCTGGAGGTTGTGGGGCTGAGGGGGGAGAGAAGCAGGCTTGCTTCTCCCACCCCCAGCCTCCAGATCAGGTCGGGGAATAGCGGGATGGCGGCGCTTCGCCATCCCCCTATCCCCCGAGCTTGTGGGGCTGGGGGGGGAGAAGCAGGCTTGCTTCTCCCCCCGCCAGCCTCCAGATCAGGTCGGGGAATAGCGGGGTGGCGGCTCTGCGCCTCCCCGCTGTCCCCAGCTTTTGGGTGCAGGCTGCTGCCCGCAAGCCTTGCGAGCCCACGGGACATCCCGCCGGGCTTGCAAGACTTGGGATAGCTTCCTGAAGCCTGGAGAGCGAGAGGGGTCGGTGCGCACGGACCTCTCTCGCTCTCCAGGCTTCAGCAAAAGCCTGCATTCGCACCATAGGACGCACACACATTTCCCCTTCATTTTTGGAGGGGAAAAAGTGCGTCCTATAGTGCGAAAAATACGGTATTTTTTTATTTTTTTTTACATAAGTAAAAAGTGACCTTTCCCCATCTGGCATGGTGGTGTGCCTCGAGATTTTTTTCATGAAACAAGTGTGCCTTTGCCCAAAAAAGGTTGGGAAACACTGGTCTAGTCCACCCTGTTCCTGGCAACCTGCTGTGGGGGTTATTTCTTCTACTGCCTGACACGTAGACTAGTCTGACTTTTATTGTATGTCAAAAAAAATCATTAAATTTCCTTCTGTCCTCACTCTTTTGGATGCTTCCTTGATTTCATTCTCCAACGCAGGATCACTCTGGGCATTTTGGCCAGGGAGACGAAAGCACGTTCCGAGTCCTACTTTTCGAGTAGACAGCAGAGAGGAATGTGGGTCTTGGTTAAGTGGTGATTAACTTACAGTCTGGTTTTGAAAAACTGAATCAGTTCTGACTGGCTTTAAACTGTGGAACGAAATTTACAGCTGAATCCATAGCTTATATGCCACTTTCCTTCCCCTACAAAAAACTGCAGCTTGCATTGAGATACACCTACTTTGTTGGTTCTAAGATGGCTCTCCTGCTAACTTGGTCTGTGCCACATTGATCTATGGGTCTCTCTCTCTCTCTCTCTCTCTCTCTTTTTTTTTTTACCCACCTCTCTAAATTTGGGATCCCGCTGGGGTGGGGTAGAGCCAAAAATTAAGGTTCTAAAGGCTTGTTGCCCCTAAGATTGAGCTCTGAGGGTTTTAATATATATATTTACCAGATTTCGTCCCTAGCTCACAGATCCTTTACTATGCCCTCATTACAGTTTCTGTGGATGCAATAAACAAGCAAACAAACAAATGGGGATACTGGAACCACTTCCCTCACTCCTTACCTTGATGCTTTCTCGGTGGGATTGAGACGGGGTGTGTGGCCTGAGAACGTTTGCAATTCTTGTAAAGCTGTGGTTGCAGGAAGGGTGATTGTGCCCTTCATCGGTCACCTGAAGATTTACAAGCCAAAGCCTATTAAAGTATAAAATGGGAGAGAACATAACTCTTCCCGATACCTTCTCTCCCAGGACCTTTTGTTCTCCAAGAAGGGAGAATTCGGCACGAAACCCCTGTGTTGCAGTTCCTGAAACGGTTCAGTTCTGTCACCTTTGGTTGAAATAGGGATAAAAGATTCATATGTCCCATGTGTTAATAATTTTTATTATTTAGCTAATTATATTGACATCCCATCTTTCTTCCAAGGAACTCAAGGTGCCGTATGCCACTCTAGAAATCTGAAGCTGGGGGACCTGAAGTGCTAGTTCCAACTGGTTTTAAACTGAAGAACGAAATTTACAGCTTAGCCTATATGCTACTTCCCCTACCCAAAAACTGAAGCTTGCAGTGAGATACACCTGCCTTGTTGATTCAAAGATGGCTCTCCTGCTAGCTTGGTCTGTGCCACATGAAACCATAGCTCAATGGGTATTTCTTTCTTTTTTTACCCACCTCTCTAAAATTGGGATCTCATCTAAGATTCTGGTTTACTGGGGCTCCTCAAGATATTCCTGCTAGGGCAGAGCTGAACACTAAGTTTCTAAAATTTTATCACCCCTAGAAATTGAGCTCTGAGGTTTTTTTAAAAATTGTGCCCTTCATTGATCATTTGAGCATCTGCAAGCCAAAGCCTATTAAAGTATAAAGTGGAAGAGAACAGAACTCTTTCCCGATACCTTTTCTCCCAGGACTTTTTGTTCTCCAAGAGAATAATTTCAAAAGGAGATTGCAGTGTGAAACTGCTGGATTGCAGCTCATGAATTCTGTCACCTTTGGTTGGAATGGGGAGAATAGATTCTTATGTGTTATTCTGGTGTACATGTGTTATTTATTGTTATTTATTAGCTATTTATATTGACATCCCCCCTTTCTTCCAAGGAGGTCAAGGCACCATACATGGTCTTCTCCCAGCAACACAGGGAAGCAGGTCAGGCTAAGAGACAGTGACAGAGTGGGGATTCGAACCTCGGTCTCCCAGGTCTTACTCAGCTGCGAGTGATCACCACAGAAGAAGTCGTCCATCCAACACTCTCCACCAGCCTTTCTCAACCTGGGGTCTCCTCAATGTGGGACAACGACTCCCATCTTCCCTGATCACCTTAGGGATGATGGGACTTGTAGTCCAACATCTGGGGACCTAAAGTGGAGAAAGGCTGCTCTACACATTACACCACAGTGGCGCTCTTATGCATGGCGACCCACACCAGACAAGCCCCTTCTTTCTCTGGGGGAATGTGTAAGTGGGACTCCTGCTTCTCTCAGAGATTTCTCACCAAGGTCCTATGGCCTGCTGGGGACTCCTTTGTTGGGTTTAGCATCCTCTTGTACTGATGCTACCATGTTTTTTACGATGACAAGGACATGGGATCATAGGGGGCTCCTTTATCCCACGTCAGAGCTTTGCTTCAACTAGCTCCAATTTGCCTCCACAGACTGCAGCCATTCTCCAAGGTTTCAAAGATGAGACATTCCCAGCCCTACCTGGAGATGTTGGGGGTTGGAGGACCTTCTGTATACAAAGCAGGTGTCCTAGGATGGAGTTACAACTCTAGGATGGTCACTGTGGTTCATCAAAAGTTCCAGGCACCTTGCACAAAGTCTCCCACAGGGTTGTCTTTTGATCCACCAGGGCCTCTTTGCTGTTTGGTGAACATTGCTGAAGTTGATGGTTCCTCAGGCCTAACAGGACCCAATTGACAATCACACCAGAGAGTTCTTTGAAGCATGTTTTTTTCTGACTCTTTCTTGGCGCCTGGAGCCAAGGCCAAGAGTCCAGGATGTTGCTTAGGAGGTGGACCTTCTTAATCTTTCCGTTATCAAATTTGTGGTGATTTATTTCTCCAGCCTTGGGATTTCTCCCAAGATAGCCTTGGAGACCAATAATAACATAAACATCAGAAGATCAGGCAGCATGAGACAACTTTTTGTAACAAGCCTGACAGAACTCAGAGTTAAGTATTTCAAATGCCACAGAGAGCCTGGTCTGGGCACATTGTAACAGTCAAGGGTCATGTCGGCACAAGGTTTTTTGTTGCAGTCTTTGCTTCTGCAAGAAGATTTAGGGATTTAAAGAAGCATCACACACGTCCCTTTGTGACCTGCAGTTGGGGCGGTTAATTATGAATACTCTCACTGTTTTGACACTGAGCTCAGTGAACATGAAGGCAGCATCTAGAACACAACGGATCACAAAATCTTTAGCAGCTCAGTATGACGATAACATATTATGAGGCAGTTTTTTTTCTAGTATAATTTTGTTCCAAGATGCAAACACACTCTTGGCTTTTAAAACTGTTGATAATACACACCAACTGTTTCCCTCGGTGGTCTAAACTCAAAAGCCTGGTGACTTGTGCTCTGTGTGGGGCTGCCCTTGAGCTTGTCCCAGAAGCTGCAGTGAGTGTACAGTGCAGTGGCACAACTGCCCACTGAGGCAGACCCCTGCCACTCTGTTATGTCCCTGTGGAAAGAATTGCACTTGATAGCTGCCAATCTTACTTCAAAAGCAATAAATCATACTCTGATAATGACTAATACTTTGTTTTTATGCATTATCTAAAAGGAAATGCAAACCTATGCCACTTCCCCTTTCAGAAATGTTTAATTGCTAATTGAATGGACTTTTATTGTTATTCATCCACCGTTGGTCCACACCCTGCACTCAGCTCTCGTTTGTGGCTCCTAGAAGCTCTTGGTATGCAAATGTGGTCACATATTGGGTCTGCTTTGGTCTGCTAAACCAGGTGAGGGTAGCTGATGGGTCTTAAACCCTTGGTGACTTAGGGACTTACCTATCTTCTGCATGTGAAGACAGGCTCGGCCAGATTGAGCCATCAAGACCAATTGCAGGTCCAACAGTCAAGAAGGTGGTTTCTGCACATGCAGCACAAGGAAATGAGCAGGTGGGGCTTTTCAACCTGGGAAGGTAGTCCATCTAGAAGGAAAACTCTGATCCTAAACCTCGGCTACCTTGCAGCTGTACTCATTTGTGAGAAAAGCTTGGGGAGTGAATCCTGAGGAACAATCTGTAGCCTTGTGGGATACCTTTGGGAGAAGAAAAGGCTAAGGAGTAAACGCTGTACAAATCTGGAGTCCCTACGGTGTCTTGTATGTCTCCTTCCAGCAGTCAAGCAGGTGCCAAACATATTGCTCTGATTTGGACCACACCAGCGAGGCCGGGGGGGGGGGTGTCTTGTCATCTGGGCAGCCCAGGACCTCCAGACCCACTGCCCAGGCTTATGCCCTTGAGATACTGCCATTCATCAAGAGACCAAAGGGCAGTTTGCAACATAGAACACATCATTGAAGAGACAAATGATGCCCTGCCCAAGATTTCTTTAATCAGGTGGCAGCAGTAGAGGAATCGCCATAGCTTAGCAGTAGAGCATCTGCTTGGCATGCACAATGTTCGACTCCAGGCTTATCCCTACAGAGATAACACAACAGCTTTCCAGGTTAGTTAGCGTAGTGGCATTGTGCTCTCTAAGATGTCAGCTGCCACAGCAATTACTTTCTTGAGCCACTTTAGCACTGTAATGCATACCTTTTATATTTAAAAGGAGGATTAATTTTTAATTCATGGCAGTATGTGAACATCTACTTACACATTTGCACTTTTTATAGACGGCCAAGCTTGCAGGCGCATGACTAAGTGCTGAAATTCTCCATGATGCTCACTAGATTCTAAACGTTTGGGGGAAAGGGTGTGCCTCTTCCTTTTCATTATCAGTTATTTCTACCTAAGAAATTGGGAGAAAGCAGCAGGGCTCATCAGGGTTCAGATTAATGAGCCAACTATGGTGTAATTTTTCTGCAATAAATACGATATATGTAAGTGAAGCCACATTTGAAACACTACAGCAGCAGTCCAAGGGATTTTCCTAGGAAGCATTTTATTTAGTCTCATCTGCAATTACGTGTGCTGAACACACGACAAACATATAGATAATATGAAATTACTGAGAGTTATTGTCTCCAAACAACATTAAACCCATGCAAACAGATTCATAGAATAGTACAAATGATTCCCCCTCCCATGAATTCACTAGGCAAACAAATTTTATGATACTTTACCGTATATGAAATGGAACATTTCTACTGTAACATTAAATCTTAAGATACTCTGCTTTGACACCGAAGTATCTCTAGTCTATCCATCTATGTAGAAACCCCAAAAAGTCACAATGCACTAAAGGAACATGTTTTTTTTTTAAAAAAACCCCAACAATTCAAAATAAATTCAGGTGTGGGTTGTGTGTGCCGGGGGAAATGTGCTTTAAATGAAAGGTGTGTACAAAGTCTCAAGGTTTCGCAGCTTCAGATTTCTTGACCTAAGGAACAGGACAGCCAATAGTTAAGCAGGTTAAAGGGTGTGATATGATTTCTGTGACCAGTTGTTTAATTCCAGGTTAGAAGGTGGGTGCCCTAGTCCAGGAGCACATGGACTGTGCCAGGTTCCTCTCTGGAAGCTGCAGAACCCGACATCTTGGACACTGTCTTTGGGGCAAGGTGCCATCTTTTCACGAACTTCTGAAAGACTTTATTTTGATTTCACTGTTTGGAAGACTGTATTCTCGTCTGGTTTTCATATGTGACGGTGGACAATGCAAAAAGTTACCCTTGCAACCAACTGTCCACTTTGCAGCAAAAGCCATCATTTCTATTTATTCATTTATTTTAAAGATGATGGGATTACAGGTCATATTAAGAGGACTGGGAGGTAAGAGAGAGTATTGCTCAGCTCCCAAGCTCAGGGCCAGCCAGTCACTGTCTCTCAGCCTAAACTCCCTTACAGGATTGTTCATTTAAGTATTTATAGACAGCTGTATCATCAAAATATACTACAGCAGTTTAGAGCAATATAAGAACATAAAACCAATTAATATCATAAAAATTAAAATTAAAAGCTAAATTAAAAACAAGTTAACAGGAAAAATAAAATTTTAAAACAAGCATCAATAGACCCCTGAAGGGGTGTACGTACTCCTAATGGAATAGAAGCAAAAATAGCAGGCAGTTAAAAGTTGGCACAGCGGGAACCTACTGAATCTCTAGTGGCAGGATGTTCCACAGGACTGGACCCATGACAAGAAACGCTAAAATAAAGCCTTGAAATCAACATTGGTAAAAGGTGCACAGCTGTGAGCTGGGTCTTTCACCAAACGCCTGCTTTTCTCCTCTGCCACTCTTACCAGAACACTTCAGCTCTAATGTAGCGAAGGAGGAGGTGTGTGGTAGAATGCAACTGACTTTTGAAAAAATAAACAGGTTTCAATGAAAATTTGTGTACATAAACGAATGCTTTCAAATGTCCCCATTTCCATTTTTGTCACTTTATTACAACTGTAACAACAGGTATTATAATGCTGTTCCTCTATTCCTACTTTAACCAAGGTTGCTTCACAACAACCACCCCTCTCACCCTCCACTCCACCCTCCAACCGTCTCTACTGAAGAGGCCAGAGACCATTCTTGGCCATCTCCAGAAGACTTGCTCTCAGCCTTACAGGCCTTTTTCCACCTGGCCTGGGAGGGCCCAGACTGATGGACTGACTCCAGCTGCAAAGGCTGAGCCTGCTGAACAGACTCTGGGGCGTAGGGATTTCGGGGTGGGGAGGCTGTTGCTGTTACATTTTTTCCTCTTGTATACTTATTTAAGATCTTGTTGAAATTATTGTGGAAATTGTTCAGCTTGATTGTATATTTTTAATGTTTCATTCATTGTTTATGACTACTTTTCGGATATCGTATTTATTCAAACCTCCTTTAAAACTCAGCCAATCACTTCTCACCCCAGCATTCCAAACTCACTCTGCCCCACCTCCCTAGCTAACAGTACCTTAAACCTACTATTATACTATACTTATTATGAACTACTTTGATACAGGTGCATACAACTTTACATACAAATGGAGCCCGAGAGATATACGATAGCCATCTTCTAAGATCAAAAGGGCTGTCACATGGAAGATGGAGAAAACTTGTGTTCTCTTGCTCCAGGAGCAGGACCTGAAGACATGGATTAAAGTAACAATAAAGGAGATTCCAAGTGAACATCAGACAAGAACTTAGACAATACCATAATAGCTATTCAACAATGGAAGGGAATTCCCACAGAAGGATTGTGTGGCCATCTGTCTGAGATACTTTAGCTGAGATTCCAGCCTTGAGGGGATTGGGGTAAATGAACCTCAGGGTCGATCGATCACTACAATTTTATGATTCTCTCTGGAAGATCTTTCATGGGAAGTATGATGGATTCTCTGACTGAAGTTCTTAGCACATTAGAAGCATTGATATGGTTTCTCCCCTGTATGAATTATTTTATTGGTCATGAGATTGATGTTCTGACTGAAGCTCTTTCAACATTACGAGAAATGATATTGTTCCTCTCTTCTGTGAGTTCTATGATGGGAAGTGAGATGGGTGCTCTGGCTGAAGCTCTTTCCACATTCCAAGCATTGATATGGTTTCTCCCCACGGTGAATACTTTGATGTCGACGGAAGTTTGTGCTTGTATTAAACCTCTTTCCACATTCCAAGCACTGATAGGGTTTCTCCCCAGTGTGGATTCTCTGATGGGAAGTAAGATTGGCCCTCTTACAGAAGCTCTTTCCACATTCCATGCACTGATAGGGTTTCTCCCTTGTATGAGTTATTTGATGGGCAGTGAGATGGGCACTTTCACTGAAACTCTTTCCACATTCCATACACTGAAATGGTTTCTCACCTTTATGAATTATTTGATGGGAAATGAGACTTTCTTTCCAGGTAAAGCTCTTTCCACATTCCATGCAGTGATACGGTTTCTCCCCTGTATGAATTCTTTGATGTGCCGTGAGATTGGTGCTCCGACTGAAGGTCTTTCCACATTCCAAGCACTGATATGGCTTCTCCCCCGTATGAATTATTTGATGGGATGTGAGATAGGTGCTCTTATTGAAGCTCTTTCCACATTCCAAACACTGATAGGGTTTCTCCCCTGTATGGATCATTTCATGGGAAGTGAGACTTTCTTTCCAGGTGAAGCACTTTCCACATTCCAGGCACTGGTAGGGTTTCTCCCCTGTATGAATTCTTTGATGGGACGTAAGATAGGCACTCTTACTGAAACTCTTTCCACACTCCAAGCACTGATATGGTTTCTCCCCACTGTGAATTCTTTGATGGGACGTGAGATTGCCCCTCTCTCTGAAGTTTTTTCCACATTCCAAGCACTTGTAGGGTTTTTCCCCTGTATGAATTCTTTCATGGGTTGTGAGATTGGCACTCTGACTGAACCGCTTTCCACAGTCCAAGCACTGATATGGTTTCTCCCCAGTATGAATTCTTTGATGGGATGTGAGATTGGCACTTTTATTGAAGCTCTTTCCACATTCCAAGCACTGATATGCTTTTTCCCCATTGTGAATTCTTCGATGGGCCGTGAGCTTGCCCATCTCACTGAAGCTTTTTCCACATTCCAAGCACGGATATGGCTTCTCCCCTGTATGAATACTTTGATGGGAAGTGAGACTTTTCTTCCAGGTGAAGCTTTTTCCACATTCCAAGCACTGATAGGGCTTCTCCCCAGTGTGGATTCTTTGATGGCAAGTGAGATGAGTGCTCTGACTGAAGCTCTTCCCACATTCCAAACACTGATATGGTCTCTCCCCTGTATGAATTCTTTGATGGGAAATGAGATTGGCCCTCTCACTAAAGCTTTTTCCACATCCCAAACACTGATATGGTTTCTCTGTTGTATGAATTCTTTGATGTGCCGTGAGCTTGCCCCTCTCACTGAAGGTCTTTCCACATTCCAAGCAGTAATATAGTTTCTCCCCTGTATGAATTCTTTGATGAGATGTGAGACTTTTTTCCCAAGTGAAGTTCTTTCCACATTCCAAGCACTGATACAGTTTCTTCCAAATGGGATTTATTTGATGAGAATTTATTTGATGGGAAGTGGAATGGGAACTCTGACTGTAGCTTTGTCCAAACTCTGAATATTGATATGTCTTTTCCACTGTATGGATGATGTCGTGGTCTCCCTCGTTCTTAATTTCCAAATCATCATTACCTGTAACAAAGAGAGAAATGGATTAGAGCCTCGGCAAGAGATGGAGCCCCAAATTATTGAACATTGCTCATAAACACATGTGATAGATTAAGTGTTTTCCTGTGTGAGTTTCTTGTGGCTGTTTAGCTGCTCTCTCTGGGCAAAGGTCAGAGGGGGCAGGGCTTCTGTTGAGGTAGGTGATTAGCTGTGGGAGGAGCTTATCAGAGCTTTAGGGCAGCGGCGCGCGCCTAGTGGCGCGCGCAGTTTGATCCATATTTTAGATTTAGGGGAGCTAGTCTCAAACATTTGTTGGGGGAGACCTAGGTTTTTTGGGAGGGATTTATTTGTCCTGTCTCCACACTTTTTATGATAGAGGACCACTTTAGTCACCCCCAACGACACGTTCCCAAGATGGAGGGTGAGGGAACAGCTGCAGTCGCCTGTGGTTCCTGCGCAATGTTTGCCATCTTGCCAAAGGTTGCAGGCAGCTTTACCTGCAGCAATTGCATGTTGATTGCCCTCTTAAAAGACAAAGTCCAGCAACTGGAGGAACGTGTAGCTATGCTCCAAAGAATTAGAGAGCTGGAACTCTTCTTGGAAGCAACAGAGCACACCGTCTCCACCAAGGAAGAGACAGGGGACTCCCCTGAGAAGGTGGGTAGTTCACCAACACAGGAGCCAGATATATGGAGAAACGTGACTCAAAGAAGTAGGAGGCCCAGGGTTCGCTCTGATTGTTTAGAAATACGCAATCGCTTTGAGGTCCTTTCCCCTAGCATGGAAGACGAAGAGCAGACTCCATTTGAGGATCTCTCCCTCATTACAGTCGATCAGGTATATGAAGACGAGGAGCAAAGGCAGTCCTCTGGGAATGTCCAGGCGACCTTGGAACCGACAGCTCACAGAAGAACCCCGACCAGACCTAAGAGGAGGCGTGTAGTGGTGATAGGGGATTCCCTACTGAGGGGAACAGAAGCAGTGATCTGTGGGCCTGACAAGATGTCTCGGGAAGTGTGCTGTCTCCCTGGGGCTAAGATCCAAGATGTAACTGAACGACTGCAAGGAATCATAAAACCCACTGACAAATACCCCTTCCTCTTGGTTCATGTGGGAACCAATGACACTGCAAGCAATAGCCTCCAGAAGATCAAAAGAGATTACGAGGCTCTGGGCAGGAAATTGAAGCAATTAAATGCACAAATTGTCATCTCATCTGTCCTCCCAGTTGAACGACGTGGCCCAGGGAGAGAGGGAAAAATAGTGGAAGTGAACAACTGGCTTCGCAAATGGTGCAAACAGGAACGGTTTGGATTCTTAGATCACGGAATGCAGTTTCTTGAAGATGGACTTCTGGCAAGCGATGGGCTGCACCTCACAACGGTTGGGAGGAATGTTTTTGCAAAAAATCTCAGAAACCTCATCAGGAGGGCTTTAAACTGACTAATGTGGGGGAGGGAGACAGTGCTCCTGAAGGTAGGAGTCTATCAATTGATGAAGATGATCATCCAAATGTCATAGACCGAATGGAGCAAAGAGCATGCAGACCTAGTGGTGGGAGGAGAAAATCCTTAAATAAGAGACACGGGGGAATGATTAATGGACTTCAATGTCTGTACACTAATGCGCAAAGCATGGGAAATAAACAAGATGAGCTTGAGCTCCTGGTACAGCAAACTAAATATGACATAATAGGAATCACTGAAACCTGGTGGGATAAATCCCACGATTGGAATGTAATAATGGAGGGATACAATCTATTTCAAAGAAACAGACCAGACAAGAAAGGAGGAGGAGTGGCGTTATATGTCAGGGATGTGTATACCTGTGAAGAGATCCAAGATTTAGAACCTCAAAGCCAAAGTGAGAGCATTTGGGTCAAAATTAAGGGAGAGAAGAATAACAGTGACCTCATTGTGGGAGTTTACTATAGATCCCCAAGCCAAACGGAGGACATAGATGATGCCTTCCTGGAACAGATGGCCAAGCATGCAAAAGGAAGGGAGATAGTAGTAATGGGGGACTTCAATTACCCGGATATTTGTTGGATGTCAAACTCAGCCAAGAGCATAAGGTCAAACAGATTCCTCACTGCCCTTGCAGACAACTTCATTGTCCAGAAAGTGGGAGAAGCAACAAGAGGAACAGCCATTTTAGATCTGGTCCTAACCAATGTTGATGACCTGGTTAGTGGGGTAGAAGTGGAAGGATCATTAGGCGCGAGTGATCATGCTCTTCTGAAGTTTACTATACAGCGGAAAGGAGCAGCCAAGCATACTAGGACTCAATTTCTCGACTTTAAGAAAGCCGACTTCATAAAGCTTAGGGAAGTGCTGGGCGAGATCCCATGGACAGTAATACTAAAAGGAAAGGGAGTTCAAGATGGCTGGGAGTTTGTTAAGAGGGAGATAGTAAAAGCACAACTTCAGGCAATACCAATGAGACGGAAACATGGAAGGTGCCTAAAGAAGCCAGGGTGGCTATCTAAAGAACTTTTAACTGAGTTAAGATTAAAAAAGGATGTGTACAAAAAATGGAAAAGGGGGGAAACCACCAAAGAGGAATTCAAACAAATAGCCAGCACGTGTAGACACAAAGTCAGAAAAGCTAAAGCACAAAATGAACTCAGGCTTGCTAGAGAGGTTAAAAGCAACAAAAAAGGCTTTTATGGGTATGTTCGTAGCAAAAGGAAGAACAAAGAAACCGTGGGGTCACTCAGAGGAGAAGATGGTGAAATGCAAACAGGGGACACAGAAAGGGCTGAACTCCTCAATGCCTTCTTTGCCTCAGTCTTCTCCGATAAAGAAAACAATGCCCGACCTGAAGAATTTGGAGCAAATGATTCAGCAGAGGAAACACAGCCCAGAATAACTAAGGAGATAGTACAAGAATACTTGGCTAGTCTAGATGTATTCAAGTCTCCAGGGCCAGATGAACTGCATCCAAGAGTATTAAAAGAACTGGCAGATGTGATTTCAGAACCACTGGCAGTCATCTTTGAGAATTCCTGGAGAACAGGCGAAGTCCCGGCAGACTGGAGGAGGGCAAATGTTGTCCCTATTTTCAAAAAGGGGAAAAGAGAGGACCCAAATAATTACCGCCCAGTCAGTCTGACATCAATACCAGGGAAGATTCTGGAGCAGATCATTAAGCAAACAGTCTGTGAGCACCTAGAAAGGAATGCTGTGATCACCAATAGTCAGCATGGATTTCTGAAAAATAAGTCATGTCAGACTAACCTGATCTCGTTTTTTGACAGAATTACAAGCCTGGTAGATGAAGGGAACGCAGTGGATGTAGTCTACCTTGATTTCAGCAAGGCATTTGACAAGGTGCCCCATGATATTCTTGTAAAGAAGCTGGTAAAATGCGGTCTTGACTATGCTACCACTCAGTGGATTTGTAACTGGCTGACTGACCGAACCCAAAGGGTGCTCATCAATGGTTCCTCTTCATCCTGGAGAAGAGTGACTAGTGGGGTGCCACAGGGTTCTGTCTTGGGCCCGGTCTTATTCAACATCTTTATCAACGACTTGGATGATGGACTCAAGGGCATCCTGATCAAATTTGCAGATGACACCAAACTGGGAGGGGTGGCTAACACCCCAGAGGACAGGATCACACTTCAAAACGACCTTGACAGATTAGAGAACTGGGCCAAAACAAACAAGATGAATTTTAACAGGGAGAAATGTAAAGTATTGCACTTGGGCAAAAAAAATGAGAGGCACAAATACAAGATGGGTGACACCTGGCTTGAGAGCAGTACATGTGAAAAGGATCTAGGAGTCTTGGTTGACCACAAACTTGACATGAGCCAACAGTGTGACGCGGCAGCTAAAAAAGCCAATGCAATTCTGGGCCTCATCAATAGGAGTATAGCATCTAGATCAAGGGAAGTAATAGTGCCACTGTATTCTGCTCTGGTCAGACCTCACCTGGAGTACTGTGTCCAGTTCTGGGCACCACAGTTCAAGAAGGACACTGACAAACTGGAACGTGTCCAGAGGAGGGCAACCAAAATGGTCAAAGGCCTGGAAATGATGCCTTATGAGGAACGGCTAAGGGAGCTGGGCATGTTTAGCCTGGAGAAGAGGAGGTTAAGGGGTGATATGATAGCCATGTTCAAATATATAAAAGGATGTCACATAGAGGAGGGAGAAAGGCTGTTTTCTGCTGCTCCAGAGAAGCGGACACGGAGCAATGGATCCAAACTACAAGAAAGAAGATTCCACCTAAACATTAGGAAGAACTTCCTGACAGTAAGAGCTGTTCGACAGTGGAATTTGCTGCCAAGGAGTGTGGTGGAGTCTCCTTCTTTGGAGGTCTTTAAGCAGAGGCTTGACAACCATATGTCAGAAGTGCTCTGATGGTGTTTCTTGCTTGGCAGGGGGTTGGACTCGATGGCCCTTGTGGTCTCTTCCAACTCTATGATTCTATGATTCTATGATTCTAAGTACAGAAGGGAGTTATATGTGAGGTCTTACTACAGGGTTCACTGCCTTAGTTTACTGGCACTAACAGGGATATTTATGGGAACCTGAGATTCAAATATCCTGGTTCTTTTCTAGGATGGATTTTGTTTGGCTACATCATGGAATCTTTGATCAACCAGAAGCCGACACAAGCAAAAACAAAAAAAACCTGCCAGGGAGCTACTTCGACTTCCCTAATAATTCTGAAGCCTATAAAAAGGGTCACATTTAAGGCCAACCTGATTATTGTTTAAAAAGGCATAAGGAGAATAAGATTTGCAGACTAAACAGTAGATAACTGTGCATTCAAGGTGAGCTGTCCCAGATGCTGTTGGTGCACTATTGAGCCCCATCAAAATATAGGAGGTTCATCACATAGAGGTATGTATTATTTTCAAAACAGATATTGTGATGCAACAGGGAGTCTTACCAAGCGAGTCCATGATCTCACGATTCTCCCCCATGACTTCCTCATGCAGAGCTCTCTGGTCAGGATGCAGCAATGCCCATTCATCGTCTGTGAAATGAACAGCTACATCTTCAAAGCACACTGGGCCCTAAAAGAAAAAGAAAGTTTATCTTCTAAGATAGCATAACAATTATCCACTACAAATGTCTTTCTTCTTTTCTGCCTGTTCATTGCTGTGTTGTTTTAATGGATTTTTATTTATTTTTGCTGCATGTTTTAGTTATGGATGCTTCTTTTAATGTCTTAATGTAATTCTATTACTTTGTATTTTAATGATGGCTATTAATCTATTTTTAAATGGATGGAACGTCACACTGTGTTCTACAAAACATTTTGTCTCTGCAAGCATTTCTCTCTCTTCTCTCCCCATGTGCAGTTCTGTGGCGGGGACCCTCCTGATGCACTAAAGCTTCAAGGGGCGCATGGGGGCGCGGAGAGCAGGAGGAGGGGGGGGAGCCCCATTGTGCAACTGATGAGGCTGCTTGGGTGACTCCTGACAACTGTTTTGTAAGGTTTCACATTCAACAATCAATATATAAATAAAATTGCAACCAGTGGTAAATGCTTCTACAAGCACTCAGAAGGTAAACTCTGACAGAAGCCAAGTGGAGAGAGGTTTATCCTGGTCCAGAGGCACTCTGGCTGCCTTGCCCCTCAGTCTCTTTCCCCACAATGCTCCTTCTTCCTACCTGATCTGGTTCCACAGCGGCTGCTACTCCTTTGCCACCATGAAAAGATGGATAAGCAGATCTTGCCAGCATTCTTCTGTCACCTGAGAGAGATAAAGGTAAGGAGGAAGCCACGGGTGTGTGCTCTCAGAGGTGAAGCAGCACATCTCTAACTACAGATGGGCCTTCAAAAAAGTGCCACCAGCTGAGTGCATTTTGATGTTGGTACCCATTTCGTATTTTAGTTGTGCAAAAATACATATCCCCTCCTTTAGGCTCTTGATCCCAAGTATCCTCAAAAACATGAAAAGAATCCACAGATTGCAAAGAATGTGACCAAACGGAGAAAAAACTCCATCTTACCCAGGGGTGTCTCTCTGGTGTCCAATGCAGTCCTCTCTGCTTCAGAGGAATCAGGGTCAATTTCTGCAAAGATCACCGTTCTCTGATATAGCAACACAGATTCAAAACACAGATTGAGGGGAAAGATTAGAAAAGGAGTGGCAGAGACAAAAAAAAAAAAGGATCTCTCATATCATTCAGAGCCCCTTGAGGGTATCCTGAGGAAAGTTTCTCTCACCTGCTGCTCTGCCTGCTTCCTCTCCTCTGCCTGACTCAGGAGGAAACCTTCGGCCAGGGCCACCGCCTGGGAACTGGTCTCCGCTCCACATTCTCTCACCCAGCTCTCCATCTGTGGTGGAAGGACAGCCAGGAACTGCTCCAAGATCACCAGGTCCAGCATCTCAGCTTTTGTGTGCCTTTCTGGCTTCAGCCACTTATGGAAAAGGCGGTAGAGTCGGCTGCAAATCTCTCGGGGTCCTTCAGCCTCCTGGTAGCAGAACTGCCTGAACCGCTGGCTCTGCACATCTGAGTGGAGGGTGTCCTCCTCACCCAGGATCTTTTGAACGGAGATTTCCCATAATCCCCCACTGCTCTCAGTTTCGATGGCGTGGCCTCTTCCCACTTCAGGGCCAGCTGAGTCTAGCTCATCCATCTGGGCTCTCAGGAAGCCTCCAAGAGATCGGAAGATTGGTCTTCTTCCCAGTTCTGTTTGTCCTAATGAGTGGCGGTAGCAAATCCTACAAAGCAAATACATTGTTTTGTTACAAGACTAATATACGGTCAGGAGAAGAAAAAGTTTTCCTGAGCAAGCATGGATGAGTCTTACTAGAAACCAGGGCTGGATTCCACCACAGCCCAGAGTCTGAGCTTTCTTTAACAAAGGAAGCCCTCCTTTGATAGATTCTAAAGATAGAGGTGGATTCTCCCTGCCGGATTTAAGATTATATTATGAAGCATCCTGTTTATGCTGGCTAGGGGAATGTATATTATTTAAAAACTCATTTTAGATCTCGAAGTTTATGACAATAGATAAGGTTGGCATGCATTTTTGTGGTACAAGAATGTTAAAGTACATACAGCTTTCCTAAATCATGTAGTAAGAAAATCGGTTTATGAAGTATAGAGAAAATATAAAAATCCATTAGAGCAAAAAACACCATGGTGGCTTGACCCACAGGAAGCGGTATCTTTGAAAAAATTCAGTATGAGAAATGACTTGGCAACTTACAAAGAACTGTTAATGGAAGTAGGACATCAACTAAGATTTAAGAGCTTTGAGAGTATAAGAGAAGAATTAACTGATCGGTTACAATACCATGAGCTAAATGATATATTTAAGATGGATTAAAAGGTTTTCTTAATAAAACCTCTAAATTTGAAAAAGAGCTGTTAGAAAACAAGACTAAATTGCTTTTTAAAATGTATAAATTCATATTAAAATATTAATATTAGAATAGCATACGAAAGATGAACAGGTTAAATCAGTTATGATACACTGGGTGAAGGACTCTGGATATAATATACAAATTATAGCATGGGAGAAGCTATGGAGCTGGGATCTGAAGCATGTTATACATTGAAAGAAAATTTTATGAACATGATGTATCTTTGGTCTTTAACTCCTAGTAAACTAGCTAAAATGTACAAAACTAGGTCAAATACATGCTGGAAATGTAAGGAAAAAGAAGGCACATGTAAGGTAGTAAAAGAATTCTGGGAAATGATATATAATGAACTGAGGGGAAAATGTTTGAAATAACTTTTTCTAGAAAACTCGAAGCTTTTCTTTTAGGAATTCTAGGTGCTGAAATTCCAACAGATCAGAAAAGACTGTGACCACTGCTGCTCGGATGTTATTAGCCCAGAGATGGAAAGAAGACAGAGTCTTCTTCTTCTTCATACCAGAGAAGAATGGAAGATTAAGTTGATGGACTATGCCCAATTGGCAAAAATGACCAGAAGAATCAGAAATCAGGAAGACCAAAATTTTAACAAGGAATGGGGAAAATATATAATTTATCTTAAAAACCACTGTAAACAACTGAAATTATTAGTAGGATTAGAATAACACTTCTGGTTTAATGTTGAATTTCGGCTATAACAGATTTAAAAGATTTGGATTAATAGACAAGATGCAGGAGGAAAAGATTACCGTAATATAAGGACCCACCAAAGGGAGGAGGAAGTTCAGGAGATCCTTTGGAATTCTCTTTTTATGTTGGTTGTTTGATAATTGTTTGTAATTTTAAAAAATCTAAATAAATAAATAATCCTCCAGCCCTCCTGGAAAGAAAGTGACCATGCAAAATACGCAGGCAACTAAAGGGATTTCTGTGAGATGAAGCAGCCTGGTTGTCCCTGCCTTTCTGCATTTTCAGTCAAAGAGCGAAGTCAGAAGTGTGATCCACATGTGAGTCGATCGACAACGGAATGTGATTTGGATACTAATCTAGTGGGGGTCCTAACCCTGGGATCCTCAAAAGTTGCTCTCCCTCCCACCCCCACTTTGGGGACAATTTCTTTCCTGCTTCTTTCTCGTTTTCTAGCACTTGGAATCTGCAACACTCTAAAGACATGGTATTGGGGTGGGGTACCCCCAAATGGGCAGGGTATAAATAATAAAATTGTTGTTGTTGTTTTCCTGAGGGCCAAGTGGGCGGGGTCAAAGGACACCACTTAAAAACGAAGTTAATTAGGAGTAATTTTCTTTCAGTGATTGCAAGTGGTTTTAAACTGTGCTTAATATTGTGTATACCAGGAATAGGCAAACTCGGCCCTCCAGATGTTTTGGGACTACAACTCCCATCATCCCTAGCTAACACGACCAGTGGATTTAACCTCCTTCCATCGGGCCTGCAAGACAGAGCTATTCTGCCTGGCCTTTAATTTGAATTCAGCCTGATCTTTTATTTCCCTTCCCTTTCCTCCTCCTCCCCTTTTATGAAGATCACCCGCTCTGAGACCCCACAGCTAATTCTCCCCTGGTCTCCTCGCTGGCCCAAGTAGGACCAATTCAGCCAGCTAGCCCTGGGGATTATCTAATTGATTTTTGATTTTTATTGTTATTCATGCTTTTATACTGTATTTTGTGCTGCTTTTACAATTAAGTGTTTTAAATTTGTTGTTCACCGCCCTGAGCCCGGTTTTTGAACTGGGAAGGGCGGGATATAAATGAAAATTTATTATTATTATTATTATTATTATTATTATTATTATTATGCCCGGCATATACTATCCTGGGAACTTAGGGTCAAGCACAGGTAATCAATATTAACAATACAGTGGTGCCTCGCAAGACGAAAAGAATCCGTTCTGCGAGTCTCTTTGTCTTGCGGTTTTTTCGTCTTGCGAAGCAAGCCCATTAGCGGATTAGCGGATTAGCGCTATTAGCGGCTTAGTGGGCTTAACGGATCAGCTGATAAGCGGCTTAGTGGCTTGGGAAAAGGGGGGGGGAGGAAAAAAACCCTGCAGGAACTCGCAAGACATTTTCGTCTTGCAAAGCAAGCCCATAGGAAATTCGTTTTGCGAAGCACCTCCAAAACGGAAAACCCTTTCGTCTAGCGGGTTTTCCGTCTTGCGAGGTATTCGTCTTGCGGGGCACCACTGTATTATCAATAATAATGCTACATAGCGTATTCTGCCCCCCAGGGTGTTCTCCTGCATCCCACGCGGCCCCTGGAGGCTTAGGTGGCCTCAGGGATGAAGCAGGGCCCATTTCTAGCTCCAGCTCCTTTGCCAGCCACCATCCCTTGGGGGCGGAGGGGACGAGGCCATGGGGCTCCCCACTCGGGATCAGGTGGGGCATCGCAAGACCCTCCATGTGGAGCAGCCGCCCTTGAAGGCAACTGTGAGGGACACTCTGGAGAGGCAGCGCCTCAGAGATTCTGCCAAAGGGCGGGCGTCTCTCTCGCTCTCCGATTGGCTCCCAGCCCTTTTGGAGGGAAAATCCAAGAAGCCCTTTCTGAGGGAAAGAGTTGGACAGGGACTAATCTGAGAGGGGGATTTTTATTTATTTTTTTTATTATTATTATTATTATTACAGAGGTGCCCCGCAAGACGAATGCCTCACAAGACGAAAAACTCGCTAGACGAAAGGGTTTTCCGTTTTTTTAGTCGTTCCGCAAGACGAATTTCCCTATGGGCTTGCTTTGCAAGACGAAATGTCTTGCGAGTTCTTGCGAGTTTGTTTCCTTTTTCTTAAAGCCGCTAAGCTGTTAATAGCCGTGCTTCGCAAGACGAAAAAACCGCGAGACGAAGAGACTCGCGGAATGGATTAATTTCGTCTTGCGAGGCACCACTCTATTCAAAGAGGTTCTGTCTGAGGGAAAACTGGCTTTGATCTAAGAGGGGAGGTGGGGATTTTATTGATTATTATTATTATTATTATTATTAGCGCTGTCTGAGGGAGAACTGGCTCTGATCCAAGAGGAGAAGGAGCCTCGCAGCAGCTTAGAGAGGAAGATGACCCAGTGAAGGGTCTGGGGAGAGTATGGAGGCAGGATTTAATCTGGAGATCTGAGTCTGAGGCAGGAGAGGGAGAAGCTGTGGGAAGACGGACTAAAGCAGGGTCTCCTTCCAGTCAGGAGGGGAGAGATCTGCTAGGAAAAGGAGATCCCCAAACCAAGAACAAGGCCTGAGGGGATCCCCTGGGTCTGTGGGAAATCCCTCAGGGTGGCTAAGAGAGAGGCGGACGGACGAAAAATGCCCCTCGCTCAGGAACCAAAGTATGAGGCTGAGAAGGAAGCTGTGCTGCATTAAAAGTCACAAATAAGTAAAGAAACAAGAGAGAAGAAACAGGAACCAAGTTAATTCTTTTACCTCCTATGGTAGAAACCTGAACTTCCAACTGAAGTGCAGCGAGTGAGCTTTTAGCAACTGAAGTTGCATATACTACAGTGACATCTTTCTATTTAGTTTAAGTAATAAGCTAACGTTTATTTGAAAGAACGCATCTCCTGACCCCAAATTTGTTTCACAAACCTCTTCTTTTGTAAATAAAACTGTTCTTGTCCGTTCAGCTCCTGCCTAAGTCTCTAAATAACTAAGTTTTCCCTCACACAAGATCCTCACAAGGGAGCCTGTGGGAAATTGCAAAAATTCATGTAATTGGCCTGCCAAGCGGTGGGTCCGCTATACAGTGGTGCCCCGCAAGACGAATGCCTCACAAGACGAAAAACTCGCTAGACGAAAGGGTTTTCCGTTTTTTGAGTCATTCCACAAGACGAATTTCCCTATGGGCTTGCTTCGCAAGACGAAACGTCTTGCAAGTTCTTGCGAGTTTGT